GGTCTTTCAACCTGACGTGGAAAACAACATGCCCCTGTCTGATACGCCCCGCCTTTCATTCATAGCAGGCCCCATTCAACAACTGTTCAAAGAGAACTCATGCAACCTGGGAGATATGTTCGAAATTCTGAGTGGTCTTGCTGCACGTTTCCAGCAAACATATACGCACTCCTCCACGATGAGCTGGACACAAGACTTTGACGCTTCCCTTCCGTGTATATCTGCCTAGAACTGAAAGCCTCTGCTCTTAAAACAAAGCACCGCGTTGATGTATGTTCTTCTAATTCTATGACCTGCATGAGCCTCATATGGAGCAAAAATCGGCTCCGCTGTTCCAGTCAATACTTTCCAGATGGTAGCGAGTTTGATATTAATTAAGCGTTCTGTAGCTGCCTGTTGGCAAGCTGAGGTTACTCAAGTCATAATCCTGTTATAACGATCTCGGAACTTCTTTTGAAGAAATATTTTAATACTAAGCCGAAATCAAGACTGGCGCTTCATTTCGACGGATCATTTACTATCTACATGAAGACAATTATTCGCTCGGTGTTTAGGTCGTTCCACGTGTCCATCAATTTTCGACTTGTCCAACTTCAAAGCAACGTTTATGCGGGCATGAATGGTCATATTCTCATTCTGTCCATCAAGTTGCTCTGTCCATCGTAATTTGACTTGCAGATATCGAGGAGGAATCTTTGCGACGTGCCCGTTTTGCCCAACTGGCAGTAATAGAGATGGCTCGCATTCGTAGACTAGGGTATCTAGAGACGCGCTAGAGTTTGGGGAGTATCTGTTTGGCAATGATAGGCAGAATATATACCTCGTGGACTGGCTAGCCTGAAAAGAACCAATAAGACCTAGTCTAGCTGCAGGTACATATGAGATGCGACCAAAAAAATCGTAGCCATTTTACGCGTTGCGCCTGTTCTCAAAATCTCACTCATAGTTTGCCCCATACATCACCTACCAGTTCTGTGTGTTCCAGCAATCAAACCAATTGTAGTGTTTCCCTTAATATCCCCAATATGACCTAGCTCTATTGAGTTGCATACTCATCGTAATCCGTGTAGAGCCAGATAGGCGGTTGGTTTCGGGATAACCAGCACCGACACATATATCGCACTGGATCGATTGATTTTGACTGTGTATTGCAGAAGGTAGAAGTGCAGCGGAGAGAAGCAACAGCGCAGGTCACATCTGGGGAGTTGCTTCGGTCGATGGGGGTCGCTTCGGCGGTCGGAGGTGAATGCTAACGGGGCGAGTCTCACCAATCTTCCAACTCCTTAACGATAGTTGTAGGAAGAAGGCTGAGCCAAACATGGAACCGTGCCCTGATGCCTGATCATGGTCGACCTGGTTTAGAGGAAAAGAGAATGAGCATGGTGGAATCAGGTATCAGATAGAATGGCAACAAGCAGCTTCACTGGCGTGGCGTGTGAAGGAGAATACGGGTTGCCCAGGCTGGAAGATCAACTGGAGGCGGATCTCGCAACCCTTGAAACACAATACTTACTCCTTTACATCGACAGAATGAGCCGGTTGTAGCACATAGCCTGCCTTCTATCCTCCATCCTGGAGTGGATGAGACGCTGCTTTGAGCCGGTATTGCTCCGAAGTAATCGACCTGAGGAAATTAGACTCATTCCCAGTTTTGACCGAGGACGCCGTTGAAACAGTAGGCAATGCGGCTGGATATTTGCTTGGGTCAGTAAAGCACCTAGGGGAGCATGCACATACCCAACTGAGTGGGCTTCAAACACCAAGGGCCAACTGAGCAAGGCCAGCATGGTGCCGCCATTGGATAATATTGCAACGCCAAATTGGCTGTGTTCAGCAGTGATGGCTAGAGATAGCTTGCTTGCGGTTCTCCGGCCAGTGATGACCAGCATTCCCAGCCTTCCAATGGTAGAAATGGTACCCAGGGGGCCCCATGCAGGTATTTACGGGCTATCCCATTTCACCGGTGACTGTAGCACAAATCCAGTGTCTGAGTGGCTAGTTGAGGCAGAGCGGGTCGGATTCCACGCTTTTCCTCACTCCAGTTTCCTTACTCGCCCACGCTTCATTTTGAGCTCAGCTTCACCTGACTTTCGAACCAAGTTCTAATCCATTGGAAGAGCTTCTGGAGTGTTTAACTCTACCCACTTTCCAAAGGTGTCCTACTTGCGACTATGGTGCTTCGACGTATTGAACCGCCAGGAGGCGAGAATGGGCAATTGCGACTCCACAGCTAGCACCTTGTGGCCAAATCTACAGCAGATAAACACGGTCTTTCATTATTCTCTATCCTCTCCCAATCTAACCACCCCTCGACCAGCAGACCCCCGAAACAGCAACAGATTCTGGTGTCCCCCACGGAGAATACATTGCACGGTGCAACAGTATGATTAAGCCCCGAGAAGATGCTTGTATATCATCCTACCGCCTCTGTAGGTTTTGCAAAGATATCGGCAACAAATTCTATACAAATGCCCCCATGATGAAGATCACAATTATGGACAGAGGTCTGTACGGGCCTGTGCAAGAATGGGGGATTGTTTGTACTCAATGTATATATTACGGAATACGAACGAACTGTCATTGTGTTCTTGGAAAGATATATAGCCTCTTCTCGGGACTGACAATCCGCTTTGTTGTGCATTATACCTTATGAGATACTAGTATTTCTGGGGCTTCAGGTTGGGTGGACGCGAAGTTGGAATGTTTATTTAAGTGAAGAGCAAGATTTATTGAGCTGGAAAGAAACTTACGCAAGGCTTACATCTATGAAAAGAACAGCCATCGCAAATGATACGCTAAAACAAATTGGTAGGAAGCGTAGCATCAAGACCAAGGGGAACCTCCCCCGAGGGTTGGACACACCAGTTATCCCTCACGCGGAACATCCTGTGGTCGTTTTCGAGACGTTCCATAACTCTGCCAATGCTCACACGTTCCTGGGGAGACACTTTCCCGATCTTGTCGAAATAGTCTATTACGAGCTCCATGGCACGTCGTGCCTGATCATTCGAAGGAGGTTCACGGACACTGATTGGCGAAACATCGTTCATGTTTCTGGTTATTATATTCGAGTTGATGCATTGCGGCTGGGTGCGCCTTGCTTGGCCATCCTTCGTGCAAGGCCGGTTGTGGGCAAATAACATCTTGTTTTCCGACTTAAATTTCTCCAGCCAGTTCTTGTCCAATACTCCGCTGCCTTCGGTAAGACTGCAGGCGTGGGCAAAAGCAAGCGCCTTATCCATGAGTATCTTGTCATCTATTGGAATTTTGCTTCTTTGGTATTGCTTTACCAAGTTCGAAAGCGCCGATTTAAGGTCAGGAACACGCCCCTTAGTTCGGTTTTCTGGAGGCTGGCCGCGGTTGTTGATGACGAGATATCTTTCTTTCCGCTTGACTATTTTTGAAACAGTGCTATAGCGTCATGTCAGGGTACATCGGGGTACAGAAATGTTCTAAAAATATTCCTAGCTTACCTTCTTTCCACTCCGAATAAGGCTATTCATTTCTCCGTGTCAACATATTGCAATAACGCAAATATACCATACTAACCTCCAATTTCAGTCTGTTTCGCTGCCTTGTTTTGCTCGTGGTATAAGCATATCATTCGTCGGTATTCGTCGGTAAGCAACCCAGGAGGTGTTGATTCGGCAGCAGGTCTCTTGCAAGAGTGAGACGCACGCGCCAGCGACGAGGGTAGGGCCGATATTGGGGCCCGATTCGGGGAAGCAAATGATTCGTAGACGGTCGACGAACTTATTGGGATGGGAGCTTGCAATTGTGATGGCGCCAAGTAATTCATTGAGTGAGGCATCGATATATATGGCGGCGGTACTTGCAAATCGTACATAGCATCCGTTTCCGTAGGCGTCCAGGGGTCGAGATTCGGTAGTTCCATTGCAAGTTATGAATGATTGAAACTGTCATCTGGAGACCGAAATGTTTCCGAGTCCGTAGTTCCCGAGCTCTCCAGGGATAATACCAATCCGAACGATGACTCACTCCTTTATTGGGAACACAGGGGCATTGTTGAGATTCAATCCAATTAAGAAGATAGCGAACAGACAAGTAGTGCTGTACAGGGAGACATGAGAGACGATGTTGTCAAAGGAGGCGTGACATTTCCGCGAGATGCATAAACGTCATTTGGCTGAGCTAGTGAGCATAGCTGTCCATGAAGGACGGGCGCACAATTTAAGATACAGGTCATGGTGGACCCGGTCGGAGATACTGTAGTCTGCTCTTGCCCAGATAGGATAATCGGAGATACCGAGACTGATTCCAAATCCTCGGTAGAAACCTTCTGTTTGTCCAAGTAGCAGATCAACTGATGTTATCCACCAGCAAGTTGGTCGCTATTGGTCATGCTTGCATACTAGGGCCTTTGTCGTGGCTGAAGCCGCCCCAATGCCAAGGACAAGTCGGTTTTCTGGAGTACCTCGAGGCTTGGTTTCACGAGAAGAATGGGAATGCTACCCTGTGCGAAGGCTGTGTGGGGTAAACAGGGAAGGCCGCTCTGTCCGCGAACCGGCTCTACCCCCTGCCGGATAGCACGACTTTAGTGAGGGTAATCCAATGCGATAAATCTCAGTGCTATGCCCATTCAGGATATAGATGGGCCCGCCAAAGGCTGTTTCCTAACCAAGGGGTCCGAGGTAGCCGACAATTCCGTGGTCTGAACCTTCGCTTCGCATATACTGTTGGTTCCACCGGCCAAGCCTTTTCACTGGTCACTACGGGCATTGACTACGCAGCTATTTTCAGCCTATTAAATGAAACTTGCAGGAATTTTACGGCATACCTCGTATTTACCAGGGGTTAGAGTCCGCCATAAAAGCAGGGAATTCTCCGTCCACTCCCATTTCTGCACCAACTCAAGGAACAAATCAAATCCCAACTTGCTCATCCATTCTCAGACTGATTCATCAATATGACTGAAATCACGCTCCAAAGTCCTCGTGACCACAATCGTAGATCGTCAATCACATCCCACCAGAAAACAGATGGGAGACGGTTACTTGCGTAGTCTACGGTAAGTTTTTTCCTTGCCTATTCTCGAATTTGCACTAATTTTTGAGTTGTTTAACCAGTGTCCGCCGTCAGGTCTTGCCCCAGGTAAAAACAACCAGAAAGATAGCCGAGGTACCACCACCATTCCCGCCACTCTCTGATTTGCCTACACGTTTTCTGATGCAGTAGCTAATCAGATATGCAGCTACAGATCACTCTAGCAAGGCCACCAAAATCGATGGTAGCTCGCAAGTAATTAACGGTAGCGTTATCGATGGCAAGAGAACTGGCTCAGTCGGAAAACATAGCCTTGAGGGTGGTTCTGTCAAAAACAACAGCAAACTCGCCAACGGAAATATGGACCCAAAGAGCTTTATTGCGTTCTTCTGTAGGGACCGTTGATATGAATCGGACTGCCTGTATCTTCGTTGACGTGTTCAGAAGGCAGTATTCAAGGATTTCAAATGTTCTATTCTACGGACTTTTTCGTGTTTGATAATCAAGATGGGTGACAAGAATAGTTCAATTCTTACCCTGAATGCAAGGGAAATTCGCCAACCTAGAGCGCTTTACTAAATTTAGTCCTATAATAATTTCTGATGTTTTTTCACATTACAATCTTCTTTCGTGGTGAAGAATTGAAACAGAATTGACGCATAGAATACAACCGGAAAGCTAGATATGAAAAGGCACTATTTCAAACAAGAGCTTCGAGGCTGTGACCTCAAACCCCACCAGCCATCAAGCAAAGCACAGAATTGGTACAAATTTATTTAAAATGATAACATCCATAGCCCATTGAAGTCTATGTCTCGGAAATGCGATTCTCGAGTAGTGGACTCCCTGGAACAACAATACACAAACATTCGCTCAATCTGCAGAAACAAGAAGTACCGTTTGACGGCAACCTTTGTTGCAACGAAGCACTCCCAGATAGATGAAGCTGTAAACGGCTTTGCGCTTCTACTCCCAAACCAGGGTAGAACACTGGCAAAACATCTTCCATTGCTGCTGATTAATCTCATAGATTAGGGATATGCGAGATGAATTCTGCTAGTTGTCAGCAACATTTACGCGCAGATCAAGAGTATGGCGCACTTTTCAGCTTGCCCTGATGGGAATTTCCAGCTTTATTAACCACAAGCAAAGGCAGATCCTCCATTTACCTATCGGTGCCATTTTCAGGCCTGCAATATCTCCTTCGAGCTTTTTAATGCAGCTGCTTTGAAATACCACCGAAAGGGTATGTCTCCGGTTTTCTGCAATTAATGACTTGATGAACAAGTGAGTCCGGCTGGCCAGCATACCACAGTCCTGTGGTAAAGCTGTAGGTGTGTGCACCCATGCTCTCAAAGCGCTTGTGCATGCCTGGTCACTCAAAGTCGCAAAGACTGTTGCGTAAAAAGTGCCCTTGCAAGCTATACCGGTTTTTCGAAGCATCTCTATGACAACTTGACGGTCACCCCCTGGAATCTTCTCAATCTATAATCAGTCCAAGGTAGGCCTTGGTCAGGCAGGATCATTAAGTTCGTCATCTGGGTCTGGGATTGCCTTGTAAATGAAGCTGCTCTGTGGATGACTTGCTCTATCCAAGTGAACAGTCGCCGGGTTCTTTAGCGTGCCTGTTCTGGTCATGGACAGAGAGACTTCCTCATTAGGTGCAACTACCAATGGAGGTCTTGAGGCTGTACTGTCCTCCATGATCACAATTGGAATCCATTTTGAAAAGTCGGCTTTAACCGTGACCGGTGCTTTATCTTCACACCCCGTTGGTACGAGTATTGTTGCTGCTCGTATTGAAAATGCTCTTTATTTTATTAGAACAGCGCAGGATGTGTGAGAATAGCTTACCCACAAGCAGTCATTGGCAGTAGAGCTGGCATTTGTAGTTAGTAAATGATGTCTGTGATGGTAAACTAGAGACATACCCTTCTTTAACGATCACCCTTGGTTTTCCCACAACCGGGTCCTTTTTCAAGCTGTCGGCCATGCATGGCTCCAACAGCCATGGATGTATCGCTCTCTCAGTCTCAACGATTTTATCTTCTGTCAACTTCACCCGATGAGTAAATATATCACTCCTAATCTTGATTAACATGGTTTGAACCTGTCGAAAGCAAAAGACTTACAGTGGCACTCCCTGCAACGACCATACTTGCCATTCTATACAAAATGGGTCTTTGAAGTCAGCCACGGATTTTGTCTGTGTCCGACCCTCTTCAACATGGATGACACGATAGGACGGTTTAGCAACAGCCTGAGTCAGGCCATTCCGGGCAATATCAAGAAAAGCATTGTTGTTCTGGGCTTGGGGCTTGAAAATAGCCTGAACTATTGGTTTGAGTGGCCCGCTTGGCGAAGTGAGCCCATCTCGGTGTGACGTGCTGATGTGGCGCTTCAGTGCGTCTTTTCTAGAACATGCCAACCCACACGGGCAAATAAATGGCTTTTCTCCGGTGTCTGATAATGATCGAGTCAGTATAGCAAGTTTTTGGACAATTGGCAGTTGCTTACGGATGCGAACGTGACGCCTCAAATCTGAGTGTCTTCCGAAACACCTGCTACATTTCACACAGGTGTGCGCCACTTCTCCACGGCGTCTCTTCAATTGGGTTGAAGAGGACGGCCCAGGAGGCTGCACAGAGGCAGGCTGCGGACTCGTTGACTTTAGAGTCGCGCCAGGGCTTGAAGTCCATGAAATCCTACGGATATCCCCTGTGCGGTTTTGGGAAACAGGTGGCATTTCGTTCAAGGAGCCAGTATAAAGCCGCGAGTTCTGCTGCCCATAAGGCTGACCACGTTGTCCAGTTATCAGTGTGATGTGAAGGGGCAGGTGAATTGGACGGTTTTGATGCGGGTTGGCAAGATTGAAAGTTACGCCAAGTCTTCTATCTGGCGGCGGTGGATGGAAGTAAAATGGATAGTGTACTGGCGGATACGTAAGTTGTGAGGCATTCGAACTGGGCAGGGTTGACGGGTTCACTTGATCTTTTGCGAGCATCAGTCTCTCTAAACGTCCCTTGGTTCCGGAATCTCAATGAAAGATTGTGGAGGAAATCCCTACCGGGGTTGATGAAAGCAGCGCTTTGGTATGGATGATGCGTCTCAATCCAATGCCCATTTGCATTGGATACCAACCAGTTGCCGTTGGCATTGAGACCTGGTATATTGCTATCTGGCAGTAGTTGGGCAAAATTTGACGGAGGAAAATCCATGGTCAATCGGATATGAATCTATGACGTTTTTCCAGACACAAAAGTGACCGTAACTCAACCGATTGTGAACTGGTTGGAAGGGGCAGCTTATAGAGGTTGCTCCATAGAAAAGAAAAATGAGTGCACGGGATATATACAAATATATATTAGAGATCAAGTAAACGATCAATGCGCAGACTCCGTTAGTTAAAGCGCACAAGACTAGATGGAAATAGATGTGTGATGTGCGTTGCGGTTGCATGAACTCATCCTGGAAATGATGGACTTGATCTAGCCCTCAGCCGGCGGCAGGGGCGTGTGAAAGGAAGGGAGGAGGTGGTTTGGTGGTGGGTCCTCATTTCATACCAGTGTTCCAAGCGTAACAAGCGCGGCATCAGATCCCTCTGCCTGGTTGTCCTTTCCCACCGTTTCCCCAGGATTTAATTCGATGAATTCTATTCTAACCATTGCTACACTGGCACAAATGGAGACGGATGAGATATTTTGGCCCGCACGGGGCACCTGCGGTCTGAACACTGGCGATGTAGGCCTCGTTGACGGAGGGCTACAGCGCCGTGAGGGCTGCAGGCGGGCCCAAATGACCCGGTGGGCCAAAAGAGGACGGTGGAGGGGCTGGTGGTATGGAAGATGAGACCGGCGTTGGATGACCGGTCTGGAATTGACGGTTCCAGGCGTACAGTGTTGTCGTAGGTGTTGTGAAGTAAAGGCGGAAGGCTTCGGATGACCATCTCCCGAGGGCTTGGATGTGGTCATTTCTTAAGCCTGCGTTGTGGGCGTGCTGTGCTGCCCCTTTTCTGAAACTGTGACCCTTAAGTCCCGTGGTATCTTCCCCGGCGCGGTTGAGCTTAGAGATAACCGCACGTTGGAAGGCGGATGAGGTGAAGGGGCCAGAGGAGAGCGTAAACAAGGGGGCAGACATAGGCTGTGAGTCGTGGAGGAATAGCTTAGAAAGGCCTTCGACGGGGCAGGCTGCGTCGTTTGTTGCTGCAAGGACAACATTGACACCTTCGTGGTTTCGGTCGGTCTTGCTTCTCTTCAAGGTAAGGAGGACGTGGTCCATGGTGGGGGAGAACCTGATATCCGCCCGGGTTAACTTAGTAGCAGCGAAGACTTGAGTGTTTCTAAGGTCGGCAGCTGAGTATGTAAATTCCCCGACCCGAAGGAATCCAGCGAAGGCAACGCGGGCGGCCACGGCAAGATTAAGGTCATTTTTCTGGGCCGCTGAGAGCCCCAGCGGTTGGGCAGGGATATGTGAGATATTCCCTGAAAGGGTTATGACTGAGGCGCGTGAGATTGGGTTGCGAATCCGCTTTTGGCGGGGCGGTTGCAGCCGACGAGCGCCATCGATCATGCGACGAAAATGCTTTGCGTGGAGGTCAAAAATTGTGTCAGGTGACCGTTATCGATGTGATACGCGCGGAGAGCCGAGAGCTCAGACATAGCTGAATCGGGCTTCACAGGTGGGGAACTACCCGCGCCCAGCAGGCGTTCCGTAAGCCAAGTGCAGATCGACGGGGCAGTGGCTGGCCAGGGCTGCACTCCGATAATAGCGCAGCTACGGGTGTACGAGCGCTGCGCAGAGCGATAGCCTCTTCTGGTTCCCTCTGCAAGGCCATTCCAGACCAACTTTGCATGGCCAGCATTCACGAAAATAGGCTGTCGAGAGAACCAGGCTGGCGGAGCAAGGGAAAGGAGCTCGTCAACTGTGGGCAAATATCAGCGATGATCCTATAATCGGAACGGGACAGTGCATCAGCTAGTAGGTTCTCCGATGAAGGAAGCCAGTGTGGCTGGACTTCGATGTCAAGGGCGGCTGCTATGCTGAAAAGCATGAGCAGAGAGCGATGAGCCGGCCCACGGAGTGCCTGCTTAGACAGGCCATGAAACGCGACGGCGCTGTCCGTGAAAGCGAGGACACGATGATGAGCCCAATGGGGGCTGTGTATGAGGAAGGCCTGCAGGATCGCAGAGACCTCCTTAATGTTAATGTGGGCCACGTCGCCGCAGGCGGAGGAGGCGTCCACAATAGCCGCATGGGTGGAAGGCAGGTGAGGCGCTGCAGACATCCAGTCCCTGGCGGAGTCCCATGAGGGCGCATAGAAGAAGAAGAGGCCCAGACCTGAGTCGCACGCGTCTGTGTAGAGGGCAACTAGGGGGCGGCTCTTCTCGAAGAAATGGATGCCGTTAAATAACGGGAGAGTGTCCCTCCACCACGCGAGATCCCCGCGGCTATCATGGGATAGGCGGCGGACGGAGCGCTGGTGAGGCGGGAAGGATGCGAGATCGCTGTAGAGCGACTGAAGGCGGGCTCTGCCGAGACGGATAACTATTGAGCAGTGTTGGAGGAAACCGACTACACGTTGCAAAGCTTTATGCGAGACACGATCTAGCTGTAGTAGCGACGCGGCTTCGGAAGATGCGCGTGCTAGCTTATCGCGAGGCATACGGGCCTGCAGAAGTGTCGTGTCGATTTCGACCCCAAGGACACTGACCACGGTACCCGCGGCGTCTTTCGAGTCATTCCGTGGGATGCCTAACGCATCCGTGAGAGGAATATATGCGCTATTGAAAGCGGTAAGGGCTTTAGAGAGACCTCCCACGGAGGAAGGAAAAATAACGATGAAATCGTCAAGGTAATGAGCGATAGAGGCCAAAGGCAAGTAAGCGGTTAGGAGCCAGTTAAGGCCCTCAGCAAAAAGGTTAAAGATGAAGGGTGCCGTTGAAAGGCCGAATGGGAGGCAGCACTCCATGTATGTCTTGCTATCCCATGAGAAGGCTAGGAGGGGCCGGTCAGCGGGGGCGACTGGGATATTACGGAAGGCATCCTTGATGTCGCGTTTGATGATATAGCATCCTCGTCCAGACGTGCGTATGAGATCGAAGATGTTATCCATAGATATGTATTGTATAGTAGAAGCAGCGTCGGGGATGGACTCGTTGACACTGCGACCCGGCGGGTAGGAAAGATCATGGATACGGCGCCAGCTCCCGTCGTGTTTAGGCACCAGCCCTAGTGGGGAAACAACGACGGGGCCAGTAGATGGTTGCACCCGACGACATAATAGGTCATCAGAGAGCTTCTGGGTGATAAGAGAGTGTTCCTCGATGCGGTGATTAGGAGTTCGACGGTATCTTGGCTGGATCGTACAACCGAGGCGGCAGCCGAATGTAAGGATGCCGCTGCAGATAGTCCCTAGGTTGCCAGGATAGCGTTCGAGGAGGGTTTTCCACGCCGAAGCAATGAAGGGAGAAGCGGAATCACGCAGAGGCGGGAGGGAAGGGTCGAAGACCTCAAACTGAATAGAAGTGTTGGGACGCGGGGCTGGCCAGCTAGTTGGTGGCGACAAGGTTTGACCTATACCAGGGCCGACCCCGGCGTGCTCCTAACTCACTGGTTTTACTTTGCAGCTTGTCACGGAATGGTCGTTGCCGCACTTAGAGCAGACGTGTCTTCGGTGGCATGTTCGCCAGTGGCAGCCAGCAGAAGAGTTGAATTTTTCACAAATGACAGTGTCATTATTTGGGGCAGCGGTAGAGCGCGTTGACCGTGTGGTTGGGGTAGCCGGCGCTGTCTTTGCTGGGAGCACGTTGTCCGGGCGAAGGTAGGAGCTTTCGAGGGCTTTCCCAATTTCCCAATCGCTAAGAGAAACGGTGAGGTCGCCTTTATCGACGACCATCTGGTGGTGGTCCAGGGCCATTTGCAGGATACAGTCCTGCCATTTATATGCCCTAGCAAGGTCACAAATGCGGCGGTGGAAGAGAACCATTCCACTTCGTCAGCATCCTCTTCCGCAGTGAGGTCTAAACGTGGGCGCTTGCGCTGCCCGTCGCCCGCAACAAGGGACGCGGACACAGTAGAGATGAATGAGTCCTGCTGGGAGTCGGAGAGGGAATTCCATATGTACTCTGGTGGATAGATCGAGGAGCCCAGGGTGGTCTGTCCCCCAGGGGTTAGACTGGGGGCCACCGAACTATGACGCACCATTGTAAAAGGAACTATTGAAGAAACCGTCGCGGAGAGAGCCCGGCTCTCCCTCGAAACGGCGATGTTCTTTTCGAGGGAGGGGAAGGCCAGGCGATATTTGTGTGCGATGTCCAGCACGGGATATCGTGGGCCCGACGCAAGGGGCTCTCACGCAACAGTCCCGAATAGAACCTATCATATGATGTATTGAAAGTTTTCGTAATTACGGAGCTGATACCTAAAGTCCCGGGAGCCGCTTTGTGGAGCCTTGCTTGGCATGGTCAGTCGGATGCACTAATCGAAGTATTGAGCCCCACACAGGTAGGTTTGCGGCAATGCGATCGTCTTAGCCCAGCGTTTTGCATACACTGATCCAGACTTATAATCCCTAGCCTTTTACAAAGCTGACAGGGGTGGCTAGCCTGTCATGGGCCCTTCGATTCCCCCAATCTTGCCAAATGATTGGGTTCCACCTAATTGTAATCAGGGAGTATGAATTTAGAGGGATCTATGCATATAACACGCAATTAGTCGTGTAAATACTCAGTGTATATTGATATAAGTTAGTACCATCTCTGTGTATTTCCCATTGGAATGTCCCATCTCATTGGCCACCTGTCCTCAATAATCTTATGGAATCGATCTTGTCTACTTGCGCCTTATCTTGGCCTACGTTCCAACGACGATGGATGTCAGTCAAGCCTCTTTCATTTGCTCCTCTCTCTTATGAAGCTGACTGGTTCCTTATTTACAGCAACCACACGCATTTGACAAGCTCGCAGCTATCTCTGCAGTAGCTACCTATTGCGTAGCTTCTCGATTGATGTTCGTGAGTTTGGATAGTAATGTGTCGCTCAGAAACCATGTCAGCCATGAAATTCCTTCCGAAATTCCAACCCCACCAGAGAGACTGGAAAAATTCGTCTCAGGCCTTGCCCAGTGGCAGATAATACTATTGTCTCGGCCGAGATGGAATTATGATTCAACTCTCTCTTTCGGAGTTTCGCGGTGTCTCCTCCCTTTTTTTGCGGAGCACAAGCTCAAGCAGCTGGAGATTTGCCAAACGATTTGGGAAAAGTATATTCGTCGGCCTATGGAACCTTCGGAACTCGCAAAATTTCCCTCCGAACTTACGAATCTTTGGGCCTGTCTCTATTCCGCTGGATTGAAATCGGAAGCAAACCGCATCTACATGGCACTACATCGCGTAGCTGCTGTTTCAGAGGGTGTCAATTGATTGTGTGTTTAAATAGACTTCTTGAATTAACTTGTTTACTTTCCTTCACCGAGATCCATCGCCCGCTAAAACAAATACTGCTCCGTGTAAAGGGAAACTTTGGACCGGTACAGATAATGATGGTATTGTAATGGCGCATTTCTTTACCCTAGCAAGTTGCAACACATCCAAGGCCAAAGTGTGGGTCGACCACTCCATGGATTTTACCCGTTCGACTTACATTGCCCGGAGCTGATTTATGCTGTAGTTCTGAATAGAGCCTCCATCGTTACTGATATGCCATGGTTCTGAGGAGTGACTTTGAGGATATCATTGCTGTGGGCCTCTAAACCGGAAGAGGTGGTTTGTTGGTGGCGCAACGACTTTTTAACCAGTGTCCCAGTCGTATTGGGCGGCAACCAGAAACCTATCCCGGTGTCTACTCCTATTCAGTCTACTGGGAGAACGAAAGGCCGTCTTACGTATACATTGACTCTCCTTCACCGCCATGTGGTAGATCATGGCATGAAGGCCTACGTGGACCGACATCGTCATTCTGAATTAGAAGAGGCGATATCGATTTACGACGGCCTGGATGCTGAGTATAAAGAATTGAAGACAAGGAACTGGGCGTCGCGTCTCGAGTACCTGAGAGTTTCTCTTGGCCGAGTGATCATTGCGTACCTTGATGTGAATATCGTCAAAGCGACGCAACTGTGGCAAGACTTCCAAGTTTCTGTTCGATATTGCCGAGAACATCATCAAGTCACCGGATTCCTGGAGATGGTTATCGATTACTGCCTCTGCGATCTTGCTGCTCGCCTTGAGGATTACAATGAGGCGCATCGAATGCTGAAACGCGCTAAACCTGCTTTTCAGTACCTAGGCCGGGAGCACTGGTGGACCTGCATTGACACGGATTTTTTGGATCTGGTCCGTGATTCTCTCTTGGAGAAAAATTTGATATCAGGTATTGATCAGCGCTAGAAGGATGACTAGTTGCTAGCCAAGAAATTATTCGTCTCCGGCGAAGAAGATCCAGCTAGCTTGTACTGAGCGAACAATAAAGTGGCAATACAGGCGGTAGAACCCTCGTTTGATACTTCGGTGCAGACAGGTTAGAGCCTAAGATAACCAGCATCTCCTTGCCTTTCAGGAACAATTTTACTTACGTCGAATGTTGTCTGCCCTTCGGTCTCGCAACCGACCCATTTCTCTTAATTCTCTTTGCGGAGGCTCTACATTGGATACTCCAATGCCTCATATTACCTAGACCACTTAAGCGTAATTACTCGACTTCCTTCAATGTCCGACTCTATCATTTCCTTCAACGAGGTCTACAATGGACTCACCGACTACCTGCGTGTCCCTCTCAACACCAAGAAGGACGAGCAAGGAAACTGCGTGGCAGTCTTAAGTATCCAGGTGAACTCTATGGCAATGGAAGTTCGCTTGTCACCAGAGAAGCTGTGCCGCGCCAGATTGGACGCCGCAGCTGCCCTAGACGCAGCGACTCTTTCCCTCAAGCAAACAGAGCGCCTTACAAGCTTACTTTCTGCTGCCTGGTGTAAGTCCGTCTCGTTGTCAGCCTCGGTTCAGCATATGGTTTGGCTCCTCTATTTAGAAGAACCTGGACTAAATCTAGCCGCCCTACACTTCCGGCCACGATCAATGGTGTACCTCGTAACGAATTATTGTCGATTGGGGTAGTTTCTACGGGGGTTTCAATTCTTCCTCATTTCCAAGAAAAATGGCATCAGCGAGCCATGGAGCCTGATCTTTTAGTTAATGATGGTCAGAAACGAACTCAATGATTTACAAGAATTAGTTCTTACCATCTTTGATCTTGAAAGATAAGTATTCTTACAAAGAAAAGCAAAGGGCTCTTTAGTGTTGTAGGAAATGTCGTTGTGCTTGAGGGTAGTTGTAGAATCTATGTATGACTGAGCAACATTGTAGAGAATGCTCATTTGAAATATTTTCTGTCGGATTAATAAGCGCTCGGGCCAGTAAGTCCCCAGTTCTAGAAAAATACTGCTTAAGGTCGACTGTTTCACGGAGACGCTGGTGGCTGGCTAGTATTTGCTAGTAAGACATTGGCCACCAACTGCTGCCCGCATCAGGATACGGAGTGGGATTCTCCTGCAGGGCCAAAGTGTCAGCGACAGCTACTTTAGTGCGATAACCCATCCAGCATAGAGATGCTGCAATGCAAGAGACCATGTGGAATTGTTTCGAGGCTGGCAGCAAACCAGTAAGCTGTTTTAATCCTGGATCTCGCCGACTCTATTTTATTACCCTACCGGCGAAAATGATTGCAGTTTTACGTGAATCCTTAAATTGTATCGTAACTAGTTGAGCGTAAAACTCCAGCGGGTATGTTTCAGGACCATGACACGAACCTGTACGAGAACGTGATGACTTCAAGGATAGAAAATCGGCGGTAGTAAACAGGCAGATATTGCTTCGGTTTCAGCCCCACTCCGCTAAGTAGTGTCAGCTGCTCAAAAGACTACTAGGGAAGGCAAGACTTTATTTCTGTTCCTTGGATATATTGGATCATATATAGTGCCGTTCAAATAAATCAATAATGAAAATATTTATTTATCTGTTCTCATCATAGGATCGAGGCTGGACTGCACCTTTGAGAGGATCTGTCCCAGCTATCATATCTCTGATTTGTTCGTCGAGGCATAGGTTCTGGGCATGAATCCATCAGGAGAAGCGACTCCTGAAGGAAAATTGTGTCCTGCTGTGACATCATTGACGCTGGGAGGACTAACCGAAAAATGTTTTTCATTGCTTTTGGAGCAATGATGATGTGGCCAGAAGGTCATGAGTCAATGATTATCTTTTTTCTCTCTCTCGGACTGTACACTTTGCCATGGGGGAGACCAGCTATGACTGTGATCATGCAAAACTAAAAGATTAACACTGTTGCATTTCTTTTCGTCATCACAAAATGCGAAGTAATGTAGCCACTGTCTTCACACGAGTGATGTCTTGTTTCGGTTGATCGTAAGTCTTCGGTAAGAGTCGCTGGTCGGTCAAGTAGTTACCCAGTAATATTGTATATCTTGAATTTTGCCGCCTTAGGGCCATCGAGGTTGGTTATAGCCTAAGTTGTACTAAATGTAGTGTATCAGTTGAGAACTGGGGCCTCAGGTTGAACTCAGGGTTTCGGACGAATTGAATCTCCTCGAGTATCTTAGTTTACAGTAATTAGGAGAGGTAGCAATTAATTCAGGGGGTTTAAAAGGTTCCAGCTAACTTTCCCCAATTCATCGTAATACGATATATATCTCTACACTATGATCATGCAAGACCAATTCTTTTACCAACCTTCGACATTACCCAGTTTTCGTGTGTAAGACATGCGAATACGTTATTCGACCAAAGGAGTTCTTTCAGCACCTTCAATCAGCGAACCGTCGCCTCGAATGCGTACGGCACGCCAAAGTGCGGACGTTATCCAGACCTCCGACCGGACGCATGAGTGCGATAACTGGCAGCCACCTACTTCGGTTACCCAGCTAATTCCTAATTACCAATTTACCCTGATGGTATCGTTTGCGAAAAAGGGTCCTTTTGCTTTTTTATCGCGCGTACGATTAAGACTATGAGACAGTACTGTCGTGACCAACATAGCTGGGGCGCACCTACCAATCTCGGAGGCCGTCGCCGAACTCAGGGACTACCGGTCGCCGAACAGCAAATGCAGCAGCCTACGTGAGTAGTCCGATGCCAGCGCGCTTTTATAAGCCGCGCGGTGTCTTACTACATTCGCGTTCAAACCCTATCCCATTTTTTTGAGAAAGCCGGGGAGGTTGTGGCTGAAGGCGACATTACGGACTATATCATCCTCTTTTCGGGCTAAAGTGGAGCATTTTAGTAAGCAGTGAAATGAACTTTCTTCTATTTCTGACTTAAGATGGAGTCGTGGGCTGTGTTGCCATGAGTACTAGCTCGGAGATTCTATTCGAAAATTCCGTTTCCATCCGTTCCCTGAAACGACTTCTTTCTTCGCTTTCCTGACGCCTGCCGCACAATTTGTCGGGGCCGTTGAGCTCCAAGCAATTGACACAAGTATAATTTTCGGTGCAATTGGCGCACGCACACCAGGGAGCATTAGCGACGCAATTATAGCAGACGAAGCAATCGCATTCTTTGCACACCAGAGGACAGGTGGAAAATTCGTGAATCACGTGCAGTAATGAAGGAGGGAACAGCTTGGCTCGATTATTCCACCAGGAGGAGTGTGGTTTTGTTTCATCGTTGAATTTATCCACAAGACCGGAAGCACAGTTTATACAGAAGCATTGCTCGCACGTGCGGCAGTTCATCGTACCGTATCTTTCTCGAACGGTTGTGAAGCATTTGTCGCAACGGACGACCTCGGCCCAGGCTGAGGAAGACCGGAGAAATCTAATCTGTCCGAATCGATCTGGTCTAGTTCATTACCAATGAGCTTGCCAGGGATGGGCTCCTCAGATCCGATGCCAGGAAGGCTGCGGCTAACGGATTCGGCAGAGCCCGAATCTGGGAACTTCAGTGCCATCAGAGTCGGCGTGAAGTATGTTTCCAAAAATGGATCGTAAGATGAAATATCGGGCAATAAAAAGAAATGGGTGTCCTAAACTGATTGGCAAGGCAGTGAGGAGATAAAGAGGAATATAGCTGAAGTTTGGTTGTTGGGGCTCTTGATCCAAACGTTCCTCATGGTAAATACATTGGTCAAGTGGACTGAATGTGGCTGGGTGGAAATTCTGGACGATCAGCATGAACTATTGATGTTGCGTATGTCTAGCCAATCCCCGCATATGATACTGCGCCGCTCTTTGCCACCGAAATTTGCTCAGTAAGAGCGAACAAACAATTGTGTGGAACGTTACCACGGGAGCCCCGATCTCGTGGAAAGAGACCGTCTGTGGAAATGAGTCCTTCCTATCTCGGAATCACGCCAGTGAGATGCCCCACATCCAGCATAATGATTGGAACGTTCGGAAACGGGGGGCAATCGTGCGGGTCACTAAGCTGATCTTGTTTTAGCCGCCTCAGTAGCCCTAATGTTCAGACTTCGTGCGAGACCCAACATCGCGGTATGATAATAACCCTGTCGACTTTCGTCAGGGTCTCAGCTAAAGTGCGAGAGAACGAAGTATGTTTCAGGAAGAAACTGCTAGGGGCGCAAATAAAAAACTGCTGAAAGGCCCGGTTAGAGAATCTCCAGACCCCTGAAGACCTCAAACGCCCAGGAGCCTCCAAATGATTTCTAGTGTTTCGATAGCCAACTTGAGTCCTCCGGTTGGCCTCAAAGTTTGACAAGGTATAATAGAGTATCTGGGATATCCCCCATTTGCTTCGGAGTACGCACAGCGTCCTAGTTATCGTGGGAAATGGCGATTGAAAATTAGAAATGTTTTTGATGCAATGGAACCAGTTGTGATGTCGCGATTACCTTACGAATACTGCATGAAACCGGTCGATAGATGATCCGTCGGCATAGCTTATGTAACTAGAATGGACCCATAAATAGTGAGAAATAGGGGTAATGGAAATACAGAGTCATTTACATCTCCAATTGGGTGGAGACAGGACAAATCGTGACATGTGATCGGAGCCTGAGGCTTCACTCGAGGGTTTCTGACGAAATTACTTCCAATATAGACTAGCGTGTCTTGGCGTTGGGCTGCAGAATCAATCGAAAAGTGTAGGTGGCACCCGTTGTGAGATAAACAAACAACATTGAGATTTATGCTACTGTGAAATAAAATTGTTAGGTACCGGGGACTCACCCCCGAGACCGATGGCTGACCACCCGCGGGTTCCCCTCCCACAAACCCAGCTCGTCCCATCAACCCATTGTCGGTAGAGGACTTCAAACCACAAATCGTACCTTACAATGGAAGAGGCAACATTGGCAAGGGGATGGATTTGTTAGTACACCACGGTCAACCCCCAAGTTCACAGGGGAGTCCATGGGACTAATGACCACCAAGGTGGTGTGGATGCTCATCGGCACGCTAAAGACGCCAATTACCATCAGACTAAATACACATCACATATGCCAGCGCTTATCTGCCTAGTGGTCATGTTCGTTGTCAACGATATGGAATCGACGCACGCAAGTTCTGTACAAGAACCGTATCCAGACTTTTTGCCGTTTTTTACCCCAGACCTTCCTTTGCAAGATTTAGAAGACTGGCTCGGTGTCAACCAAGGATCCATCGCTATCTGTGGAGGGCAAAATAGAATACCGATTTTTGCCCCATCAGGCAGCACCCTAGCCTTCATTTTATTCCCCATGTTTTTGTGAGATGGATTCGAGGGCCAGATCCCAAGGGGCTTCTTATTGAATGCCGAAGATTTGGAAAGAGGAAAAATCTGCTTGAGCGAGCTTCATCTTTTCACAGAACTCCACGCGATTCAGAGTCGTTCAAATACGATCCGTGTAGCGGCCACGGAATGCACCCTTGATTTCCTACCTTGGGGCTGAGTCTGGCCAGCCACGCAATCCCGCCAATCATACACCTTCTGCATCAACACCTGATGGCAAGTGAAATACAAGTCAAGATGTTCAAAGATCTGCCTATGATCGGCTCCGGCTATCTCAAAGAAGCAATCACAGCCCCTTCTTCTCAATGGCCCAGCAATTACCAGCCGATTCTGCTTTAGGTAATGTGTGGAAATTAGTGGCAGGAAAGGCGAAATGCTTTGGGCCAATAGAAAATCCAACGAAAACCCTGGAAGATGGTCAATTACTCTTTACCTGCTGCTTCTATTCTACAACAGCCAATAACGGTTGCTCTCCGTTCGAATCTCTCATCCCATCAGGTTTAGAGCTTGCCTTGCTTCCACGAACTGATTTATTCCTCTATACAACGCCGACGTTCACCCTGCTCTGACTCGATACGCTGATATCATGAACTAATAAATAGGCGCCAGCACTGACTATTAAACGTATAATCGGAACACAACTCAGCAGGAGCCCTAGTCACCTCGGAATTCATGAAGGAGACCAACACATCAATCGAATTTTCCCAGACTACGCTGGAGAAATAAGTGCTAGAAATCATCAACTCAAATGCTTCCAACCGGCGATATCACCCCCCAATCCCCCCGCTAATACGACGCTTCAAGCTTCGCAGAACTTCCCGGTGACTGGTCCCAGATCCGTTTTGTGCCTTCGACCCCAGTACCCAAGATTATTGTCACATAGCCCTCTGATGAGATGATGCTTAACCGCCTGCAACTCCTCGACCACGAACAATATATGTATAATCGTATGAACTCGAAGGGACGCTGTATTGAGGTGAGACGTGCGACGATACTTGAATGCAGTGGTCTGAGTTTCTTGCGAATATTGTTACGAGGATGGATTATAAATGGATTCATTGATCAAAGAGGTTGGTTTACTGTTTTCTGTCGCTAAGGGAAACATGGGCGCCATATTCAATGAAACTTGAGTGAGATGTAATGAACATCATTGCAACCATCCTTATGAAAGGCTAATAAGGTTTGCCAGCTAAACCGTACTTCTCGCTGTACTCATTACAGGTAAGACATCATACAACATAACCATGCAACCGCAAGCTCAATGAATGTCTCTTTTCTTTGAGTGTCTCTCTTCCTATGAGCATCATCTGGAATAAATACCGGAACGTTTTTTACCGGAATGTTTTCGAATAGAAAGATTCAGCCAGCAGAAGACATTTCAAAGTGGCTTCTTTTGTCGCCTGGCAAATCAGGTCACTATCGTGGCTCCCGTGGTGTTCTAAAATCATTATTGGTTTAGCCTTGAGAGATGACGACCACGAGCTCTTAGAGAAGCAACGCACCATCAAGGCGACAGAGTACTGCGCAAACTCAATAGTAAGCCCTAGCAATGTGAACAACTCCGAGATGCCCCGCTCTGTAGGCTGTTTGCAGAAGTTGGCCAGTTCTTCCTTCAGTCTTTGTCGCTCGTTTTCCAAATATGCTACCGCCGCATCAGGTCCCGGTGTCGGATCGATATCTTTGCTTTCTTCCATATCTATCTGAGTCTTAGAGTATGGTGAGGAGTGATGCGACGTATAAATAGATCATGAAGACACAGTCAGAAGTCGTTGAATACTCGGGGCAGGAGCTTCCCTCATGTTTGTATTTATAGACTTTGATGAACACATACAAGCATGTCTAAATTTTACGTGCCACCACGGTGCGTCCAGGGGGAGTTCATATCACACCGCCATTGCGATCACCCAGTTATCGACCTCTGATTCGCCGTTAGTCTTGACTCATCATACTGTCGAACCGGTGACGACGACACAGGTCACATAATTTAATTTAGTCATAGTCCAGTAAAACCGTCTTCGCCCGTGGCTGGGCGTCCTTCGAAAAATTTCGCACCTCTATCATCGGTAAGTAAAGCAGCCATGGAGAGCAGCTTTGCTCCTATTAATTGATCAGCTTTGTTGACCTGAACAGGGTATCCTGCTCCAAACTTGGTATCCGATGCTGATCTACGGAAGTGGCTAAGTAATCCAAGGCGCGAAAAAGATTGTGAAGCTTTGATCTGTTGTTTATCGTACTTGGAGCCGTGTCCGTTGTGGCGGGGCCACGGGACTACGGGTCGAAGACAGTCCCACTTGGGCGTTTACTGCCTCGTTTTCTGGAGGCCCCAGTCGATGAAGCTGTCTGGTACTAACAGCATCAACGCCAGAACCCGAACGAGCGCATTGAGAGTTGAAGCTAGAAGATTTAAACCGAGTTCATTTCTCCCCATTATCGCCTGGATGGGGGTAATATGGCCGACGGTTTCCGTTTCCACTGCCACCCAGGTCCCATAAACCGATCTCTCTGCACCTTGAACAAACATTTGGAGTCTGTTGATTTGAACCCAAAGTCCACTCGCATAGCCTCCCCCGTAAACCCCTCCGCATCGGCTACATCAGAGATCCTCCATACTTTGGTTAGATCGGCGGTGAAAGAAATTCTGGGTTTTAATATGAATCTCCTGTTAGTTTGCGTAAGTGGAGTCAGTATGTTTGTGCTTCGCCGTGCTCGGTAGCAGGGGCAGGAGTCGATAGGCGAGGCCGAGATTCATACCACAGCAACGCGATAGCCACGGAGATGGTGTATCAGCAGACGCGTCTAGCTAGGAGGGCGTTCTGGGATGATCGGGCGATCGGTAGTTCAGTCGGGGTGAGAGAGGCCGACGCAATCCAAGCGAATCAGACACCAGGGGCAGGAAAACTCTAAAACTGTGGCCTCACAGGCCGCTAGTACAAGAAATCTACGTACATAAGTGATTGAAAGCGGTCGTCGTAATGTGCTTGTGAACGGAGACTCCATATAACGTATTTCACATGCGAGCTGCCCATCCCAACGATATATTCTACACTGATATATCCACAAACACGTTGCTATTTTATTTTTTGATAAGGCTTTTCATTACTATATATCAATTTTGAAGAGATCTAGAACCTAAAATACTACGGTATCGAAAATCACGCTGCGTGGAGCTAGAAATATATATATTTCAGTTATTTGGTTATAAAAATTGTTTAAACCCCTCTTAGAGAATAGATACCACCTAAAAAGCATTCGCTTATAAAGATAAATCCCTTTAACCTACCGTTGTGGTGATAATACGTTGTAACCAATCGCATTTACTATGGTGTTTTGGGGTGGCCAGCTCGCATGTGAAATACGTAATACCCTAAGGGAAGAGCTGATGAACACGGCGTCCATAGCAGGAATTGGGTGAAGCGTGCCTCATTACACGGTCGTCCGTTTAAGAGCTATATTGTTGGGTAAGTCCCATGATATTTTTGTGATGACAATGGTCATAGGATGATTGTAAGTGTTACTGCTTAATAAGAGAATCTTTAAAGTCGACAGGGGAAGAGACAAGTCAAATAATTACACGCTAAAGGAAAACTCCCTCGTGAGGCGTTTCAAAAAGGTGGTGCTAGTGCTCAGTGTAGATACAAAGAGACTTGCATCCGCCGTGCCCGCCTTGCATGGAATTTTTTTTTTTAAATTGGTCATGTCTGCAGTCGATAGAGTATCTATGTACGAACAAGAAACATACTCATCTTTTGGTCCTATACCATCAGGCTCCTTTCGGACGATTTGGTTATCTTGCAACTCCACAACTCTGCATATTGCGGGGAAAATCAACACTTCCTCATTTGTGACGGGACCTGGTAGGAAACGGAGAGGCGAATATGTTGCAATGGTTGTGTATAACACACACAAAACTCTGTTTCACATTGATAATTTCACCTGGGAGTCTACTGGCATGGGACCCTAAGTGCGAGAGCTAGCACCGAGCAGCCACGATGCGTAGACAATGGTATCCCAGTCTAAAGTTCATTTGACAATAGTGATTAGGTGGGCATTTTTGAGTCAATTGTAAAGCCTCGGTTGTCGATCAAAATAACACGCCTAATGCCAGGGTATCTCTCCAAGCCCAATCCTTCATTTGCAGCAATCCTTCATCATAGAGCACAGCGGCTCAACTCATACATTCGGAAGATACTTCCTGGCCGGTACCAATCTTACGAGCTTCTTTGTGGTAGTTTCCGCACTGGTCGAATTTCACCTGCAGTCCAGCTGTTTACCGAGGGATAACCCCCTACCCGAGAGGGTGGGGGTCTCCTGTAACACGGCTATATTCATACGATCCTATGGATGAAGATGGACTGAGGTGGAACATCCGTCATCTGATTTTGATATCAAGGAGGTTGGATTCCATGAGAGAGTTGAATTATGTGAAGTATGCAGACTCCGAGATATTGTCAGGGCATGGAGCCGTGACTTGCCATATTGATGGTATAATGCCTCGAAGGACCCAGTGCAGGGTCCGACTTCTCTGTGCGCTCATTGGTCCTAGATGAACACCTCTCAGATGTCATTGTTCTTATTGACTGTTCATCAATACAATAGCAGCTTTAATTCTTTTTTCTTTCCTGGTAGTTCAAAAGACCAGTGTCAGGCAAATCAGAGTTGGCGTCAGACCTGAGCCATTGGCCTCTGCTGAGCTCTGATCCTCCTTTCGCCGCCGAGATCGGCCATAAATATCTTCGAGCCGTTATCTATTGGTATATGAATATTCCTCGGGCGCACTACTAAAACTGCGACCCTCTTTTATCGACATTTGTCGACCAGTCCGCACACTGCGCTGGAGAAACCTCTGCAATCCACACTCGTAGATTATCAAATACAAAACTTTGCCGATCGCATAAAACTAGCAGCTATTCAGGCTCTTCTCTCACTGTTTCACGGCCTTCACCGACAGGCTAGGTAGGTACCGAACGACAGCTGACTATTAGTCAGCTGTTTAGACACAGTTGCCCCGCTTCCAGAATGTTTTTAGCTTCGCAACACCCCCTCCGCCAGCAATCATATCACAGTCTCTTGCTCCTAAGGTCCTCCGCATACCTTTTACACTGCACCGACAGCCCCGTGGGTCACGCAACTGTTGAATATCCAGATGGAGATGAAGGCGATCAAGGTCGCAAAATCCGCGACAGACGACGAGCTTGTTGAACTCGGCAAAACACAGGCAAGTAGGTTGGGTCGCCTATGTTCCTTCGATCACTAACCTAGACAGCTCATGCATAACGGCTGTACTATTTCGAGCGAGACAAGGGATATGTCCAAAAATATCTCCGCGCCGGACAACGCCGTGGCCATTATCGTCGATATCAGCTCCCCAGGCGGCAAGTTCGTTCTTGGGACACATACACAGGCGCCATGGGGCAATAACGTCCTCGCAGAAAGGGTAACAACAAAGGGCGAGGCGCAATTGTTAATATGGCCATGGCAGCATGAGTGGCAATTCTACGCAGTCGGTTCGATCAAAATAAGATACCTAGTAAACCGCTCCACCGCTACATAACCTGTCTGCGTTGACTGCGGAAGTAGAGGCAGAGTTGAGTGGTGATGGGGACGGTAAGGAATGGCTTTGCTAGCGGGTGAAAGGGTTCCGTCAGCAACAAAGGTCCTGGGCAACTGAGCTTTTTGGTAATGAGCCCAGTTGAGAGCTCCAAGAGGTCGTCCGGGGTAAGCTCATATACGCTCCCGGTAAGCTCTGGAAATCTGTCAGTCCACCACTTCATCGTCGTGTGATCCAACTTACCCGTCTGATGGTGCGGCTGGGGCGTGAAGGAGACGGCTGCCGGTTGCGAAGGTGTCGGGTCTGTCGCTAACAGTTCGGGTTCGTTGGAGGATTCGCTTGCCGCTGTAACTGCTGAGGCAGTTTCGCTGAAGTGGGTGGAATGATCATCATCTGTTGATTGGTAAGTAGCTTGAACAATTGAATCGACACCGCCTCTTCACCTTCTAGAATCGGCCGATCCTTAAGATTATGAACGTATTTTCTGATATGGGTGGACAGATGCCATTTTTCCTGCGCCAGTATCGCTGGAAGTTCCTTCCTCCATTCCTTCCTCATTTCCCTGTGGGCCGACCTGCCGATGGCAAGGGCAATAATGGCGGTGAGCTCCTTACCACCGATGGCATGAGCGCGCTGCAAAGTAGCGGTATAGGTATATGGATCCGTGTAATGTTTGTCGGCCACTAGTCCGAAGGCCTCGTGTATGCGCTTCTCATCTCTGGTCATTATCTTTTCGCCAGTCCTAATCCATTCCACCCAGGCGGCAGACACTTTCAGGGCAGTTTCTCGATCCAACGATGTGCGACGAGAGCCTTTTCCTGTTTGATTAGTTTGATTGCGGGCTTGGACTACTAATGGGCGCTTGTGACGAGGCATTTTGAATGTGTAAGAATGACTGCATGCTACAAAAATAAACGACCAGTTCAGGGGGCGAACAGGAAATTTATCAGTTCTCGCTGGGAACTTGGCCCCTTCTCGTTGGAAAGGCGGTTATTCCGGTTGGAGCATTTGAGCCAGGGGCTGGTTTCAGGCCTCAGCCAACAAAGCCACACAGCCACACCTTGAGTAGGGTCCGTGCGCGGCGGAATCCTCTAACCTTTCATGATTTCTCATACTCATGCATAATCGTGTCCATCCCTACGCTCATATATATGAACCCACTTACCCCTCACAATTGTGATTTCTTCGATTTGCCTCAATGTACTCGGTCATCAGTCCAAATTTATCTGCTGCAAGGAGCTCTTTGGCAAGAAAAATGTCATCTCTTACTCCTGGGCATCTTCTTCAAGGTGCCCGTTGGAACTACCGCGTTCTGGAACCCGTCAAAGGAGATAACACGCATATTTCCACCGTTTTCAAGGCCCAGGTTGTTCCACGTGAGAACGCCCGAGTTGTCCCCGAAGTCCCCAAATGGTTCGTTGTATTGCGTTAATCATACCCAGGCTAGTAAGGCTAACTCTGCCACCTAGGGCTTTGATCAAACAAGCGTCAACTAGTGACGAAACTGCCACCAAGAATATGCAACGTGAGGTTCTGACTTATCACCTTCCTGGTGTCGCCTCGGCCGAGTGTTTCCGGAAAATGTATGATGTAATCGACGATAGCACCATCGCTTTGGAATGGTTGGACACTACTCTCGCAGAGGTGGAATACCACCCTGACATGCGCATCTACTCCCTTATCAAGTCTTTTTTAAGAGTAGCGTTCACAAGTTGTGTTGTTTTGGAGGACCACAACCATGTGAATACAGGTAAGATACCTGGTTTCGAAGAGCTGGCATTTCCTAATTACTACAGACTATAAACCCGCCAACATCCTGCTTTCTGACATCCGGACTGACCATGTTATCGCTAAAGTGGGAGACCTTGGTCTCGGTGAGCAAGTATTGATATACGAGGCATACCTTTACTAACAGGGTTATAGTTGTCCCGGTCGGCGAACTTCTTAACGCCCAACCATATGCTATGCGCGCCCCTGAAGTCTTCCTAGGCAAAGCGTGCACTGAGCCATCGCAGGTGTGGGCTGTTGCCGCGATGCTACTTTGCTGGATCAAGCCTGGTGTGTTGGGCGCATGGGACAGCCCTCATCCTTTGATTAACGAGGCTTGGTCTATGGCAAAGATACAGCGGCTCTTTCCTCACTGGGAGATTCCGACTCCTGAAATGGTGAAGAGCGATACCCTTAAAGCTGCAGTAAATTCTGCTCAATCTTTAAGTAAAGAGGTGCCAGAATTGCAGGCGATCCTACCTTTCGACGAGGAAACGAAAAAGGTGGAAATGCCGCAGCAGTTAAGAGATCTCCTACGCTTTATTCTGGTACCTGATACGAAAATAAGGCCCTCCGCCTCATCTGTGCTTGCATCGAGGGAATTTCGAGAGTTTGAGAGTTACGTGAGTGTGTAATCTAATCAAGCTAGAGGATCGCATCTTGTCTATAGGGGGTAAATAGTGACTAAATTTGATTCCCTAAATCTGTGTTTGTGGTAATTCATCCGGAAGGGTTTCGTTGTTTCCTTGTTGTTGCTGCCGGAGCTAATCGCCTATGCATTCCAAGCCTTCAGCAGTGCCGTGATCCGCTTATGCCCCAATAACGGCCTGCTCTCCTTTTGTTCGAGAACTGAAATGGAATGCTGTGGTGGGCCTTTCCATGTAAGAGAGGCAATTCTCCAACTTTCCGGCGATTGCTGGGATTTCCAACGAGACGCCCGCTTCCCCGCGAAAAGATTGTCGGATCCTCTAAGTCGATAGAAAATGATAGGTCGCGCATGTCAACGCCCCTTGGTCTGTTTGAATTTGAGCTATTGATGCTGGGCCATGCCTCAGGCGTTTATTGCCGACCAATAAGATTAAGCTTTGCGGACTTCCCGACATATTCCTTCATCAAAAACAAGCCCACTCGTATCTGGCCTATAGTAGAACAAATTAAAAGGAACATCAGGATGACTTGTGCGGATGGTCTAGAATCCAGTGGCTTTGATCAAGGGGACCGATCAAATAGGCAGCAAAGATCGTCCTGTCAAAGAACCCATTCCCAACGAGATAAACCTGTCAAAGAACTCATTCCCAACGAGATAAAGTCTTTATGCCATCTCGTTGGATTGTGGTTTGGAGCTATGACACAAAGTCAAATATAAAAGGAGAGTCTTTTTCCTAGAGTTGTCCCAAACGCATTGGCAAGTCATTTCCATACCTATTCGCGCATATTTTATTGAATCCGGCTCCAATCTCAAACTCAAGATGTCTCTCATCGGCCATGTCTTTAACAAAGTTCTCAACAAGTCCATCCCGGTCTATATCGCCCTATCCGGGAACAGCTACATTCGCATGCCCAGTGTTATCGACCAAGCTGCCAAGGATGCGGCTCTTGCCAAGGTCAAGGAGCCCTTTGAAAGCGGCAAGCTTTTCAAAGACGATGACATGAAGCAGATGGAGCAACTCACAATTACGTAAGTGACTAGTTTGATCTTTCTACGCTATCTTGACTAACCGCCACCAGCAACATGACTCATTGTAGCCCTAGTGATCCCAACGATCACTATTCTGTTCAGGGCGAGACTAGCGCCGGTGGTAAGGTCAAAGGCAATCACGCTCAGGTGGATGCGTCCAAGCAGACTGTAATACCTACCTCGCCACTTCATGTGAAAATTAACACGCAGCTAACCCCATTCTATAGCAAGCTCGCTAGGTATTTGCTTTGCGGTATCAAGCTATTTACACGAGCTTTGGAGAACCATGTCTAGGGACGCGGAACATTACTTGCTACTTCATGTGTGGCTGTTGCGAGGAGGTCAAAGCCGATCTAACTATTGTCATTCTTTGGCTATATTCCCAGATAGTATTGATTTTTTTTGCTTAGTATATTGGGAATCTAGCCTCAACATACCTAAAGCTTGAAAGTAAATTAATCAACACTACATTTCGGTGGCACTTTATCTTTCCCTTGTATGTGATTCGTGATTGGTTGGAAGATTTTGAAGAAGCCTGTGGAGTGCATGGCGGCACATGCGCAAACGGGTTATGTAAGAAGTAGTGGGAAGTTGGAATAGGGTATAGGTAGTCGAAAAATCAAGGGTTGATCCACGTCAGCAAATTCAGTATTCCATTTCAGTTTCGAGGCCAACCAACCATGTTTCAATCATCACGTTTTGTGTGTTATGCCGAAGTCAAGAGAGTCATATAACGATATATGTTTCCGTTTTTAGCATATCCCATACCACCCCTAGCAGTCCCAACGCCAGCGAGGCTCTTTGCACCAATTCCGAGTTTAACATAGTCATTTGCTGCAAGTGTGCGCATACCGTACGAAAAGATAATATTATCTCGCATTGAACCAGCACCAATCACCGGGTCCTCCCCCGTACGACAGCGCGGTATATCGAGAGACGCGTGCAGCAATGAGAGCATATTAACGACCCGATATCAGCAGTTGGCCCATCCAGATCATCACCCAGGTCGTCGAGCCCATCCCCAGACTAACCGTATACACCGATGGTTTATTATGTTTTACAACATCGTGAGAGACATATTTGAATTTGCTGCTCGGCGGCCGATAACCCTGGCTCTTTCCTACGGCCGCCCTAGTTGGTGCGACCCAGTTATGAGCGTATAGTCTTGACGGAACGCGCGAGGAATTGGCAAGATGTCCCTTTTGCGTGTAAAAGTCCATCCGAGAAAACTCGCAATTTGGAAATTGGCTTATTTACTATAGCTGGAACCTCCCATTAGTCGTATTGCGTAGCACGGTCGGACGACTTGATCGTATCACTCACTTCACGCGCAAAACTCCGTCGAAGACGATGATTCGGTCCCCGGGTGCGTCGAAAGGACTTTCTTGATCTTACTGCGAATTTCTAACAAACGATAGCTGGGCTAGTCGATAGTTCGTGAAAAGCTCGGGTGGTGTTGCCACGGTGTGATAAATATATAAACCATAGTTACATGATATGCGTGAAATTTGGAAAATGTCGAATACTAAGTCTAGGCGAGATGGTGTAACAACATGCAGACCATAACTGGGTTTCGTATAAACCCCATGAATAACTCGACAATCCTCCTAATCCTTGTAGAGCAAGATGATTGAGGTGATTTAGTTCGTCCAAAACCTTTGAATGAAGCGTCGGGCCCGTGCTCGAAAATCCACTGGCATGGTATGCTCTAGTAACTGGTATCTATCTCTGCCTGGATGAGCGCCGTCTCGGACGGTTTTAGTCGAGCCCAGTGGCTACTGGGGACTGCCCCGTTTATCTTGCCAATGGACTCGTAATGACTGGGCGGACAGTCTACCTTCCGTGGCATTTTAGACAGCTCAGAACGCTAATAAACTACTGTCACCGGTGTCACCACTACAATATATGCCTATGCTCAGGACAACCGTAAGTCATTCAGAGGCGTGAAAACACGGATGGCACCGACATCAATCGCAGGCTCGAAACGGAAACGCATTAGTTAATACTATATACACACTTGATCTTGAGGAGCTTTCCAGCCTCGAATACATCATCCAGTAGGCTTCCGATATCATCTTGTGAGTAACCTAGGGCGTCATATGTAATATCTGGGCGGACCCGAATGAAGGATACCGTGCTTCACCACCTGCGATTCTCATTGGAGTACCTTCGACGTAACGACCTTCTGGACCGCAATGGAGCACCCTTGGATTTTGCAGGATGTGTCAGTCACTTGTACTACACAGAGAACTCGAGTTTTGCATTCCACGCATTACTGGACGCCGGTTACTTTCACGAACTTTGCGCACAAATTCATCACAAGCCCAAAAATAGGCTACTATCGCTGATGCTTGTTATGTGTCACTTGTTCGGCCGGCAGTACGTTCGTCAGGCCATTCTCGAACAGATCCAAGGCAGGACCAGAAAATCGACTTCCATCTTTGTCCTGCCTACTATGCCGAAGAGAGCGGTAAACATCCTGCGGAAGCACAACGAGAAGACGCTCGATGTGTGCAAGGCCTGTGTTGCCACTTTTATTGAGCAGAACAACACTGAACCCGACCACGTTCTTCCATTCACGAACACCAAATGTGGAGTATAAATAGCTTGCATTTAGGTATGTTTCTCCTAATGAAGCTGGGAAATTGCTAAGTCGTCATGATGGTACCTATTGATGTTTGAGTATGTATTAGGAATTTTCGGGGCTTAGCTTTTATATATGGAAGGTATCGAATAATTGATTTAATCACCAAATTCTAAGTCTGAACGGATCAGGATTGGATAACGGTTTGATCCCTGGGCTGTAGTTATAGTAGAAACATACGTTCTGCTTTGCGCATAAAAGCTTATGGTTGGCTGAGCAGGAATATGAAACGAAGAGGGCGAGGAACCAGAGGATGTGCATTTGTCTCTTGGTGTAAGTGCCTTATTTTGCTCCGATTGCCTTTAGATCCTGAAGATTCTGAGATTCTTAGATAGGTGGTAAATAATAATCTTGGTGCGTTTACAAATACCTGCATAAGCTGTACACTTACCACTTCGCTCATAAGTTGTCATCTTGACTTAGATGAACTCTATTTCATACTATGCAGAAGATAGAAATATGTTGTTTCCACAGGCTTGCTTCCGGGTATTTTTGAACAGTCATATCGGAAATAGATCTCTCATAAACTATCCGGGACTTGAAATGTTTATTCCATGCGGTGGGCTCTAGCGTCAGCCCAATCTCAAGAACCTCCATGCGAAAGAGATAGACTGAGGACAATGGAGACATTGACATCTCCAACTACTCAAATACACCGAGGGAATTGACATTCAATATCACAATACCAGCACTAGCGCAGAAAGCGATTTTTGCAAACTATGTAAGAAACAAAACCGAATACAATATTGGAGCCCTGGCCCTATAACCCAAAATAGACTACGTCGCGGCCGGCAAGTCTCACCATTCAGACTGCTTTATATTTCGTGCATTACCACCTATCCAAAGAAAGAGATTACAGGGCCACCACAGTCTTAATGTGTTGCCAAGTAATTGGGAGATGCACATCTTTTGACAATCAAATTTTCACACTATCCCAGGGGATAATCGTAATGAATATCATTTTATTCTAGCTAGTATTTTTTGGTATAGCGAAAGAGATTCCTGAGAGGCTGATCAGATTCAGATTATATTACGTCGCGAGCCTATGGCGAAACTAACTGTGATCATGGAACCCGGTTTCTTATCAACAACCAGCGGTATATAATGGCTCGATCTAATATCGTCCTCGGATATTCAATCGTCATGCATTTTGAGGGATCGAGACACTGCTGACGTTGGCGAACTTTATTTAGACTGAAGGTCGCGAAGATTTGGCAAATAAGCTTTACTTAATAAGAACTTCTTGTGGGTACATACTTTGTTGTGCTGCTCGCACCTCTTCAATTCATCATGTTGATTTCAGATTCGCTCCAGTCATGGCGTGAAGCACAAAATATAACCTTGCGAACGTAGTAGTGGTGATATCATTGATTTCTCGGAAAATTATATTTTGAGGAGAATCACGGCGTAATTCCACTTCAGTTTCGGAGCAGGCCGGTTATGAAGCGTAGAATCATACCGTAGAGGATGTAAAAATCCTATCCTAGTGGACGGTAACCTAAATTCATGACGTATTGGACATGTACAATATATCAAATATTTAAGTCTAAGCCAGACCTTCCTTGCGACTTGATTCATCATTGCTCAGAAGTAAATCTAAATCGAAAGTGAAGTGGGTTATCCTTCGGCCGTTTCTGATGTACTGATATTGACATGAGGTGTAGGAGAAAATGAGATTTCGAACATGTGTAGCTTTGGCTCCCGCGCCCGAAATTGCTCCAGACTGCTTTAAATGCGGCAAGCCAAGCGATCAGTTCGTGACGAAAACTTCAAACAGGAACAACAATGCCGGTCGGCCTTATTTCAAATGTGTCCCATGTGACAAATTCTTGGTCTTCAACGACACCCGTGGCAATGACCCCGATAATGCCCACTGTTACTGTGGCGTTTCCAGCAAACGACAGATGTCAGGGCCTGACCGCTACGTCCGCTACGGCTCACATTTCGTCTGTCGACTCGGCCGTTGCAATTATTATCGGCCGGAGATGAGAGATAGATATCGCCAGGTGTCTCTGGAGGACGTGGAAGAAGAACTTCTTCAACTTTTGATTAGATTCTGTGCAATCTAATTTCAAGCACATGTATGCAGATGGAACTATTGCGAAGGGCTTTGCTCAAAGTAATTTGGTGTGGATAACAGCATGAATAATGTGTAGCCCACGATTCATCTGTCTGAACCTTTGGATAATTCTATCTTCCTTCTCTTTCGTTGAATCTCTCACCCACTGCTGTCCATGTAGGTTGCTTATGCTGTAGGCCAGTGATCTACTTCTAGCCGTCGGTAGGTCCGATAGCGCATCAGTGTAACATTAGATACCTAGAGCGAGCTACATCGCGCAAATGAACCAATCAACCATAATTACTTGGCCGCCTAAGAAAAGCCCTTACAACTGGAACAATTTTCTTCGGGGTCCAGGGTGGCCTTAAGGGGGACCCATACACATTCGAATATATAGCACCTGCTGCCCAGGTCACGTTTGTCGAAGTGAGCGAGCAAATATTTTGGGGTTGTCTTAATCGAGCTTATAGTCAACAGCTGAACATGCGTTTTGACATCAGACTTCCTGTAAAGAGGTGACCTGATTATCGAGGCATCTGAGCATATGCATCGTTGTCTCTGAGACGAAGCCGCAGCTATGGAATCCCGAAGCTTCTTCGCAATTTCTACATGATTCACACCCCGCTGGGTTCTAACATATTTTCAAGAGATAGAAGAGCCTCTTTACGAGAAACTGAAAGAATGTCTGAAACATGTGATTCAAGTAGCTCCAACGGTTCCATGCCGCGCATACAAACTCAGCGACACAAGCCGGCACAAATGTTTCGCAGTATGGGCGGTGAAAGAGCAAACAACGGCTTTCCTCCGAATTTCGATCCAGGACAATGCCTTTTGCTGGCCCTTTCACGTGCTGTGGGCTTCAAATTGCGCCAAAACGCATAGGACGTGCCGGATTAGAATTCACTTTGACGTGGATCGGCTCACAATAACCCTCTGGTATCTGTACGCGCATTTCTACTGGGATGCACTGCATACCACATTCCCCCCTAGAATAGGTAGAGTCTAGGGTCCTTGGCATCCCGAACAAAATACTCAAAGCATTGATTGACCTGGTAGGTCCGCTTTAACCCCAGGGTATCAATGTCAGCTTCTCCAAGTATCCGGGCCCCATTCCTCATTTCAGAGTACTTCAGCCCAGCGTCATCCATCCGAAATGTCCAAGGCGTCGGTACCCTTACGCCACCGGACCAGGTTAAATCCTGTTAGGTCGGGCTTCTATTGATTGTGCACACAGGATTTGCAAGTAACTTTAGCCTTTTTATATTAGCCTTCAGACTAGTGAATTTGCGACAAGTTGGACCAGCCAAATGCGGATGAAGGGCGCCGTTTTTGGACCCGGTGATTGGTGCTGATTATGCGTCAAAAAATTATCTCTCTAACATGTTCTCTTCGTAAGGTATGCGCACTTACAGTGAATAACTTGTTAGACTTGCAATTGGAGTAAAAACCTCGTTGGCGATGGGACTGATGGGGTGGTATGAGATATGCCCTATATGGAAACATATATCAACATACGGCTTTTTAACTTTGAGATGACTTGAGCATCTGGTGATTGTGTTGAGATTCATGGCTTATCCAGGCATCTCCAGGCATGAAATGCCTGCTTCGCCAAGCATGATGCTCATGATCAGCATTGACCTACCCTGTAGAGTATAGTTCAGGAGAAATGCTTCTCATTAAATAGGATCTCTCTCTCATGAGAGAGAGATCAGGCTTAAACAACCTCGCTGGCCTTGACGTACATGGTTCCCGGTAAATTCATCGTGTAATTTCAACAGATTGAGACGTGGTTGATTGGCCTCGAAACGAGGTCAACAAGTAAATACGAACGAACCCTGAATTTCAGACTGAAAATATATATGTAATACCCTATACCCTGGTGGTGGTGTTTGTGTGCAGTATCACGGTCGCCTGGGATTGGCACCCCATCACAAGGATTCCTGATTTCGTACCCTGCAACCATCTCTGAACTCGAAACGCTTCTAATTATCTTGACTATGAAATGGAGGGTGTAAAAAAGATACGGAAATCAGAGGTCCGAGTCCAGAGTCCGGTATCCGATCACGTGATTAGACTCCAAACCCGCCAAGCCCCAGCCTCCCCTTTTTCCCATTCTCTCGGGGCATTTCTTCTTCACCTTCTCCCTCCAACATCATCATCCTGTAAAGATAGTATTGCTCTTTGCCTTTCTCGTCTCCTGTTCTGTCATCCCTGTGACTACATAGGGCTCTCCGATTTCTCTTCGGATTGGGCATGTACTCGGGGCCTGGCCGCAAAAGCTTTACCACTTTACTCTCATCTTCTTGTTATCATTATTCATCCGACATTTTACGCGAGTCAGGGCTGCTCAACGCTATTCGAAAGCCCGGGTGGGAGGGCTACTCGATTCATTGAGGGTTCTTTTTAATCCAGCGAATATTGCAACAACACGATGACCAACACATCGCCAGACGGGGCCTGGGTTTTCGAGAAGGCAATACTTGTTTATACACCCGATTTCGATGTTTCTTGTTTTGCTGTCCTTCGTATTGCCCATGATCAAAATGCCAACGAAGGATCTATCTCCCTTAAGATTACGGCAGATCTTGCTAACCTAAGCGGCAGATCACCGCTGATGTTGAACATATCCCCAGGAGTAGTCAAAGAGTGTACATTAGCCCGGAAAAGCAACGACCGCCTCTGTCCGCCTGGTTTGTTTTCCATGCTCCCGGCGCGTGTCAAAAAGTTTCGGCCGTCTCAACACTAAGTCTGACACTTAGCGAGACCGGCATTGTTCTTTGTCCGACTGGGATGGAGACTCTAAGCCCAGCCAATCCAGGAGACTTGAATTTCGATGCATTCGCGAAAATTTGTTATTCCACATCTCTATGTCTATACATTTCCCAACGACAATTTGCGGACGAAGAACTTGACCAGCTAGAAATTTTCTCAGGTGCCCTACGAAGTCTTCAGGCAAAGACTTTTCAGAACGCTCGGCATGGTGTGGAGGAGAGAGGTTGTGGTGTCTTTGCTCGGTGGCTCAATCCAAATCCACCCCCCTATCCTGAGGAGCGCGTATCCGAGCAGGGGGATCCGCCCGTATATTGCAGGCATTCTGAACAGGTGACTGGAAAACGGCGCACAGGTATCTTGTCACCTTCTTATCGTCCTTTGTACTTTGTCGTTCAATAGCTCATTAATAGTGTCTAGTCCCATGGTTACTGTCACCTGACGATAAAGCACGAAAGAGACTGCTCCTTACATCCCCTGAACGGCTAAGCTCTACATCCCCTGAAGCGCTAGACTCTCCCACCGAACCCACACCGAGTACTCGCTCCTCGTCACCGTCCTCAATCCGCTCAATCCCCCCAACTGACTTTATGCTTGCTTCCTCTCCTGGCCGCACAAAGCGTAAGAGACTTGCGCGCCTTGAAGAGGAGCTCCGTGGAGTTTCCGATGAGGAGATATGCCAAGTATTAATTCGATCAGGACGGCAATATCTGCTGGCCATACAAAAAGATGTAGACAGAGATCTGTCATCCGAGTCTGAGACCGTCGGAATTGCCAATGTCAATATGCTTGAGCGCCGCCTCAAGCACAGCCTCAAACAATATGTCGATGAGACGATTGAGCACCTCAAATCACAAGTTGTCGGTGATATTGTTGAGAGTGCTTTAAATGAGTGTGATGAAGCGATCGAGGGACGATACAGAACGCACGAAGCCGACTTGGAGGAACAGGTCGACGACTATAAGGTTGACCTAGGCATTACGGCCAATGACTGTACGAAGGAAATAGAAGAACAGGCGCTACGGTGCATGGATGATATCGAGGATCAGGGGATCAAGGTTGAGAAGTCTGCGACAGAAAGATTCGCAGAGCTCACGCGCTGCTTGAGTGATTCTGCCCAGTCCCTACTTGATAGCAAGTCAAGCCCAGGCCAGCGGCGCACTGAGGGGCCTGAGGCTAGACGCATTTCCATTTAGATTTGGTATTATATCTCCTAGGATTGTCGTTATACACTTGAGTTCTTTATTAGTCCGCTAGAAAGGCAAGTGCCGAACATACTCCTAAGCGAGCAGGCCACCCTAGAACTTGACACCTATGCCATGGGGGTGTGCCATACTACCACGATGGGCGTTCCTGTCTAGGGGTACATGTCGGAGCGTCCAGACTATCAAGAAATCTTAGCGCCAGGAAGATCAGTAGGCCACCGTCTGGGTCATCGAGGATGCCATTTAACGTTCAACGCAGTTCGTCGTATGCCGGCGTTTATTTCATCGTGGTATCAACTCGTACCGTATCCACATTCGACGGCCCGGTCCGTCGTACGAGCCTACGGTCCCCGGCCCACCCTATTCCACGGGGTACTGGAGTCTGGTTGACTCCAAGTTAGGGTTTCCTCAACTATGGTAGAAAAGTGGGCCACACGTTAGACATCAATCTGCACCAGCCAAAGCGCTCGATCAACATTTGCGATTCGTTCCAGCAGAAGGTGTGGGGCTCATTCGAGCGCGATGGATGTTCGTTTTGTGATTCGCCCAGTACGGAAATACCGATCCTAGAACGTGGTCTTAGCTAGACGCGTCTAATGGACCATCTCTGGCTGTCACGATGAGAGAGTTTGACGTGTCGTCGGCTCTTTCGTAAGGATGCGACAGGAAGCAAGACATTATAACGATTGCTCAGCGAGGATTTGTAACGACGGTCGATCAGTGGACAGTTGCGCTACCAAAGACTGTGGTAAGCCTCGTCGAGGTAATTCACTTGGCCCTCTCAAGCCTGGTCGCCATGAGCAGGTTAATAACTCCAACTTGCCGCTTCATTTTAAATTCTTGACATGTGCTGGCTTTTTAACTGCCCCCTTCAGCGGTGCCTTCTCATGCCGCAAGAACGTTGCAGCCGGGGATGTGTTAATCGAGACTTTTAAATCCTTTATATACGAATTTTAAAACCACACGAACGGTTCCTAAAATTGGCATGGACCTCGATTCGAGATCGATTTTGCGCAAACTTCCTATAAAATACAACATTTCGCATAAAGGGTATTCTTCATGCTTTTGTCCCGCTTTACTCCATTCATTCCTGGTTATATAGGCTTACCAATAGGCTTTGCTTACACACTATACTCTAGATAGTGGTAGGGTGCCGGGTGAAAATTTCGAATTTACTTTGTTCCGGGGAGCCGTGGCTAGTTGGAATGGAGACGTGCTGGTAAAAGGTGCCGTTGACCGCAGGGCTAGTGTCCCGGAGCTAGGACATGTGCGTGAAAACGTGCACCTGGAAAAGAAAATAACATTTAGAACGATTAACTAAATTGACAATACTGGGCTCATCTGGTGAAAGAAACTCTACCCCGAAACTGTCGCATATCTAGTCTTGAGTTCGCGACCGCAGACGAAACCCCTGTACAAGCTCAGAGGATTCAGCCTTGCAAGGAACCCCAGGCCTCTTTGTGGAAAGAATATTTGGTTGAGGAGTAGCCGCTATAATATCTTGTCTCAACTTTCGAGCCCATGGATTATTAGACTTGCGGATACGGAACGGATCCCTTACTTGCCTTCGAGGCCTTTGTATACCTTGAATTGGTCGACGAGTGACCTGAGCAGTGGATCCCATGTATGTGTCGGCGTTGGTCCTAGTTGAGGGCTTCAGTGGAATCATCGGTGGAACTCGACTCCGGTGAGTTGTTAGGCCTATTCCATCAAAACACTTGACCAGCATCTGTGCCGCGGAGGCGCGCTCGTCCGGATCGACTCTCGCCATTTCTTGAATAACTTCAATCTTTGATGCTGCGACCAAGATGGCCTGATGGGCGTGTTGGAGACACTTAAACTGCTCTGAGCTCTCACGAAACCCATCGACGTCCAGTGTCCATGCCATGGTTACAAAAAGGGACCAGACATCCATCTTGTGTGTCTGGACCTGATTCTGAAACGCCTCAGGGGCCATGTACAATGGACTCCCAACAGAAGTCACGGCACTGACAGTGCTGTTGCACAGACCGAAATCGCCGAGCTGGAACTGATATTGCGCACTTGGCAGTGAAGAATAAAGAATGTTTTCGGGCTTCACATCTCGATGAACAATGCCTTTCGCGGCGAGATAATCCAATGCCTGAAGCATCTGGTGGAAGACGTAGTGGGCAAGGCTGGTGAGGGACGAAAAACCACCTTTGAGAACCAACGATCTAAGGGTGCCATCCTTGAGTCCCATGAATATCTCCACAGATGGTCCGTCCCAGCCTTGTGACGTGATATAATCGATAATGTGCGGCTAGGACAGCGTCAGTTCAGAGCACGAGCCCAGGAGGGCTTGGAATGGTGACTAACGTGGCATATGTGCGATAAAGTCTCGACTTCGCGTTTCAGCGCATAGTACAATGACTGCCTCCACTCAGCCTCTTTTGATGCTCGGTGAGGTCTTTGTAATATCTTAACAGCGAGAAACCTGCCCGTGTCGATATCGATGGCCTTATATACAACTCCGAATTGTCCCGATCCAAGTGTGGCAACCTTTGTGTATCTCATCGTCAGCTGTCGAGGGCCTGGAGTATGGATTCTGGTTTGCCTTTGAGATGGTAAAACCGTCGCTAACTCATCAATTGTCCGAGCTAGGCGGGGATTCTCCTCGTAGTCACTCGTGATATCCTCTCGATCTTTTATTCTCTCCGCCGTTTCAGTAGGATCTTGATGCCATAGCAACTCGAATTGGACCAGATCTTGCTCTTTGCCGCCCATCCCCAAACCAGTGTTCAGCTTTTTTTGAACCACTACTCGACGAGGGCGCCCATGCTCGAATTTTGTAGCATTATCGCCAAAGACCTGCGTTGTCTGACCGTGAGACCTGTCATAGAGCATAATCACATTGGTGCTCGTCTCGATTTCGAAAGAGCATTGGACTTTGGCGATGCTGGTGCCCTCCACAAAGATGTCCGCATCGCCACGCCCCAGCGTTGCAATGGTGCGATGGGACCTTGACCGTATATGGAAACCAACGTCGAGAACAATTGTGCCATCGGTTAACTTCGACGCAAGGTGTTGGTTCCAAGGATGGCTGACGACCTGTTTGGCTCGTTCGTTTAGAGGTCTGAGGGAGAAGAGAGCAAGACGACGATGGTGTGATTGCAACGACATTTGGAGCAGAAACGACCAGTTTACAAATTTGAAGCCGAGGGACACGCTCAGAAGAAGTATTAAGGGCATGGTTGCTTGACACTCATAAAGAAAAAGAGCATGCTTAAGCGCTACAGAGCCTGGGGTTGGGACTTATTCGTTTCAGATAACACAATCGCCGGGAAATCGGTTCGCAAAATGTTGGAAATGTCGAACACTAGGCGGCTATTTAACGGGTACGATTTGTTGATTGAAGAACTATCTGCACGCTAGTGCCGCAGCTTAGCGCTCACGTCGCACTGGCTTCTGGCACTCCCTTTCCCCTATTTCACCCACTTCCATTCTTCTGAGTTCGATTTCTCTGAAAATCCATTCTCTCAGTATGTTTAGATGCATTGGATCCGGCCTATCTATTGTCCACACCGCGCTCGAAACCTTTGTTGAAAACCCGTCTCGACTCGATTTTGACCGGTCGCGTTTCGGCAGACGCGCACCGTCGCACACGTCTTGTCAGTCGCACAATTCAACACGATCTCAAAGCCCTTGCGGCACTTCCGAGATGGAGCAACGCCGTGATCGTCGACAATGGCAACTGGCGAAGGATCATGAAGCTTCACGACCCGATCGGCAATTTGACGCTCAGGTCGACGAACTAGAAGCGCGCATAATTGACGGAATCGAAAATCGAAAGGTTGCCGTTCCCGACGGCACAAATATGCACAATCTCGCCCGAGACACAGTGAAGAAGAACTGGATAAAGCAAGGAATATGGAATGAACAATGGAAGAACATGCCTAAAACACGGTGGATGCACGAAGAGTCACGTGACATGTCATCCGCATCCGAGACAGACACTAGCACAGCACTCAAGCTCAACTTGTTTTCTCCCCTGGAAAAAGCAGAGTCATGGTCCAGTCAACCGTATAGCGGCAGTATAATACAACAGCGCGTTGAGCGACGAGCAAGACAGAAGAACAAAAACGAGGCATCACGCCCATTCCATCAGTTCATCTACCAAATATCAGAGGAGCGGGAACAACTTCAAAGTGGCTCTCCAGATGATACTGTTCTTGTTTCTGCCCCTCTGGATATCAACACCAACGCTTATAATAACGTGAAACGTACCTGGGTCAAAAGAGGCATTTGGAACGAAAAATGGGGCATATTGCCAGGAATGCTATGGAAGCACGAAGGACCTTTACAGCCTGACACGGATTTAGGTTTGAGCCAAACAAAGATCACGGAGAATGGTACCAGCAATTTGAATACTGTGCCTTCGGTTTTTGACGGTTGTGTTCCTCTTGAAACATATGGTCATTTTTCGGAAGGCGGTCGGAGAGCTCGTAAGAGGAACAGGGCTGCCGCAAACTCCGACGATAAAGAGAGCTCAATCAGGAAGGTTTCCAGAACTGGCGGGTTGGATACATCAAGCTCTAGGATCGAAAAGCGTAATTCTAGCAGCCGATTGGATACGAATGATCAAGGAACTCAAGGTACTGGGACACGTAGAAGCAGGCGTTTACAAAAACAGGCTGCAAGTTTCAATGGACCAGAACTTGTGTGAAGTGCTCGGCCTATACCGAGCTAATTGATTGTGCCACATTTTAGAGAAACCACATGTTCTATTCAGTTTGAGCGAATGCCTGTTTTGTATGTACAGTCGAGGAAGAATATTTTTACTTAGATCTTTCAGCTGTTTCTAGGGCTATTTACGAACGAACCAAAAAGGAGCTTTCAGAACATTGAAGAAGTAAACACAAAGAGCGCCAAATAGCTCAGAAGTCTTTGCTTCCAAGGTTGGGCAAGATACATGCAAGTAACGTTCGCTTCAACCCATTTTTTATCTATCGTCTGACTGAAGTATAGTCATTTACTAGCAGCAAAGCCACTATTATAATAAATCGTCGCGCTGGCTCCGGATAAGTGGCGTTTCGTTGGACGTCGAATTTTCATTTATCTTAGTCCTTCCCCTTAATGTTGACCGAGATATAAGCGTCTAAATCCTATTTCATGCCCGAGTCTTGGTGTTTCCTACGGGTCAAAGAAATTATCAGCTTCTAAAGTTGCAGCTAAATAGATATCCGGCGATAAGGGCCATGGAAATGCATTGAATTTTCCTTACGAACTCCGATTGGATATTCTCAATCTCGCAATCTTGAAGCAATATACAATCCACATTTTTTTTTTTAAATGGAATAGCCATGGAGTATAATCTGTTGAATCCGGTCGTTTTCGAGGTCAAAGTGCCTATTTAAGCATGCACGAAAACCTTCCGAATTTCGTGGTCAAAACTAAACCTGTTTTGGAATACCACCGTACCTACCTGCAATATCACGATAGATCCGATTCCCATATACCCACCAACAACCTCCAATCCCAACGGTCGAAAATAGCGATATGGACCTTGAAATGTTCTTGAACAGATTCGCCCTGCTCACTCTCGAGGATCCACAAAACACAACCGAAGCAGATAGTGTCCCCCGAATCGCAAAAGATCGCCAAGGTGGAGCTGCTCGAGAATGACAGGGAGGAACAAAGTGACTCTTTCTCGGACATATGTTCTTCAAAGCATTGTGCTTATTGCGGGATCTACAAAACATGCGCGCATCAACCCCCACACCTGGACAGAATATAGGGACAAGAAGATTGACCCCGTGGATGCTGCTGTTGTGACCGACAATGCCGCGAAGCTTGCGCGAGATCTTGTGCTGGAGGTTGGACCACTCTTGATTCCCATGTGATGGTATCCAGCAAGGGGTTTTTACTGCCTCTTGCCTCAACCGAGGCATTGCTCCGACACCATCCGTCGAAGATAGTCTGCCATACAACAAGGGTATAGCAGATGTAGCTGAGTGGTGCTACATTGGTCCTTCTAGATTCATTTGCAGATGTCCTGCAGGAAAATTATTTACCGGTCTTCAACAACGGCCACTTCAACTTTTGAACCCCAGGCAACAGAGAGCAGATGTCCGTGGGCCAGAAGTTCAATGAAGACAAAATCCTTATGCTGAAACTCCTCCCAGAATTTTGCATGGTCGAACTTCTCGACATTCCCATACATGCCTCCGATGCTCTCGCTGAAGGTCTAGTGGAGTATTGCAAACACTAAAACTTCCACAGTATGGCATTGTTTTACTTCCCAGGTTTTACTTCACATTCATCATATTATGCGGTACAGCAAACTGAGCGCATACGAAGACCTTCGGATGTCTTGATTGCGTTTTCAAATAATCACCAAGGACTACTGGGAGGTCTCTAAAACACACCCTGATCCCCCGTTCTGGCCTAATGAGGGAGAGGAAGAAATAAAACGAGTGCACGAGAGCGTGGAGTCGTGGATTATCAATGATCCCTTTTACGTCCTGAAAGTTAACGTGGTTTCTGGCAACCATGTACCCAAGAAACATGGATTATTCTCTCAGCATGCTATTCTTTGCGGATTGAAAATGTTCCACTTCAATATCCGGATGCAGTCTATGAGCCAGGCTCTCGTCACACAGTGGTTCGATGTGCAGAAATTGGGTTTCTTGAACCAATCTCGTCAAGCAAGCAGTGCCCAAGCAATTGAGTTGGCCCGACATGGAAGCTTTCATCAGAAACATGGTGAATTATCTCATATTTTCATCGGGGCCGGCCAAGGAATGCTAGCGAGTCTCTAAATATACTTCGCGCTCAACCGATCTGACTGAACAGGTACGAAAATAGGCCCCTCGATATGGAAGATTAACTCAAAGCAATATATATATCCAAAAACGTATAAATGGCACGGGATCCTTGAGCTTAGTGCCAGATTCTGGGGACTGTGTGGCACCTTCTTTCAACCTGGACCATTTCCAAGAATGACATGGATGAGTTGCGATAGAATCCATGTCTGACTGAGACAAACTAGATTTCCAATGTCCGAAGATTTCCCTCTACGGATGCTCGCGCCGATTCCACAAAGTCGGACGGAAACAGCAATCGGCCATCAAGAATGTGGCCCATATGTGTCCGTCCAATATCCTGACAATCCTTTCTAATCTGCGACATAAGAACCTTAAGAAACTTGAGCGGACTTTGGCTGAAAACCTCCCTTATTCGTTGGCTACCTCCCTGGATGAAACCATCTGCCGCAACGACTAAGCCAGCAGGCGTTTTGAAAGATGCCACCCCTAAAAACTCACAGAGGTCCTTGTACTCGGAGTATGAATCAAGGTACAGCTGTCCAGCGAAGAGGTTGAGCTCGATCCGAAGTATGTCGGGAGCTTCGCTCTTGTTAGCATGTTCAGGGACAGTGTATAACGCCAGTTTATCCAAGGGGAGACATCCTCGATTATGGCGTGGTGCATATAGACGAAGAGAAACAGCATTCGATTTACGTATCTCGGGCATCAAGCAGTTGGCTTCGTAAGGGCTGATGATCATCATTTGCATCACAGTTCTTTCATCGCAAGGCACACGATGGTTACTCGTCAGAATCCACCTAACGGGCCGCTGGAAAGCATCAGCAAACAATGGTGAGCCCGTGGGAATTTTGATTGTTGTAGAGAACTCTGTCGTAGCTAGGACACCGGAAGGGAACTCAGTTATGTCGAGAAAGGAGGCTGCGGAGGTACTTCGCAGTGTGTAGAAAGCCGGCTTGTAGGCTTCGGAAGCGCTCGCAAGATCACCCGTAGCGACAAAGGAGGTTATGTGTGGGTGGACGTGGTGTGCTGCTGGTGTAGCTGGTGGAGGCCTTTGAACTTGAGGCTCGATCTCAATCTCTGGTGCGAGCTCGCGCTCCTGCTCCTCCTGAAGACGGGATGATAAAACGTCGAGACCTTTAAACTTTCGACAACGCCTAGCTATCTTATTCATGTTTTGATTATTATCCGAGGAAGAGTAAAACAGCGGCCGCTCTTGGTAACCAGGTCGGTATCGTCGTTCGAGAGTCTGACATTCGGGCTCGAGAAATCTTTGGGCTTGGATCGACGTTATTTCGACACTCTCACTTTGACGAGAATCCTGCCACAGTTCTTGTTGTCGCTCAAAACGGTTACCCTGTACTGCCCAAAGAGGAATACTTCGTCGAATTTCACTCCAAGTCTCAGCAATTGCCCAGAGCAGAACATCTGAGACATCGATGGGTGAGCCTCCATCCTTGCGACGTAAGGCGAGGATGCTAAATTTGACTTCATTCGGTATGCAGAAGACAACAGACTGTCCGTTGCCTAGCTTTCTCATTCTCATGCAGGCTATAATACTGTCACTTCTTGACGTCGTCTCATATCGGATGTCGGAATTCATACCTTGTACCGGCTTGTCCTTTGTGATCCCCGGGCCCAATGTGACCGCGGCACGATAGTTGACCGGGAGCTTTAGATCGATTCCTCTTGTATGCGCCTCATCAAGAAACACAAAACATGCGTCCATCTGTTGTGCGAAAGGAGAGGTTTGTAGAGACTCTACACGCCCATTTCGATCAAGGACACAGATATCGTCTCGATCGTTCACGAAAACGATCGCTTGCGTTCGGCCCCCGCTGGAATTCTGCGTAGCCAGGCCTTTGCCATGTCATGGTTACTGAGCTCCAAAATCTGTGCGCCCACGTCAAGGATCACCTGAGCGGGTGGCTCTAAGTTCAACACTAAATCCAACAGGGTTTGAGCATCTGATTTGCATGGGTCACTTGGATGAGGGATGCAAGCCACAGAGTTTTCTTGTCGTAGCAAATACTCCAGGACCAAGGCGTTTGTGTGGTTTTGCTCAGGTAGATCGAGTTGACGCACGCTTAATGGCAGGGTTTGCCGCGAATCATTCGTCCCACTAAATCCGACAGTGGGACAGGACTTGATTTCTCCGATATCCCAGCCAGACGCCGACAACTTGTCAGGGAACTCTTTCATCTCTTTCGGGAAAACAATGTGGGTCAAAAAGTAGTCCGCAGTGGCTTTTGAAAATCGAAGCGCAGGGAAGATTTGATCCGTACAATGATGTGGATCGTCCAAATTCACTCCCACTAGCTGATGGTAAGCAGGAGAAAGCGTTGGTGCATCGTCCACCCACACTTGGTACTCCGCATCAGCCTGATCGGATTTGAGAAGGTGGTTGAAGGCCAGGAATATATCATCATCCTGGAGCCCTGAATAGTAGTAGTTCAGACACGTCAACAGGATGACGACGTCTGGGTGACTGAATTCAGAGCGTAGAGAAGGGCTGTCCTTGGCCCGGTATGGCACACAAAGCCTTGTCGGCGGATCTCGGTTCGGATCAGGCCCATAATTCACCCGCCATCGCTTTTGAGCCAAGCAAAAGGCCAGAACGCCTCCAGCAAGCAAGCCTCGTACCAAAAGCAGGGAACTCCGGGTGCTTTCTCCCCAAAATCCTGTTGCACCGTCACCTTCCACAGCCGCGATCTCATGAGCTGTGAGATCTGACTTCATGATGTAGGTTGACACGGCATCTCTCATAGGCTTAGCCTGCCTCGAGATCGGCAGGGAACCGATTCCGCTTTCACATATGTGGGTTCCGATATATGTGAGAAGAGCCTGTTCAGCATCGCGATCGAGCAAGCGGATCCGTGGAAATCTACCACGTTGGTGCTGATTAAGTTGGATAGACTGAGGCAGTCGAACCTTCACGCGGTCGGCGTATTCTCTTACCAAATGCAGAACTTCTTGTATCACCATCCATCGTTGCGGGCTTAGTTCGACCGAGCGTTCAGCGCCCATGGTGTAGATTAGCTCGAACTTGACGTTAAAGTTCTCATCACTCTCATCCACGATATCACGCGAGGAGTTCTGAAAAAATTGCAAGATTCGAAGAAGAGAGCGGCCCACATTGGGTTTGCCAACAATGAAGCACTCAAGGCACATCAACTTCATAGAGAGTATGTGTTCAGGCTGGACGAGTAGCACCCCGCCGAGGGACATGCACTCAATGCACATTCGTTCAATTTCATCTGCTTCGGCTTCTCCCAATTTCAAAGAGCGCGAGATGGGCATGTGATAGACGCGCCGACCCAAGAGGCCACCTAGCTTCGCTACCAGCATTTGAAACATTTGTCGCGATTGTGGCTTAGCCACAAGCACCCGTGCCAGAGTTGAGCCGTTCGCATGAGCCGTGACCACGACAGGAATGACTACCGATGATTTACCTTCGCCCATATTCAACTGCATCACGCCATTTTTTCCCGAAGGAAAGTTCCTCATCTGTTGTGCAATATTCTCCTGCACGTCCCGAATGAGGATTCCATTTTCAATCTCCAGTAAAAGAGTCTCTGGGAATTCGAAAGGATCCCAGTTGGTATGGCCTGGATTTTGGAGTTCTTTCAGCAATTCATCCTGTGTGTTGACAGCGCTAGCAAGTCGCTTCGCCCGCTGAAGCGTTGCGATCGAACATCCGTAATGAACAAAAGATCGTTTCTCTTCCGCGATCTGCAGTCTCGTAACTCCAACGTACGCGCTCCGTCACGCCGCAGCGACGTGTCTTTAGCCCACGGTACAGATATAGAAAGATACCAGGAGACTGTCACCCAATTATTTAACGCTGGGCAATCAATCGTTTTTTAGGCGCCCATATTATATGGGGCTAGGTGGGACTGAACATACAAAGCTACCGCATGTAGCCCCCAACAGAGCCGAACAGTCCAAAATCATGACAGCGCTTGAAAGGCCACAAATATGGTCTCCTTTGCCAATTCTAGGGGGGTTGATTCGGTGATACAGCATATCACCGTGGCACGTTTATACGATAAACAGCGTTAACGGGCAGCAGTGTGAACGAGGACTCATCCTTAGGGTCTGTGCACGCGGGGCGCTCACCTTGGCGCTATGATTGGCTCCAGTTTCCACGGCATCTAATGCAACCCTCAAACACCGCGCCACCTACCCCACCAGGTTCTTGAGATAGCGCTAGTCGTGCTATATAGCGCTATTTTCTCTGAACACCAGCCGCCATCTTCAGGTCAATAGAACCATCTTACTCCGTCTGGTATCCAAATCGCCAACCGAAGACCCCAGCGCTGTCTACCTTCCAATCGCACTTGCACTTCTCTGTTGGATAGTATCTAGCTTCGCATCAGCCCACTGTTTCGCTTGGTCAGTGTAAGTACACATTGCTATTATGTATCCACAAGCAGAGACCAGTCTATCTGACAATTCAAAAGTATGGACAAACACGTATACAACCAGCTGCGGCAGAATGCCTTTCAAGTTCTTGGATCAGCAGCTAAAAACGGCAGTGTTCCAGCTCATGCTACCCTTCAAATGGTTGATAGCATAGGGCGTTTATTAGACAACGGCGCTTCAATCCAAGAGATGCAAGTACGCATTTTCCAAACAATGCAAATTCTGGAAAATAGCACCACACGGCTGGAGCAACGCGCTAGGGAGTACAAAGAGCGGATGGATCCAAGCAAGACAGCGCGGACTGAGGAGGGTATTGATGGTGGCCTCTTCCTAGAGTCTAATAAGAGGAAGGTTAGCAATCAGTCCGAGAGTGTAAGCGACGCGGGGATAAATCTATGATTTTTACCTCTTCCTCTTATTGCACTTGCATACATCTCCACCGAACAAATGCTAACGTTGATCAGACTGTGGACAATGACATCGAAGGATGGGAATCGATTGACCCCTCGCACCTGTGATTCTCCAGGCCGCGTTTCTACCCTTTGTTATTCTGAGCCACACAGTTCTCGCATAGGTTGACTTTTGTACGGATGAATAGTTACAATTTCTATTTTCTTTATAATATGTCCTCGAAAGGTTAACCCCTGCATTAACCGTGTGCAGCACTCCAATTTGTACCTAGTAGCAGTATTAGGTCCTTTACCAGTTGTCTGCAGCACCTTCAGTAGCGATCTTTCGTTGAGCCAAGAATGGTCTTTCACCCATTGTTGAGCAGATACCATGCCGTTCAGCTTGTGAGACGAGGTCTCCAACTCATGGAGTCTTCCACGATGCATTTCTCGATGCGCGAAAGGATGACAAATATCAAGCAACTGCGTCAAAGACAACGCAATCACGTGCCCTCCCCCGTTTTGCCTTCTCGCCATGTTACCAGTCTGCTGAACTCTATTTGCTATTCGTTAGTTCCTTTTCCTTTAACCTTGTAGATCTCTCATTTTCTCTCGTCCGCGTGTCTGTCTTTGTACCAGTGCTTTCTCATGCCCATGTAATCACTCGTGTCTTCTAAATTTAGTACAGCCTTCCACGTCGATTATGACCCTCAGATTACCATCCGTGCATTATATGTACTACCATCGATTTTTGTTCCTGCATTTTACTATCTTAGGAGACGTTTTCATTATTCGGTGGAATGAGTAAGCGTGAAATAACTGTTCGCTTAAAAATCAATGTACCACATCGTTTAATCCACTCCCATGCAATCTCTTTAATGACCTTCTTCAATTACATGCCCCCAGCAATTTCATTCCGCAAATCTTGCTTTTTCGATTTTTGGCCACGAATTCTTTCAATTTGGCCAGTGTGTAGCTATCTATCACTGTTTACGTTCAATCCTAATAGGTCTTTGAGGGTGGCTACTCGGACAGGTCAAGCATCCGCCTCGCGCGTCTAGTATAATCTTTCTGTTGCGGCTTTAATAAACAAACCGCCGACTAGACGCTGCTAACCCCAATCTAATACATTCAAATTGCTATCAAGTGTTGTTGTTAGATGGGGTAGGCCTTTATTACCCATGGTTAACCATGCGTGCAACTAACTTTACCAGCCCCCCACATTCTCCTACCTAGAATTCTATTTCCAACCTTCCAGCCACATTTCTGACCAGAGCAGTAGCTAGCCATTGTTTTATGCCTTTGTTTGTTTTCATCTCTCTATGTTTTCTATCAACATGAGCCATGTTACCCAGATAGCTTAGTCCTCTGCTCGTACGATATACCCTCATTTTGGCCTTTTCAGGCCTTGCAGTTTGATTATAAGGTCATATTTGGGATATGTAGAGCATTTGGTGTGGAAAAGAGTACATAAGTGCAAACAAAAAACCGTTTGCTCCAAACCCCGACTGAGCAGGTTGCTCAATTCGTCCAATTTACCACTCCATCCTCTCCGCCATTACTTGTCTGTTTGCTCCTATTCAATCTTCGTACCCAGTGCCCTCAACTATTCGCTATCATCCCCTAGGGTGATACGTTCAGGCTGCTATTAGAATTGGCACCTCAATAATCTGGGACGGCTTTGATCAGATTGCGATCTTCCGATGCAAGTCTGTTTAATGAGTCAATCGTTACGAGCACCCAGCATTTACATTTCACAAAATATACTTTTCGTCTTCCCAGCCACGTTTTTGAGCAGGGCATAGCTAGCAATGATCCTGTGTTTGTTCCTCTGGTTCTCTGTCACTTATTTTTACAGCAGGCTGACACAACATGGTCCTGTTTCACCTCAACAATTTCATGCACCCCAACGCTCTTTTCAACACAAGCCTTGAGCACTCTTATCCGCACGATGGGACCGCAACACGCACCGCTCTGCATTCTCGGGAAACTCTTAAGGATAATTTACAAGCAGAGGGTAGAATATAGACCAAGTAATCGTGAATATCGGGTATTTATTGATCTGTGAAATCCGCTCAAGGATCGCTCTTTCTGACTCCTTCAACGCACTCGGTTTTTTGCTAGTGTGAGCGCAGAACCGTAGAATCCTTCACTCCTGAGTCAGCTCCTCTACGAAGTAGCTCCGTTACAACCTTTTCGTAGCCACCCCTTATAGCCTGGGTGAGAGCAAAGCCATAGAAATCTTTCGCATCCGGATCGGCCCCTTCTCGAAGCATCTTTACTGAGGAGTCAATATGACCTTCTCTTATAGCTTCCAGGAGAGCAGATCCTAGGTTGCATTTCTTGTCTGGAATAGCACTTTGTTCCAATATTGCCTCTGTCTCTATTTCATCGCCATAAGGTAGAGTCTCAAGAGGCGTTGTTTGGTACGGGGGTGGGGGCGGGAGCTCATCATTGGCGGTAACTCCGTCGGCACAATGTGCATTCAAGGTTGCTGCAGGAGCGTCAAGTCCCCTTTCTCCATTGCGATTACTGTGTGGTGATAAATCCGGACCGTGACGGATTGTGGTTGGGGTTTCTTGGAATCCTCTGTCGCTGGAGGTCTGACGCGTCAAATGGTCTCTCTTGAGCCACCTGACAAACAAAGGAAGACAGCCAGGCATTCTGTCCACGCTAGAACCTTAGAGAATTATTCACTGAGTGGAATTCAATTGCCGAGTAGCCCGCTGAATACACCGAATCGGTTCGTGGTGTAATGTAGATACTGGACAAGTTGCTCGGCGACTTGAGGGAAGGGGGTGGGAAAATAAATCATAAAGCGGTGTAATGCATCCTAAAATCCTGCCAGTGTCCTATGCAGCCGACGATTCATTGGCGAATGAGATGGTCTGACCTTTGCCTAGTTCAAGAGATGCGGAAACCTCAAGCCCAATAGATGTTCGATCGAACCGGCGTACGTCAAGATTTGGGTGCTCAACGGAAATCGTTCTTGGCCGATTTTAATCGTAAACTTAGGAGTCATTAGGTTACAGTAACTGCGAAGGAGAGGGTCGATGTGCATTGAGCGATGTCAAGTGATAGTCTTACGCATTTATTGGTCGCTGTTGGTACGCAAAGTACATTAGCATGAACGACTCTCAATCTGGCGCGAAATGATTGGAAATTAGATTTTCAATTATACTGAAACTGGGGATTGGGCGCGTACGATATCACATAACTTTGTCCAGCGAGCTAATCCCCAATTTACCAGTTTCTTCGGACGGCTTTTTATGTAGAAAGGGCCAGTCTTGTCATTTTATCGCTTGGTCCATCGGGACAATGCGGTTCCACTGGCGTGAACAGCATGTCTGGGTCGCCTCGACTAACCGTGGTGGCCGGAGGAAGCAGCCAGGTCAGTCGGCCGCTGAGCAGCAAGTTCAGTAATTTACGCAAGTAGTACAGTGTCAACACACATTTACCCAGGGGCCCGGGGCCCATTACATTCGCGTCCGTACGGTCGGAGCATAGGCAGTTCCCGAGCCCGAACCGATTGCCCCGACCGTACCCAGTGATCGGCTATTAGATCAGATCGAACAAGCATATCGGGAAAGCCAAAAACAGCCCCAGCCAATCGACGCTGGCCAGCGGGACGAGACCATCCATGGCTTCGACGGACCCAGTGGACCGTGTATCTTCAGAGGATCAATCCGCAAGACATTGTTAACAACGTCCAAACACCTGACGCCGAGTCGCTCAAGGCCACTGAGCAGGCTGCATGCGCCATCTGGGACTCGACGGCTACGGTGGCTCGAATTAGCCGGTTGAGTTGTACTTCGAACCGGAGCGGTCCGTATGGAGCGGGATTGACTACCGCATCAGCCGCTGCAAGCTTACATGGACGTCAAAAACATCGAGAGACATACGCTCCCGTGGCAGCAGATCCTGATGTTTTCATTCGGACGCAGGCCCCGCACGAATTGGCCAGTCTACGATATCGGTTTTCCCAACGCCAGCGGGCGGCTTGGAACTCGCTGTGGCGACTGGGCTAGCCCAGATTAAGTCCATCGCCCAGCCCCGATAGGGCCAGTTCCGACAGTGTCAGTTCGGACGGCAGCGTGTGTTCCGACGAGAGTAATCAGCCGCGAAGAACCAGCGAGTCGAGAGCGAGTCGGGTCCGTAACGGATCCCCGTTCCAGCCAGCCCCCATTGATGCCACGTGTCCCGACTTTTGCATCGAGATTTGGAACCACCGAACCAAGGTCGAAGACTACGAGAGCGCGCTGATTTGCGCCATAGCCGTGCTCGGACGGGGTGAGGCTGGCTGGCGTACTGCGGAGAGCTACCCTCCCATTTTATCCAAGATCATTAAGATCGCCCGGTTTATGGTGGCCCATAAGGCTTTAAAGCTTGGCAGAGGGTATGTTATATCAGCTGACCGAACATCAAATGGCTGGCGAACTGCGACCAGGGGTAAATGACGTTCATTTTGGCTTTGTGTTTATCAGGTCTACATCCGTGCATTTCTTTTGTTTAATGATATCTTTTTATTCGAGGACGATAGATCTGAAATTTGCAGGCGAGTCCCTTGACGGTCGCCCAGTGGGCTGGCGACCACCTTCCACCTGTCGGCGGGCCTGGCAGCACTCCCGCATAGCAGCATATACATAGAGCGAGCTACATCGGGCAAATGACTTCATCATCATGAACTATTTCATTTCTCTCTGGGCGTGGCTTTGCATGAAAAGCAAATGGAACATCTTCAATTCGAACCGTCACTGCTATGAAATTGCCCTCAGTAGGTCGATTGGCTCACCGGCTTGCCGGCTTAAACCCGCTCTAGTGCTATAGTCTGGAACCTAACGGAAGTAGATGTCTCGTAGCATGTGTATGATGGTTGTGTTGAGTTCTGTGACCCAGTATTTATATAGGTACAGGTCTAACCCTAATGCATGAATAGTGCGTATTAGGTGACACGACAATACCATCAGGATCCAACAGGATGGTGTCCCTATCAATGCCCCCAGATCGTGTGAATGGACCGCACGTACACAGACTAGTGTCTTCGCCTGAGGCCGCACATCATGTCAGTCACTCGATCGACACCGCCTCTATCTGGCTTTCCAGAATTTTCTTGGAATCTTCATTTTTTTTTCCTATTTTGAACCTTTTTCATTAAAAGATATGACAAGATCATCCCATGGAAAACACGTCCACCACCCAAAGCTATCCACAAAAATATGTTTTTGCCTAAACCCCACCTCAGATCGACGAACCAGACTCCAAACTCCAAGAAATGCTGTGCATGATCCTTCTTCGCTGTTTACATCTTACTGGCCATGGCAATGTACCTTTCTTGAAAAGCATTAACGTTGATGATGTCATTAGTCCGAGCGCTAGCCCCACCCGCTCTGCCAGCTGACGCAGACTCCGGTGCTGCCAGCGCTTATAAAATCCAAGAACGACAATGTATCGCAAGGTGAGAGTCGCAAGATAAAATATACACTGTACAGTTCAAATGTCTGATTTCGATTTAGCGAATAAAGTCCAGCATCTGATTATACAACCCGCAGACCTGCGACTGAATCCACCAGAGAGCTATCTCTACGTTCAAGATGGGCTGATTATTTCCTGCGGCTTTCTCTACGTTCTTTGCTATTTATTCTGCACATTCCGCGCATATAAAGACCAGCGAGTCCCTGGATCGAGCTATGGCAGTGTCCAGTATCTGTAATGCCCACCCCCATATTTTAATCGCATCGTATAACACCTACTAACAACCCAACCAGATGCCTAACAATGGCCTACGAATTCTTCTACGCCTTCACCACCACATCTACAACCGTAGAGCGAGTAGGCTTTCTCGCCTGGTTCATCCACGACTTTGGCTACGTCGCAGTCATCCTTAAGCACGTCCATCGCGCAGAGCACCGACCCCGACTCATCCGGAACATGCTCATCGGTCTCCTCCTGGGTATAGCCGGCTTGAAATGGCTAACGACCCTCTACCCAGATGATCGCGAACAAGTCACAGCGTACTGGACGGGTATTCTCCTTCAACTTCCCATCGGCTGGGTCTGTTTGCATTCGTTGTATGCGGAGGAGGGGACGAGGGGGCATTCGTTGGAGATGTGGTGGGTTTCACTTTCGTTTTACCACAGCATCAAAGTATAGCTAATAGATGCAGGATAACTCGATATTTAGGCTGCTATCTAGCCTACGGGGTGTTTATCTGGCGATACTTGAATGTGCCCCAGAATTGGGAATATGTTGCCTCGCCATGGAGTATTGCCATTATGGTCTTGACTTTGCTTCCGGAGACGATATATCCGTTTTGCTATGTTTGGGTGTATAAAGTGCAGAAGGTCAAGGGTGAATAGACGAATTTTCGCATTTATATATGACATATCTAGAATCGAGTGGAATACTAAGGCAGCAATATGCACGATTAGACAGCAGCAAATCCGCAAACGCGGATGCCGTTTCCCATCCGCATCCGCAAGATATCCTTGGATGTCTCATTACTATCCACAGTAGCATAAATCTCGCTAGTTTACCTCAAAATAGACTCTCATGTGACCCTATCCCACGGGATGCCTGCAGTCTGGCAGACTGCAGGCTAGGGTTTTCCCTTGACTATGGCAGGAAAAGTGGGTCGTACGCCTGACTGCAAGTGAAATTCGTCGCCTGACTACCAAAGTCTAGAGGCCTCTGATCGGTCTAAAATTTTGGCAAGTTATAGTAGAGTATCTCAAATATCTCCTATTTTCATTGGAGCATGCGTAGCCTACTAGTTCTCGAGAAACAGGCGATTGAAAATCGGAGATGTTTTCATGGGGTACGGGAAAATGGGCCTGTTAGGTGTTACGCACGACTAACGGGTCGTCGCTATATACGGGCCCTTATCTATGGCAGCCCTTACTAAATAGATTACGACATTGAAGTGAGTGACTGTTTCGATCGATTTCTAATTTTGGCTAGTAAATTTTGTTTGTGCATTGACGATTTTTTCGATTGTCCATAATAGACACGGGGGAAAGAACCCGCCTTGGAGCCAATCACATGGCGGACACGACGATCCCCACCGCAAGAATTTGGTTTTATTTTTATTTTTATTTTTATTTTTATTTTTCTTTTCCTTTCTTGTTTTAGCCTTTATGAAGGTAGATACAAGGACCTATAATTAGAAGCCTGGAACTCTTAGAACATTTCACGCAAACGCAACAAACAGCGCAAACATAGCAAAATCTCAAGGTCCTGGACAACCTTCGACTTAGGAACGTGTGTATGAGCTCATGCGATGTGATGTCCGCTCATGTCCATATAAGGCTGACTGGTGCTGGGAGGACCCGAAGGACAAATGACATTACAAACTCAGGACTCACATGTAGAACGACTTATCGACTATGTCGGTGAAGGTGGCATCCTAGACGGCCATGACGATGTTCCCGGTGATATTCGTCGAGACCTAATTCTAGAAAGCCGAACAAAATTGGAAAAAAAAAAAAAAAAAAAGATATTAGCTTGGCTAGAGTAAACTCATCCCTTTCGAGGGCGTAGGGCTTCGCCCGGATGATTTCTCATTCTTAGAATGGGGCGAGAGTATTTCGCAGGCAGCAAGTTCACACCCGCGAGTCAGTCACCTAAGTCGCCTGATCCAGAGTTGCAGCGACAAACGGATTTGAGTGTTTCAGTCGATGTCAGAATTGTTACTAGACGTTGCGAAGGACGTCTGTGCTTGTTGTTGTCACGCTTTGCATGGCTACGACGCAGATGGATATTACAGACATTTGTTTGGTTTGCGAATGTTATGAACGATGATGAGTTGTTTATTCCCTCCCCAATTTTTGAAAGAATTAATGGGACAAGCATGACTAGGTTTTCTCGATGGCTGAGGGCATTGGTATTAATTTGGCATATATGTTGATAGTTGTTAATATGTGCTTGAACTTCATGAATGTATATATTTCTCGGTACAAATTCATTTTCCTAGCAGTTTCGTATTATTGATTGAAGGGGACGGCCCAGGCTTTGCCTGGGGGGATGAATCCCTACACCACGAAAGTGTTACTCTACGAAAGGTAATGTTTTTGCTTGATAAAAAAGAGTTGATGGGAAACTGCAGTTTACTCGAGGTGATGTTCGATCAGACAATGATCGAGGGTTGATATGATTGGACAACCTTTTGGATCCACTTGGATATATAACATTGCCCCAAAAATCTTGAGCCTGAGTCTCAAGTTTATTTCCCCTTTGAGGGAAATTTGGATACGGGAGGGGCCCCCCGGTAAGGGGGAGTGACCCCCGGCGATAGGAGGATGTAGCGTAAGCTATCCCGAAAGGGTTATGTAAGTCTCGGGTAACGAGACGGTATTTCCACTCGGAAGAGTGCGGTCAGGGACTGACCGCCACCCAAAACGGCGATTCTTGGCAAAAGCCTGAGAGCCTGGTAAAATTACAAGAAGGGGAGATTCTTGGCACGACGTGCCAAAAGGACGAAGTCCAAGGTGATAACACGTGAGCACGGGTGCTCACGCTAATGCTTACGGCACCAGGCTGATACAGCCTCGTAGGTTAGATTTACGGTGAGTAAGCACACCACCAAGATGTGGGGGTTATTTTTAGCACCATACGAGCTATTCGTGTTTCATGGCTCGATCGGTAAGTCGAGGGAAATTACCCTTAAGTAATTTGTGGCACAGGGTGCTGTGCCTGGTATAAAAGGAGGGGTGTTCCCCTCTTAGAGTGTTTAATATTTTGGATATCAAAATGTCGGAGCCAAAATTTGTTGTCGAGTACCGGCCGTCAAAATTCTCCGAATCGCTGGGAACTGATCTAGTTCCGCATAAAGTTACGAAGAACGATACCGATCGGTTCGATTGGCATTGGGTTAAATTGAGATATGTTGAATGCTCAATCTCGTCGATGGACGAGTTTGAAAAAGCGTTTCGCGATATGCTGAAACGTAGCGGTTACCCGAAGGCGTTATATCTTGGTCGCCGTGAGCAGGATGAGAAGAAGCTCATTCATTACCATGTTATGGTTAATATTCTCACGTTTATTGACTTGAGTGTTGAACAGGCGGGTAACGTCTTTAATGCTTTGCCCAACGAGTGTCGTTCGTTGCATGTGTCTTCAATTGACGATCCGGAACAATTTTGGGATCATCTTATGGATGAGCGGGCTGTACCCCGCCATCGTGACTGGTTTGGAATGGAGTCATGGCTTGACTGTGACCCAGGTAATGTGGACTATTGTTTTGATAAATGTCCTGGTGAATACTCGTACTGGTGAATACTAGTATATATGTGTATATTTTGTTATGAAGAATTTGGGGGCCCCAGGCTCTGCCTGGGGGGGCGAAGCGCGATCTTTACAGAAAGTGAGTATTATGTTGAGATTCATGGCCTCTCCAGGCATCTCCAGGCATGAAATGCCTGCTTCGCCAAGCATGAAGCTCATGATCAGCATTGACCTACCATGTAGAGTATAGTTCAGGAGAAATGCTTCTCATTAAATAGGATCTCTCCTCCATGGAGGAGAGATCAGGCATAAACCACCTCGTTGGCCTTGACATACATGCGTACTAGCTAGCTTCCTAGCATCATTCATCGTATTTCCCTCCAGTTTCAACATACTACTTTATCCAAGTTAATGTTCGATTAATTAATAATTGAGATGGTAGAGAAAAACTATTGTTTTTACCCAAGGTGGATTCCGGTAGGAATGATGATATGATAATTCTTGTTCATTGAATGAACAAGATTGTTGTGGATATATATATTTACATTGTTGAAACTGGAGATACGATGAATGATACTAGTACGCATGTAGGTCAAGGCCAACGAGGTGGTTTATGCCTGATGAGGCCATGAATCTCAACACGATTCATGCAATTCATTATTGTACGATATATATACTACACTAGTCAACTATGGCAAGCCAATTTTTCCACCAACCTTCGACTGACCCAGTTCTCGTCTGTAAGCGATGCGAGCACGTTGTTAGACCGAGAGAGGTCTTACGACACCTTCAATCACCTAATGATCGCCTTCCAATGCATACGGCACGTTAAATTACGCACGTTGTGCAAACCTCCGACCGGGCGTATGAATGCGATGAATGGCAGCCCCCGACCGTCGTAGACCAGCCAATTCAAGTTTTCTTAGATGGTATTCTTTGTGAAAAGGGTCAGTTTTGTCAATTTATCGGTAGGAAAGCTAGCACCACGCGTAAGCACTGGCGTGAGCAGCTCGCACCGTCTCACTATAGCGGCCGTCGACGGCAGCAAGGCTTATCGGCAGCCGAGCCGAGCAGCAAAACTAGCAATTTACGCGCGTCGTACGATGCCAGCGAGCGTTTCCCGGTCGTACTGGATCTCATTATATTCGGGTGCGTACGCTCGGGGCGGAGGCTATTGCCGAGGCCGATTTAATGCCCGCGACCAAGGTCGGCGACCGGCTTATTGATGCAATCGAACTAGCTTTCACGGAGGGAAGTGAGCTACCTCAGCTAATTGAAGCTGGCGACCGTGATGACGCGAATCCATGGCTACGTCGTACGCAGCGGGCCGTCTACCTCGGTGGAATCGACCCCCAGCACCTTATTGACTGCCTCCAAGCACCCGACGCTGATTTATCCGATCCGACTGCAATGGCGGCAAGCACTATATAGGATGTAATAGCCGCTGTCGCGGGAATTAGCCAGTTGGTTTTGTACAAAAACTAGCCCTACAATTCGCAACGAAGCCGTACGTACGGAGCGTGACCGACTGCCGCACCAGCCACTAGAAGCGTACATAGATGCCGATAACATTGAGAGACACACCATACCGTGGCAGCAAATTTTGACGTTTTCCACTCGTACGCAGGCTACGCATGAATGGGCCAGTCCAAATTATAAATTCACTAAGCGCCAGCGAGCCACGTGGGACTCGCTTTGGAGACTAGCCCAGACGGGAGCATCACCCAGCCCAGCTAGGGCTAGTTGAGCCACGGCTAATTCAGACGATAATAGCGAGCATTCGGAGAGTGACATCGAGGATCAGCCCACCCATCGAATCGTCAGCGAATCGAGAGCGAATCGAGAGCGAATAGAGCACAAAACAGCACCGTGTCATCGTTTCAGCTCGCACCCATTGATTCAGCGTGTCTCAAATTTTGTATTGAGCTTTTAAACCATGAAATTAAGGTCGAGGACTATGAAAGCGCGCTGATCTGCGCCATGGCAGTGCTCGGGCGCGGCGAGGCTGGCTGGCGTACGGCGGAAGGCTATCCACCTATACTATCAAAGGTGATCAAGATCGCGCGATTTATGGTGATCCATAAGGCTTTGAAATTAGATCCCACGGTAGAGGCAATGCTGTATCAGCTAGCTGAGTATCAAATGGCAGGGGATTGGGATACGGAAAGTTCACTGGATTCATCCTCTATGGGCAGCATCACTCCAAAGTATACCATATCGTCGATTGACCTTTTTTTAATAACTATACTCTATTGTCAATGGTAACGAGGCTCTTTGCGGTCGATGTAGCAAAACTTGGAAGAGGGAACACCCTTGTATTTTAATAATTTTCAACGTATTTTTTATGTACTCATAGTGCTTGATTAGGGTTACACGATCAAATAGTTTATATTTAGAGTAAAAACGTAACGGTGAGGTTCGAAATCTATATTTTTGCGCAACTATGAGCGAAGATTGTGTCCTTCTTTCTTATTTCTAACAGCCCTCGAATGAAAGGGCAAAGTACAAATTTTGTACACCCGACGCTAAACTCCCCTACATTAGAACAATTACTTTACCCTTGGACGACAGGTGGGACTAAGGAAAGTGGATCGATGTTCTTTTTCTCGTTTCTTCCTGGGCCTCTGTACACTACCGTCACCAACAGCCTATGAATACTGCTCACGCCTTGGTGAGCGCATGGACATCTTTCGAAGAAGCACACCACGTAATAGCCCCTAGTGAGGCAGCAGAAACCGGGACAGAAAGAGTAGACGAGGGATAGTGTGGCAGACACCGTTCATACATCGGCCGTCCGCGTGGTGGCCGCGTTGGTCGGTAGACACGTCCTGATACGACGTTGCTTTCGGAAGAGGGATTAGATCTGTGCGAATTGTCCTTCCCGGTATCCGGGGGATATCCATGCCGACAAGGTGGATAAAATCACGACCCTTTTCACGTGACATGGGTTATGAATGGTGGTTGACAAGGTGACACGCCCCCCGCCCAAACCAACATTAAGGGGCGCTATGGTATCATGGCCTACTTAATCCACCACAAAAGAGAAATGATGAACGACTAAGTAACAGGTCTATTCTCCGAGCTATATTACTCATTCCTGGGACCATAATGATGAACAAGCAAACAATTACCCCGAGCATCAGCCCGCCGCTTTTCTTGAAACCTCGCCACCAACCATTAGACAACACCGCACAAACTGCGCCGCTCGTCTTCTTCCTCCACCCCGGTTACGCTGACAGCCACAATATTCTCTTGACTCTTCCCGCATTTGACACTGGTGGGGTCCACCATGGAACTGCGCACACAGCCTGTGCCATTCTCACCAACTGTCGCTGGGATGGCTGTCGTTGAGCAGAAACGGGCCCAGACTCTCCGCTGGTCCTGATGATGTGCTTCCACATGGCCGATACTACTTCTGTATAGAAGACGATGAAAAATACCCAGTTGTGCCCACCTTCGATCACTTCCGCTGTCCGGTCTCTCTCCCTTCTCTGTATTCGTCCGCGCCGATCCTAACAAGCTCAGCTGACGACGCCATTCGCCGCGATATCAGCTGCCGTATCACGGCATCGGCTCTTCCAAATGAGACTACGCATATTATACCCGCCGCGCAGAGCGACTAGTGGCAGCGTAAAAGTATGTTCCTGCACACAGTCAACCCCGGCCAAGGTGTCGACACTAGATGCGCCGACAACACCATTCTGCTACGTCGCGACTTACATAAGATGTGGGATGACCACAAATTTGCGATTGTGCCTAAAGCAGGAAAATGGGTTGTTCATGTGTTGTGGAACTCTTCGGTAGTGGAGATTCAGGAGCGATATCATAACCTTGAGTTGCAGCCGCTCGCTGGTGTATCACGGCATTTCTTCTTGTGTCGATTTGCCCTCGCTGTGTTTTCCAACAGCCCTTTCCTGAGCCAAAGAGTACCGAGGAAGCTGATTCTCGTCGATTACGAGGGCTTAGCCGAAGTTCAGGTTCGAGAGATGGCTCCGGATGAATATCAACGAAAGTTCTCCACGTTATCTACAAGGGCAAATAATAGGAGTCAAAGTCCCAAAAAGAGGTCAAGATCTGCCCCGAGAAACGAGGTCGACGATGGCTCTGTGCTGGAGGAACCAGATAGCGAGGATCATGATGAAGAGGAAGAAGAGGATAGAGGTAGATCTCGAAAACGAAAAAGCTTGACATAAGCCGGCAAGGAGTTCTTATTGTTTGATGACCTTACAAATGCAACTACCAGAGTTACCCGAGAGAGCCGGAGTGCAAGCCCATGTCGGAAGCGGCGACGAACATCAGGGAGCAGTCACCTTCTACGGACACCGCCGAGGTCGACGAGTCCGGCAGGGCTCTAGAGGGGTTAGTTAAGGTCAAACATACATTTGGGACCACGTTATGAAGCAATGGCCTTTTGGTACAAAGGTATGAGTGATCTATTACCATCATAGCCAACAAGCGAGAGACTTCGTGGCTAACACTTCAACAATAGAGCCATAATTTTCCAATCTTGTACAGTGAACCCCCGCACGGCTGTCTAGCAACAGAGTATCCATGAAAAGAAAGGCAATTAACGCGGCTTCGCAACAGCCTATCGAAACAATTATCAACAACTGCAGTGCTATCTGGCTGCGTGTGCTCTAGTAAGCCGTTTTGAGAATTCATGGGATATCATTGCTAGACTATGCATGAACCAAGTAAATCCCAATCTGATCGCACTTTCTGATACACGATCTAACAGATAGCTGCCCCATAGCCCGCTCTGTATGCCAGCTTCAAATTGGTCAAGACCTGCAACTGTTTGAGAAATGGCATGAGAGGGACAATGCTGCTGAACACAGTGACGAGCTAGCCGATATGGTCAACCGCGATCCTGTACTTCTTGGTCAGTGCGTCAAGGTCCCCAGTGTAGGCCCAGAATTTGAAAAGCCACATTAGCTAAGCAACTCGCATTTTCGCCATCTTGCAGCAAATCATATATTACAAGAGAAACCATCGGGCAAGTTCATGACAACGAAACCCTCGCTGTCTCTCCTCCAGCCCGTCTTCAGGAAATGGATCAGCTTCTTGTAAGCTAAAGCCTTTCCCGCACGTACGCTCAAAGCAGATGCCATCCCAGAGGCCGACCTGATGCCAGCCTACCTATCAGAGGCTAATTTGGTAAGAGATAACGAATGAACCGGAGAATCGAAGTGAAATTGTGCTTTTCCTTGTTATGGCTCATACGCCAACTCTGAACATTACGTCGGAACAAGAAGGGTCTGGACGCTATCAATGATATTTGAGAACATCGCCGGCCATCTTGCACCTTTAAAAAGTATTGGAAGCGCCTGCGATGATTCTAGATTCGTCAACAGTGCGTCAAGCGCGAGCGAGATTTATGTCCGTATCACCCGCAGACGAAGTATCCTGCGTTATGGTCCAATTGAAGTCTGGCCTAGACTCCGGGTCCAGGGTTCGGTAACTGACTTGATTACGGCAAGGTATAGTACCCGACTGGCGGCGAATACCATTGGCAACTTTTTCTTCTTCGTCTTCACTGTCACTAAGCTCGCCCGCCTTCTCCGTGTATTTATCGAATCGTCGTTGGGTAAACCGCTTGTCTTTGTTTTCGTCCTCGTCAAGGTCATCCATAAAGTCATCGGCCTCATCATCCATACCATCCAACATGTGATTCCGTGGTATATCTGTCATCTGAACTGAAGGAGCAAAGGTCGTGCGCTTAAGATTTTCCATGACCTTGTTACAAACCTTGGCCAGATATTCTTTAGTGTTGGCGTTGTCCATGTTGGAAGGACGGACATCGAGTTCATAGTCAGGACCAAAGTACTGAGCCCGTTAGCTTCATATTCTTACCAAGAAGAGATTGTTTTACCTCATAGTAGTCATTGTAAGGTAGATCCGATCCAAGGCCCTCTCCAACGAGGATGCCGGTCTCATAAGCCCAGGCCCGAGCAACGTTGCGCATGGTGTAGCCGCCACCGCCAAGTATCAGGGTCGGTAGATCAAAGCTTTTGATAAAGTTGACGCAATTGGCGTGTCCACGCATACTCAAGTTAAAGCAACCCAAACGGTCACCAGACAAGCTGTCACCACCGCACTGTAGGACCACAGCTTCCGGCCGGTACCAATCCATTACACCCTGGATAACGGGCTCAAAGATGCTCTTGTATGAGACGTCATCGATGCCATCACGCAGAGGGAAATTGACTGCGTAGTGTTTGCCCTGCCCTACACCGATGTCACGAAGCTCACCGGTGCCGGGGAAGTACTCGCCGTACTTGTGGAACGAAACAGTCATGACGCGATCGGTCGTGTAAAAGGCCTCTTCGACCCCATCGCCGTGGTGAACATCAATATCGACATAAAGGACTCGTTGCTTGAAGCGTAGAAGCTCAATGATTGCAAGGACAATGTCTGGAAAGTTTCAGTTCAAGAGACAGGACATGCGAGGGCATTGTTATGGGTAAGGAACTTACCATTCACGTAACAAAAGCCACTCGCTTCACCTTTCTTAGCGTGATGCAGACCACCAGCCCAGTTGACAGCGACGTCACATTTGTTGCGATTCAGCCGTGCTGCGCCTTCCATGCTGCCTCCAGCACTAATTCCGCAGAACTCGAATAGGCCGTCAAAGACTGGACAGTCGTCACCCACGTTGTATCGGCTCTGTTCTTTCGAGAAACGATCCATATTGTCTGGTGTAACCTTGGACAAGAAATCAATGTACTCGTCCGTGTGGAACTGAGTCATCTCATATTTTGAAGCAGGCTTTGCACGCTGATAAGTCGTGCGTTAGCCAATGGCAAAGCGAGAGAAGAAAAGAACTCTCACATATATCTCCATTTTCTTGTAGAGCCCATAGTTCATAACTAAGCTGTGTGTCATGCGTATGCGGTGGGGTTTCATGGGGTGACCCGAAACATAGGCGTAGTTGCCCACATCGGAGTCGTAAAAATAGGCAACTTTCTTGTTCTTAGGCCCGAGACGCTGGTCAGAAATTGGTTCCGCGGCCATGTCGCGAAATTATTGAGGGCAACGAGTACAGTGGGAAGTAGTTTCAAAGGTACAGGTACATAAAATTTGGAGAATGGGGGATGGAGATAGAAATATGCGGTACGCGGTCAGGGGAATTGTAGGCGTAATCTAGAAATACTCTCAGAAACGTAAAATCAGCAGAAGACCCATATCACCAAGTTTCGCGGACTGAAGGCAGGCAACAGGAATATCATGAAGGGAGCCACTCTGTCCTAGCTGAGGCCTCGAGATTTCGAAACTGGGAGAGAATCGTGGCGTGGGTAGGAGTCAAAATGGACGAAAAAGCACACCGCCTTGGCCGAGCACAGCTCTATGGCTTGGTCATGTCAGTTGATTAATCCCCAGGTCGCGCGATAAAATAATGCTCACTAGGTACATTCATTCCAATATCATGGAAGGATGTACCAATTCGTTCATAGTCTCTCAGTGATACTTTGCCTGTTTCAAGTGGAAAAGCTGCGACTTAGTCAGCAGAAAGCCCATCACCGCATCACATTGCATAGACCGCAAGGACTCCATGGGACAAGGCAGCTTGTAAACCACTCATTTAAAGTAAATGAAATCAGTCCTTCTTGGAGCATAGTCAAATCCCCAGCTATCAAACTTTAAGTTAGAACATAACTTGAGATCAAATCACACCAATCAAGTTTTTCATTGTCACCGGATAAAGACACCAGGGTCAACACGGTATTATCTCGCTCTAAAACTCCAGGGCACTAAAGACAACCCGCATCATGGCACCCTCCAGCGGCAAGGGATCGAGAATCTTCTCAACATATTCTGGCCAGTCATCGACCCACTGCAACAGAGGGAAGATATGAGAGTATTCCCAGTACGAAGGATACCATCCAGCTGCTTCCCAGTCTGCAAGAGCAACTACTTCATACTCCTCTTCATTTGTGACAGGATTGACGACCTTTCGGACAAGAACATTCTCCCTGGAGAGATCTCCGTGGGTGAATACAGGTGGATGATTGCAAAGTGCCAATGGGAGGTGGCGAGCAAGATAGTCGGAGAGAAAGCTATGACCATTCGATTCGCTCCACATAGTTTTTGAGCGAAGTGCGATGGCTTTTCCGAATTCTTCTTCTGTATGAAAAGGACCGGTAACAGCGGCGTCTTTTTCACGGGAAAAGAAATACCTATGGGGAACGGGTCCTCGGTTGACGCTGCCATAAAATCCGGGCGATGGCAGCGCTCTCATCTGATCAAAGATGCATCGCAGTCGTCCAACAATCGAATGTTTATTTGCCTCGGTGAGCGAAGGTCACGCCATCCCTAAAGAAATGCTGGGAATGTATTCCATGACGATATACAGGATGTCCCGATCGCGGTACATGGCGTAGAGTCGTGGCACTGCGATGTTGAGCCGTTTTTCAACAAAAAGTAGAGTATATCCCTCATTTTCGGTCACAAGCGGGCCATATTTCACAACATATTTCTCTCTGATTACGACTAGGCGCCCACCGTAATCTGATCTCTTGGGGAGGGTTCGTGTTGCCCGTTTAATCTCACTCTGATCAGGGAGAGGCCCTGGTAATTGACCAGCATCGCGATAATAAGGAAGTGAGAAATGCATAGTTGGATGGGCGACGTCTCGCGGAATGGAACAGTCGATGGCAAGTTGAGGATGCAGCCCAGTGCTGCAAGAGTTCCTGTCAGACCTATCCTACCTAAGTAAGGTGTACACCCTTTAGGCTAGTGGTAAGATCATGTAATTTCCGAGTCGACACTTTCTAACACGTGACTTGGAGGGATGCGATGCCTTGTACACATATTTCTTTCCACGAACTACATAGGAGTTGGCTAGACAAGAAACGCAGGCATACACCTCAATATACATTATCTTTACCCCGCAGTGGTTTGTGGACAGGACTGGCCAATCTGTGTCGCCAATTGGGTGTTGGTTTTATTCTTGTGGCGCTTCACTATTTTTCAGGTTATCTCCCTGCCTTTGAGGAATTTTGCTACCCTGCCGGTTTTCCTTTGGCCATCGATCTTAGGTTCCCACACTTTCAGTTGATTCCCATACTTCATCCTTAATTTGAACTCATTATCAACCTGCTACCTGTATTAGCTACTAGGCAATAACTTGGAGTTCTGTCTGGCGAATGTTCGCACGGTAAAAAGCTATATCTCAGCGCGGAGGAACTTGATATTGATCACTGAGACCCTAATACATTGACAATACCTCGAAAAACCGAGCTAAATAGCTTCTCATCGTATGCATTGAATTTCCCCGATTCTGACTATCTCGTTCCACCGTTCGACTACCGCTCACTAATGCTTAATCAATGCCATAGGCAGGTACCTTACCTACAACAGATTGTATGCCTTCTGCAAATACGACAAACTGGCCAGTGAATGCCAAAGACAAGGGGGCAATCTGGCACCCCGTTTTTCATGCTTTACCTACAACACTCGATCTCAATGGAGTCGTCTACTATGGTTGCGCTGTGTGCCTTGCAAGGTAATTTCAGAGGATATATTCTTCTTCCACATCTTCATTTTTCCACATCTTCATTTCTATGTTTATTCTGGACATCTTCTGAATACCTGGGCTTACCGCTCCAGCCGAAGAGTTTGGACAACCTAAAAATTGCTCTGCCTTATCAAAACCTAGTTATGTGACAAGCTCTACCTTACGCCAGCGTGGCAGTAGTAGAAATTTCGAAAATGGGCGTTCAACAGTATCTCACCCCCTAGGACGAGAATCCTTGGTGGCATATTCTCTATGGTTATCAAAGAGTGGCTAACCCTTGCCCATCAAGTTCTTACGTGCCCTAGCGTGGGAGACCATGAGCCGTCGCTCCCCGCCCGTCTCCATCCCTCTCCTTGACGGAATTTCTCGCCTTCTAGCGAAGAAATATCCCCAGGCCTTCTACAAACGTGACGACGAGGAGAAAGCGAGGACATTGTCAGCGATATATTGGAAGAGGCAAGGCCACAGTTTACATAAGAAAGTGCAAGAGTGATTTCGCGTTATTAAGCCGGGCTGGACCATCCGTCTATAACATGGACGAGACGGACATGCTCTTGGATGTTTTAGGCTCCATTAAAGTATTGGTAGGCCGGGACGACCTGGCCAAAGACCGAGGTGCGAACGTAAAACGGACTATGATTACTGCCTTTGAGTGTATCTCTGCGGGCAGGTGTCTTGCCCATGTAGCAGAAAGAGTATTCGCGGATTTTGTCCCTCTTTACGGGCTACTGTTGATACAGCATAATGAAACCGAAGTCCAACATCGCACCCAGTAAGAAAAGGGGAAATGCTAAGTCACAAGCTACGAAGATATTATCAATCGAAATTTTTTGTACTAATATAAATAGGTCATCACTTAACATCTCTGTATGTACCAGGCACTAGTTACTAGATACCACATTGTTAACTATATTAGTGCGTTTTGGGATGACAGAACATTTGCATCAAAACAGGTGCTCCAGCAGTTACAGAGACAATGATCGACGAGGCGACAATGATCGACCAGGCGACAATGATCGACGTGGCTTTAGAGACCCGAGCCTTCGAATTTTTCTTCGCCTTGGAGGCAGTGGTATATCGTTAAAGCTAGATTGAGGCGGAAGCACCGAGCCAGGCCTTGGCCCTCGTGGCATAGGCGAATCTGCGAAGTTCCTTTTCGGTGCAGGTGCTTTTCGTTTTCGCTTCTTACCTGTTGCTGAGATTGCTGAGGGTTCGCTTGTGAGAGATGGTGATTGGTGACCGTCATGGCGGTCTCTTTCGACGTCAAATTCTGACTGAGGGACCCAGGTGGGGGCGGATACATAGGACTTTTCAAGCAATAACTGGTTGTGATTGTCACATATGAGAGAGACTGTCGTTTCAAGAAGTTGGTCCTTGGGTCTAATGGTGAAAAGGAATCGCGCTTCCACCTGATCATGCTTGCTGCCGGCGGGAAATAATCTGTCATGTGGAATCTTGGCCTCGATGATGCCGATACAGTTTAAGTCCGATCGTAATCCAGTAAGTGGATATGTGATTGGACAGTCCCAATCATTCCGGCTATTAGGCTGGATCATCTTTTGATCAAAACCATCGGTCGTTGTCCAGACCTTGGACGAGATGAATTCATTCGGCCGCTCCCGCTTGTCCCGATAGACGGTTTTAATCAATACCACTCGACTCTCAGCACCAGCGGCTTCGCCCTGGTACAGTTAACAATGTTTGAGATCTCCCAAGGAACATACTTTGCGAGTAACATACCTTCAAGATAACCCAGCCGATGGCGTCTTTTACCAGATCTCCTCCTAAGGGCCTCCCACTTGGAGTGCAGTCCTCCAAGTAAGATAGTCCCACATTCACACGAGCCTTGGTGACCTCCTTCAATGGCTTTCGCGCATATCTGAGCGCCCCTTGAGCCACAGTCTCGACTCTAAATGTTTCATGGTCAAAATTGAAATATCATCGGTGGTAGACGGAGCGGTTATAACTTACGCAACTTCGGTGGTACATTTCATTCCAGGCATCAACTTTTGCACCTCCGAAAAAATATAGGTAGTAGCCCAGCTGTTTCGCGCAAACCCGCCAGTAAGAACGAAATCGCTAGGCGGATGGCCGTTCTCGCTAGCCGCGGCATATTGTCTCATAGCTAATTTCAGGATGCCCTGGATCAAGGGCTGGAAAAGTTCTTTCATTTCCTCACTATTCTCACCAGTCAATCACAATCTTGATTTAGGAGGGGCGCCGGGTTGGGTTGGTTTTTTTGGGGGGGGGGGGAAGAGGTGGGGTAGGACGGGAATATACTCACATCTCTATCGACACGCTTTCGTTCACAATTTGGATGACGACAGCCGTGGTTGCATCGAACCTTCTTTTATGACCTTCGATCTCTCGGGAAATCCTCGGCCACCATTCATCATCTTTCAAGTAGACATTGTCGGGGAGTTTATACTGCAACCACGTGCGCGCAGCGTCATTGATCATCTGGCTTCCTCCATCAAACCCTGTCTACCTGTTAGCAGAGGCTCTTCTTGCCGAATGTTTGCCGAAGTTCCCACCATCCGTAGGGCAAGCCAACTTGACTTCTTCTTCAGCATCAAAAAATACCGTTGCCCCATCCTATGTAGAAGATTAGTCAATGATGAGCTGCGAATCAAGGGAGTCCGCAGCCTTACTGTGCTTCCACCGCCACTATCAATGATTAACATAGCTTGGGAAGGCAATCGAGCACGTTCACTTTCAAATGCAATATAGTGGGCAGCTGCCAAAGGCTCCGAGACTCCGGCCACCTCATTGAATCCCGCCTTTCGTGCCGCCTCAAAGAGCATCATTCTGAGCCAAATGTTGTATTCCACCGGATACGTTACTCGACAGGCTTTCTGGATTTCGTGGAAAGGTCGACCCATCGAGTAGACACTGCTTTCTGGGAATTTGGGGAATTGCTCCTCTAAAACTTCAAAAATGTACGAAAAAAGCTTCTCAAACAGATCCAAGATGGTCAGGGCCGTCCCGTTTATCGTCGCTGCCTCATGCACAGCTCTCTTCAGCAGACTCGTATATGGCTTCCGCCCCATAGCCGCAAGTTTGATATGTTCAAAGAGAACGGCATTTGGCCGAAATTGGGCGTTTTCGCCGTAATACCATTTATCTGGCGAGCATGCAAGGATGGCGTCAAGTTCTTCATTGTTCTTGGCGTTGTTGTGGGTTGGAAATTTAAGAAGACGGGGAACCTTGCTACCCATCCATTCGACGCTGACGGTACAAGATGTGGTTCCAAAGTCAACCCCAACTATCAATTGAGACGGCTCTTCACTCATGGTGCGCAGGTGAAGACTCGAGCTGGTGTCATGCAGGGTTATTGGTTGTCGGCGGAAAGCAGCTTCGCCAGGGGGTCCAACCAATGTTTTGCATGCTATGCTATCACGTGATTTCGGATTTGCGGACTTTGCACCGCCCCTTTACTTTCCGTCCCGTTGACTACCCGACAAAGAAGACGGTAACAGCTGACCAGTTCGTTTACATTACTCGATGGCCGATTCGCGTTGCCGCGTGCCAATTCATCTCCCTTTCCATCCTCCAACCCCCTCGGCGTGATCTGGCAAATCGCGTCGAAAAACACGCAAATAGACATACAAATCGACGAGTGATTGTTTATAGGATAGACAGCATCGATGACGATCTGCCAGCGGCTCCCTGACTTCAGCGATGTTTTCCATGTCCAGAAGAGAGATTATACGCTGCGAGACCCCTACGCCGTCACTGAGGATTCCAATAGGCACTGCTTTGCAAGCGCCAAGGTTGGGTGAGAGAGGTGAACAGAACTTGGGCTGTCTTGAAACGCGCTGGAGTGTACTTCCCCACTAGGTAAAGCGCTTAAAGATTTATCAGTGCTGACTGAGTGCTTGCGGGCTATACGGAGGAGATGAAGGATGACTCGAGCATAGGATTGTGTCCGCTGTTGCCGTTACGACCTTCACGAGTTTATAGGAGGGCTCTTGGTAAATGTATAGACTTCGGCCATTGAGAGCCAATTATTGTTCGCCACACGCTCTCTATGCATACCGGAATGGGAATAGCCGGGTTTTCTTAGGAAAAGGTTCGAGAAAATCATATGACAGGAACAAAATAAGAAACTGCAAGGGTATCATGTCCCACAGTTAGGGCGAGAGCTGTCCATCCCTGCTGTCAAACTACAAACCGAATCAGACCTCAATCCAATATGCTAGCCTTGAATTCCACCCGGATCATATAGCCCGCGCGGCTGCTCACTTTTTGGCTTATCCGCGCTACGGCTTCCGTGGAATCCCAAATAGCCACGGCCGCGCAGACCATTGATGCTCAGTGCGCCAGTGGATTTGAATTGTGCAAGCGACATAATACGCCCCGTGTGCATAAAACACCATCGGTATAAACAGGGAGCCCTGTGATACACTCAGTTAGAAACAAGTGTCTATTAATTCCACGGTGCTCTTTGGGTTGCTTCCTGTCTCTTGATTATCCTTGGAATAGACGAAACGTGGACCTCGAGTCTGAACTTAAGCTTGACACTGGGGGACGATTACTCAACATCTACGTGGTACGTACCGCATCCCATATCACATTCCTCAGGTGTGATACCAGCAATCCGGAAGCGCCCTTCTGCACTTCATTTCCTCGATTGGACAATAAGCAAGTAATGGCGGGGACAGGTCCCTCCTATGACAGTAGCATCACATGACCGAACATGGTAACGCTTGTTGGCCCAAGTTCCCGCCTCGCGTCAAATCGGCGCGTCTGGTTGGGCCGTATTTTTGGCTTTGGAAGTCTCGACCAAGCTAATCTCCAGCCTCATGATCCGATGAATCTCTTATGACCCCAGTGAGCGGCCTTTCAGCAGAGCGATACGAGGAAATGGCAGAGAAATTGTCCCTCCTTTGCTTCGGCGACTCCCTGACAGCGGGTTATTACAGTTACGGGCTCGAGTACCAGCCGTACGCCGGAAAACTCAAGCAGAGTCTTGAGGCAGTGTTCCCTAACACTGAAATCATAGTTGATGTGGATGGAATGCCAGGTGATCTGGCGATATCCCCCCCGGGGGTGTTCTTGTCTCGGATACGAAAGAAATGCGCCAAGCGATGGTACGACTGGGTTGTCGTTCTCGGTGGAACCAAGTATACTTCACTTTCTTCTTTTCATTGGATTACTGCGATTGTTTGCTAAAATTTTTATCTTTCTTAGTGACTTAGGATACGGGAACCAGCCCGACAAGATATACTCTGCTCTGCAAGACTCATGGAACGTGGCTCTCTCTACTGGCGCGAAAGTGCTCGCCTTGACCATACCTGAATGTGGGGCCAAATCTCAGAGGCTAGATACAAGACGAGCCACGTTGAATTCGTACATACTGGCACATCAGTCTGAGCGAATGTGAGTCCCGAATTTCGAACTTAATTCGCAGGAAGATAAACTAAATTGCCATAGCCATGCCTTTGATTTACACAGCAAGATCCCGTACCATACTGGCTCGGAGAACTTCAGGGAGGAGATCTTTGATGATGGATTGCATCTAACAGCTCGTGGCTATGACTTGATGGGGAGTATGATAGGGGAACATTTGGCGAACTTGCTCAAGGAGGAAAAAGGCCTAGAACGTGAAGCATAGCTAAGAGCATAGAGGTGTTTCAGAACGAGAATTCAAAAGTACAATAATCAGAGCCTCGATGCCTTAATAGTACGACCACTCTCTATTCCGACGATTGTGGATCCCTCCCCCACTTCCCGGGTGGAAATCCCCACCACTGCTTTCCTCTGTTGATGGACGGCATTGAACCAGCAATGTTCCACATATCATGCTCGCTCTGTGTATAACACAGGCATGCTTGACATTAGTCTCGGCTTTTTACTCTTTAATTCTTTGTCAGACTCTTGTAGCATGTGTGCAAGGTAGTTGAACTGTTGTGGGATTGTGTCACCGTGTAAGGCTGTTGAAGATACGAAATTGGCAAGAATCAGCTATCAGCAACTCAAAAACCTTGTTAATAAGTATCGCATGTCGTATCTGCAGACTCTTATAACATGGTGCTGAATCCTACTACCTTCTCCCTCTCACATTTCAGCCTACTATGCAGACCCATAACTTATACATATCATCTAACAGCATGAAGATCCTCGATATCTCTCCCTTCATAGTCTTCGTACTCAAAGCATGTCCATTCCTATATCTAATAGTGTCTCAACTGAAACTTCAGAGGCTAAAATCGCTAGGTAATCCCTGGCAGCAGCAGCCATCCGAGGGTATTTCTTCTTATGCACCCTCCACCAATCGCATAGCCGTTTTGATCCTCCACATTACTTTACTTCGGCCATCAGCGTCGTAATACCGTAATTTTATGTGGATTCACATGGAATCATTGTGTGGCCTTGATTTCCGGAGCTTGTTCCTTGGGTCTGACGATCATCCCATACACACACACACACACACAATTCATTAACGCCCGGCGGCTGAGCCGAAAGGGCAACTATCACTGATCTAAATGTACATGCCTTAGCCAATGCTGTGCCTCCTTGGAGCCCATACAAAATTCCTTTCAGTGTATGTCATCTCAGATGTCAATATCTTAGCGGGTCCTTGTGGGTTAGTGTTGTTAGTAGACTTGCTTGAAGGCGCTTCTCCAAGTGTTCAACATCCTATCCTCGGCAGTTGAAGCGCGTCTACCGTCTCTGGCACAAGGTAGTTGGTGGGGGTTTGATTAGGGTTGAGGCGGGGTAGGGTTAATCTGTGTTGGTCGACGCGGTCAAGCGGTGTCGAGTCGGCCCGTGGCGATTGCAAACCGTATTGTGGCTCGCACTGCTTCCAAATTCGGCTTCCAGTTCTGGTCATCCAAAGGCGATTTTCCGCCTAGGAAAAAAGATATGTTGCCTCGGTGAGTATGGGTACATTGCAGCATTTCCGTCCGGTGTGTGGTCCACCTCTGACATCGAAAGAGGAAGTGCTCCACGGTCTCTCTGGCTTGTCCACATGCGCATTGATCTGACTCTGCGACATTGATTCGATGGAGATATCCGTTGAGTCTAGCCATGCCAGTCCGGAGTTGGGCCAGCGCGCTCGCTTCTTTCCACGATAATCGATCATACAACTGCCGGGTATGTTTTCCTGGGAGTGCTGCATCCACTCGTTTGGAGTGTTTCCCTACATTCTCTGGCAGGCAATTTTTGGGGACTGCTTGGGGTCGTGAGATGTTCAGTGTTGTCGACTTCATCCGTGGGACCTGCGCTTGCGGGGTAGCATCCTCTTGCGTCGCGGCCCGAGCCTGCTCTTTCGCTAGGCCTAGCAGTTGATTACCTTCGCTGGTCGGGACCCAACAGATGCTGATGCGGTTGTCGTGCTTCCGTAGTCTCTTGATCAGCTTGTATGTTTGGCAGATGTGTTCCTGGCCCGATTGTTGTCGAGGATTCTTCAGCGTGAGAGCCGCGGCTTTGTTGCTCGTGAGCAGCGTGACCCTGCACCGTTTCAGTCCCCGTAGCGTGCCCAGTGCGTATGCCATTGCTGCCAATTCGCCGGAGTATGGGTTCTGCTCGGTCCTTGCGCCCAGCGTGACGGATAAAGTTTTCAGCCTCGGTTTTCGATACCGAGGTGGCTGCTTCTCAATCGCCACGCCAAATCCTACCATTTCATTCCGCGCCGAACTGCTGACCGCGATTCGCATGGCTCCGCCCGCTTCGGTCTGTGTCTCCGGTACATCATAACTATCGCTCTGCACCCGTTCTTCCCACGGTGCCAGTGTGAATGGATTGATGGTTTCCAGGGTTTCCATCTCAATGGTCTTCAGCGCGTCGGCGACCTGATACAAAGGCGAACGGTGGTATCTTCTGAATTTCTTGATCTGAGCAGTACTCCTGCGGAGGGGATTAGTTACCGGTAGGGTGTGCATATCGGTCCACATCTTCGCAGCTCGTCTCCAGAGCCGGTGTTGCACCGTGGCGATGTGAGCCTCCGCTTCCGCTACGCTGGTGGCAACTGTGAGGAATGTCCCGACAATCGCTTGCGCTCCTACCCTTTGCACTCTGTTGATCGGCCCGATGTTCTTATTCTTGCATGCGTGCATCCAGACATTGGAGGCATAGTCCACCACCAGGGCCACGGTCGATGTGAATAGCTGCCGCGCTGTTGCGGGGGATAGACCCCGAAGCCGCCGAAGGTCTATCGCCGCCTCGAGTCCCTTGGACGCTGCCCTCGCGATATGTTCCCTGTATTTGAGTCTCGTGTCCATTATGACGCCAAGAACCTTGATATGGTCTCTTGGTTCAACGGTCTCTCCCTTGATAGTGAATGGCTCCGAGTCCAACTTGTGCGCCTTGGGGGCGAAGTGTATGATGGCAGTTTTCTCTGCTTCAAAAGTCGCTCCACTTCTTCTTTCCCAGTCGAGTGCTTCATTGACGATTGTTTCAATACCGTGCCGGTTGCTCTGCGCAGTCGGTCCGGTCACCCACGCGGTAAAGTCATCCACGAAGGCAATCGCGCCTCCCTGGCCGTCGAGCTGTCGCTGTACGAGATCTGCGTTGAAGAAGAGGAACAGGATCGGGGACAGGGGAGAACCCTGAGGCAGTCCAGCCTGTGGGAGGCTTTGGGCCTCAGATGCTTGCCCATTGATTTGGATGGTCGCCGTTCGCTCCGAGCAGAACTCTTCGACCCACCGAAGCAGGACCTCCGGTATACCTCGCGCTTTCATCCCCAAGCAATACAGTAGGATTCAAAAACAGTTTACCCCCTCACAACACTCACTCTTAGTTTGTCTGACCGTACCCGAAACCACGCTAGTCCATATGAGGTTACAGTAAAATAAACCCTGTCTGGCAGTATCGTCGTATATAACGTACTGAGCTGTAAATTCTGATACATCATCGTAAATTACTGTATTTCTGCTATGGAAAGTTCCAGGGAGGGATCTAGAGGCGGTGGGGGGAGATGTGGCCATCTAGCTTAGTACGCTCATGCCCTTTCTTCCTTTGCCCGTAATCTTCGTCACCATCTACATCTTACTCTGGATGACGAAAGCGGTTCTTCAGTGTACTGTTGCAGAAGACTTACACGATTTCAGTCAATTTATGTGAATTTGCGCGAGATTCGACGCGGTTTTTAACCCCTTGTAGGCGGCGAGTTGAACGCGGCACATTAAAAGTATAAGCAGCGCGAGCAATATTGCTGATTTCATGATTCTTAATAGCCTGGATAGCTAATAAGATCCTACCCTCTTGCTCAATTGAATTTTGAGAAGATTGAGTGCGAATTGGTGGCATGGTAGGTGGTTAAACAGGGAAGGTCTAATTAATTGACGCGTTTTTAGGTGGGGTGGCCACTCGCTTGGGGTGGCCACTCGCATGTGAAATACGTTAGTGAGAAATAGGGGTAATGGAAATACTGAGTCATTTACATCTCCAATTGGCCGGATACAGGACAAATCGTGACATACCCTTTGGGGAGATGGTCAAACCGTTCTAGTTGGAGAAACGGAGGGTTAATTGAATAGGATTGGCTAAGAAATAGCACGTTCTCCGCCTATATCTAAGGTCCGTGCAGTTCCTAACATCCTCGTATTCCCAGGTTTGTGGCAGGAAATTTTTCAGCCTGCTCCGAAGACAATGGTGTGAGTAGTCCGCTCCATTCTGAGCCCTCGGGGCCAGACCACAGAAAATAGATGCTCCCCAGCCGATTGTACTGCTCGCTTCAGAGTCTATGGTGGGAGTACACAAATTAGCAAATCACTAGGGCCAATTTACTATCATGCAAGACTTAAATTCACCGCCCGATGGTATTCGCTAGAAAGAGTCAATTCCAGTAAGCTGGATCGGAAGGCGTGACCCTTCTCCTTTCTCCTCTGGAGAGAAATACCCGATCTGGCCAGAGATCTTCGGTTGGAGATGCGGGAGAGACTCTCGTAGAATTCCTGGATGCTTTAGCTGGGGCCTTCTTTACTTCTGGCTTCACTGCTGGCTTCACTGCTGGCTTCACTGCTGGCTTCGCTGGTGGCTTCGCTGGTGGCTTCACTGCTGGCTTCACTGCTGGCTTCACTGCTGGCCTCACTGCTGGCTTCGCTGGTGTAAGATGCTGCTCCTCGAATCTTTCCGGGTGATGTTTGCGGAGCAATTCTCGCAGTAATCCCAACGGTCTCTTATTCCAATATAGCTCCGCAAACCACAGGATGGGCGCAGTGCCTATGAACGGGTCTGCACCGTTCTCGACGAGTAGACGAACAACTTTGCCGTGGCCATGGATAATAGCTTTGTGCAGAGCGGTTTGGCCGACGCTGTCGAGCTTGTTCGGATCTATTCTATGCTGCAGGAGCAGAAGAACGACATCTGCATGGCCATTTGAGGCTGCTGCACGCAAGGACTCTTCTTCCTCTGGAGATGCTCCGCGTTGTCGGAGAATTTCTGTCACGGCGACTATATCGCCTTGGCGAGAAGCTTCAACTAGCGTTTTCTGTCTCTGTGCGACTTTTGGGTTTTGCTGGAGTGCGTGTGAAGATTGAGTCTCACTTTTTTGCTTGCTTTTATTTCTTCTTAGTTTGGAGAAGACTTTTCTCAGCCGAGTAGATATGGGCATACTCGAAGTGCTGTAAGTGTATGGCGGATGGAGTGGAGAATTGAGGAGCTTCCAGGTTAATATACGCTCTTTCCTTCTTCCCTTCTCGATCCGATGGTGTGGTTGTGCCGCTCGTATTTGGCTGGACTTCTGATCTCTACTAACTCAGAATAGACAAGTGTCTTGCGCCTCCTCGTATTGCATTCCATTCATGTAGATAAGGAACAAAGACTTTTTAGCGTTGTTATTTGTCTTTTGATCAATAAAGATGGCATAGGTTCCGTTCATCTGTCTGTTCAGTCAAAACTCTGCTGATCGGGTGGATATTCCCCCCACCTTTCCAATCATGCTTCTGATGCGAGATGCCATCGACACGTTTCTAAGTGCAATAAGCTTTTTAATAGAGTCGATTTATGGCATTGCTGTCGGCTTCCCAGCATACTTTATTGTCAATCCCATTCTCCATTTTCTGGCTCTCCCATATACTCTTAAATACTTCTCCTCTAACTGGTCTTTACTCTCTTTCGAAACGCAGCCTGCCGAGCTATATCTTCGTCATTTCGAAAGACTCCATCCTGACCTGATAGAACACGTGCGTGCCGCGTATGCTGCAAGAACAAACAAGCGCCCACCGAGGAAGCTCAAGTTTTGGCCCCGCGAAACGAGTCGCATCATTCTACCTCTGGTAGTCGCCATCCGCGAGTGGAAGTTCTCTTGCGCCGCCGGTCTCTTTGCGTTATTAGAGGACTGTGGATGGGACCGAACGCTCCTTTGGACGTTCCTCCGAGATCAAGTGGAAAATGCAGGCTTGGTGTCAGCCGAGGAGAAAGTGGCCTTCGCGCGCGTCATGGAGGTGGCATGTTCAAATCGATTTAAGGGAATTCGTCCCGCGTGGGTACGCTCACTACAGTTTTTACGCAAGTGGACGGGCGAGACGGAACGGAGCTCAAAGATGCAGCAGGCTCAGATTGAAAAGTTGAAGGAAAAGTTTGATTCTCTGGGAGTTCCTGTTATTGCAGTGTCTGGGAACTGTATCGACTGGGTATTACAACGGAATGCTGTCCTCGTCTTGGACCAGAATATTCGGGATGCATCGTATAGGATGAAAAACTTTCAACCGATTTGGATAAATGTGAAGAATAGTCAGGATCCGGAGAAGATTTCAAGAAGCTACTGGCAGCAGGTTTCCTTTGGCTGAGGGAAATAATCGAAATTCCAATTGACTCGATTGCCTCGGCGGGGCGGTTCATAGAGCCGCAAAAGCGCAACCGTATCCTTAGTTACCTGGACGCGTTGAGAAAGTAGCTTTTCTTCGTCAAAGTTCTCTGCATCGGGACCGTAAAAGATTTCCACAAGGCGTGCTCGTGCAGAAAATACATACTTCGGGGTGGTAAGCTCCCAGTCTTCATCGGTAGAACTATCAGCATCACGTCCTTCAACGTCAGATTTTGCTGAGAAGTTGCTTGATTTGTATTTTGACTTCAGACACAGGCGGATTCTGAAAATGGTCCTTTCTGGCTGCACGGGTATAGTACGGAACTATAGACAAGGGGCTATTCAGCCATCATGATTCATAAACTTCAATTTATTGGTGATCTCACACAGTCAAGAGGGACAAGAAGAGGATAGTTTAGCCATAACGGGTCACCTGTCACTACGGTGGTACACAGAGGGCTTCAAGCATCAGAGGCGTCACAGTTCGTTTGCGACCTACTTGAGGTTAAGGGGCGTACGTGCTTCCAACTTGTCACAAGTTTCTACGGATATTGATGATGGTCAGCTTGTTAGTCTGTTCCGCTATTTCAGATATGGTAAAGGACTGGCTCACTATCATATCACGAATGGGAACGAGCTTTGTAGGAGACAGTCTTGGAGCCATGCCGCGTTGATGTGATAGGGGGCCAGGCTGGTGCAATGTGTCGGGAAATTTGTTGCGTGACAAAGGCGGGATGGAGGGGGACCATTGAGGTAGCGTGTGTATGAGCAGTTTCGTGTAAATTACATCGCTTGCGGTCCGATGTGTTATTTTAAACTACACTAACTATTTTAGAAAGCGGGTCTGAAATGAGACCTGGAAGATCTGATCCAATCAGAGCTCACATATTGCGGATTTATTTTCCGGGAATGATGTCGCAAGAGTTTGGAGGTACCCGTCGCATAACTGATTTCGAAAACTACTGTATGGTCGGAGCACAATGGAGAGTCTGGATTAGCTATGTTAAATCGACGGCTAGATCCCAAAACGTTTGGAGATATCTCGAGCCGGGTGAAGCTATAGTTCCTGAAGAGCCACAATTCCCTAGTCGCTTCCCAGAACCCGCCGATCTTGATCCAGATGCAATGGATGCGACAGACCTAAGTGATGAGCTATTCGTGAAGTATGATAGACTCTGTAGCTAATTCGACAAGAAGAGAGCTTTGGTAGCAGCTACCCAGAAGGCTCTAGCGCGCATCGACAACTACATTAGTGCAAGTGTGGCGAAAGAGTATCTCCAGCGGGAGAACGTACCGTAGCGACGAACGACCTCAGGTCTCCCGAATGCCTCGTCCGGCAAGCCATATTGCGGATGCAAGAAGAGCATGAGCTGGGTGTCTTGGAGGGCTCCCAAACAGCCTCTAGCTCGGGGTCATCCAGGCCATTGCCTTGTCCGGTTGTCCCCATAATCACGCCGCGGATATGAGGGAGGGTACTGACTCTATGCACTTCGTCCGCCACGGTGCCCTGCTGCGGCGCGCCGAGTGGTAGGGCACCAAAGGCAAAGAGATGGGGCAGCTTGTCCGGTTGAGCGCTATTGGCCTGCACACAGGTAGATTCCAGGTCATTGTTGATCTTTTGTGCCCATTCAGAGGCTTTGCCCTTCCCCCGATGAAATTGAGCCATGGGTTGGCGAGGCAAATCATGCTGCAGTCGATGCCCTGTTTCTCCATAAAGTCGAGCTTGACCTTGATGTCGGAGTATGACGAGTCCGCTGGCCGCCAGCGCTGGTCGAGGGGAATGTTCAAGTCATCGTCTGATGAGAGGATGATTAGACGGGGTGTTCCGCCATCGGATGGGTCGTGGATGTAGGCACCTTGTGGCGGGCGCGGAGCATGTCGATATATGCGGGTGGGTAGACATGGGTGTGGATGTCGACGATTAATGGGCTGGACATTCTGATGGCGCTTATAGACGTGAACCTTTGAGATCTTGGGATTTATTTTGAATGAAGAGAAGATAGGAAAAGGCTAGAGAAGAAGGGAGAAAGAGAAACGAGGGGTGCAGGCATAGGGCGCAGCTGCAGCATTTACTGTGTTACTTGGGAGATAAGAGCTGTAGGTGCGGGGATCTCCAATTCCCTATCGTCTCGATGTCACCTCGCCCGCAATGACCAATCTAAGCTTATCTCTCCTCTGATGAACATTCGATAACGCCTCTCCATCTTTCAGGTTTCAGTAGTTCATAGCGTAGACAGGTCAATCGCCATGTGCGAAACCATGCTTTGTCAAAACCCAGAAATCAACTCGTAATTACACTAGTGAACACTTGACTATTCAGGGATCGATAAACAGCCTCCAGTCCAAACGAGCCCGAGATTCATGCCGAACTGGAGATACTTCAACCACAATGCGGGATGTTGCAGAAGCTTAGAAAACTGATGGGCTCGGGCACTCTCGTCCTAAGGTTTGAGACACCTCCGTTAGCACTCAGGTACACGATTGTATTGAGCTGAAATTTGGTATAATAACGTCATATATAACATCGTCATCTGCATGAAAGATTCTCATCCTCCATCTCAATGCTATCCAAGGAAATCATTTCCGCTGACCAGACCTGTGGCTATGAACTCAACATATTGGACCAGTAGAGACAGGCTCAAGAGATACACGTACCAGGTTGACATAAAATCAATCCCTTAAGCGATCACCTGGCTTCTAATAGTGCTGCCCGCCAAGATAACAGGCTTCCTGTTGGTGAAGTTGGGGACATCGCCTCTGATCATGGCCGCCGCCTCTCCTGAGGCAGCAACCTTTCTAGCGTCCTCGCTCTCCCGCACCAGGGTGGCAGCAATCAGGTACTTGGGAGAGGTACCGGCAGGATCGCGGTCGTACTTGACAACATTCCAGCTCTTGAGACCAGCAGGGCCCCAGTGCTTGGCCACCAGAGTCATATGGTTCTGCAGGTAGTAGTCGGTGTCGAACGTGGTGTCCGGCTCATTGGGGTAGACGACAACGGCGGTGAAAGTCATTGTGACGGATGGAGAAGAGGGAGGGTTTCGTATAGAAGGGATGGAAAGACACTTAGAATGGAATCAGGGGTTTACTTGAAGAGAAGAGGGGCAGTATTAGTGCCATGTCTGCTGTAGAAGATCACCGACTTATTAATGTTGTCGTGGGGTGGATCTTTAAATGTCTGAGGTCGGTTGAACACGAGATGTCCATTGAACACGAGATGCCCCTCATACATGTAGGCGCCCAATAAGCCAACGGAGATTCAGAATGATTATGCGGACCTCGGCGTACCCTCAGTCATTTTCTTCGGAAAGATGAACAGATTTAATAAAGAAAATGGTTGTTTTTCTTATAGTGCTGCCTAGTGGAAATTTATTGTCCAAGGCGCACCCGAGAACCAGAGATAACCGGGATCGAAACGAACTGTGTTACCTTTTAGAACGCCCACTTAATAATAATAATTATGCCATATCGCCGACACATTTTTACCTTCTGTTTTCGTCGCCCGTCAGAGCGCGAAAACCCCGCAGCTTACAGCGCTTTTCTCGAATAAGTTTGTGAACGTTTTATGGATTGCAACGCCTGCTTGTCCCGTTGCCGCTCCGGTCCCTTCTGCGTAGATATGGTTTAAACTACTATGATATATCGTCAATTATGCTATCTCTCTCGTGGAATGGCTGGTTAGGTTTGTCCGTGAATCTTATCACTGGCACTGTGACGAGGCTGTGTTCCGCTGTCTTCGAGGTTCGGTGCCTCATTCTCCAATGTTGTAAACCGAAAGGAGCCTGCTTGTTCCGATTTTTGAGAGGCTATGTATACAACATGAAGCCCAAGGTAATTGGGAATGAACTCTATCTTCGTATAGACAATGCAGGAATTATTTCCGATGTTGCGGCTTCGTTCCTGAGCAGCAACTGCCTCATGTCACAACACATGAAATAGGCATGAAAGCTTCTCTTAAACGTCTCCAAATATCCACCTCTACTTCTACAATAGCTCGTCATTTCTCCCAGTAGATTTCTGCCGTGTTTAATTTGCATTAGACTTGGGCATGATATGACTACTCCATGTGTTTTAAGGATTATATATCTAACCTGTGAGCATAGAGGTTAGTATATGGCCTAATATCCTGTAGCACCTAGTCGCAGTAATGGCTGTGCTGAAAGTCCCTTATCCTTCTGATATTTTCCTTGTCAAGTCATCTTCAAAACCTGGGTTGTCCCCGCGGAGATCATTGTCCAGGTCGCGAAATACCTCATATTTAACTTAACCAGCCACCTTTGAGATGGCTGACCTCACACTCAAGTGGAGCAAACGCCTGTTTTCCTTGAATCCGACCAGATATTTCCGATCATCGCTGGTATACTTTTTAAGTTAGTCTAATGACAGCAGTCTACACAGATAGCGACGTTCAAACCAATAGCATCTTCCGGGATCAGATTGGAGTGGTGAAATAACAGGAGAGCGCTGCTTGGGGTGAGGGATCCTTTCGCGACTAATTGCTGCCTGAGCGAGGCGAGAGCTCCCCAAGTGACAGAGCCAAACCCGTACTTACTATTGTGAATAGCAGGTACAACTTCACGCGGTTCTGTCTATGGCGTGTTCATGGACGGTTCAAGCCGTCCATCCATGGACAAAGAGCCGGTGTTAAGGCCCGTCCACGGACGGCCCATTTGTGACTTTGTCGTCCGATTTCAAAGCAAAAATTCCTGATTCGCGTATTCATTCTTTCACTAGTAAAGTTAGTTAACTTAACAGAAAAAAAGGAGGGGTGGGTGGGGAGGATTGGTCTTGGGCTAGCCTCTGTGGCAATTACGAACATCCGGTACAAGCACGGAGGGGCTTCGTGGGGAGGGGATTTTGAAGGCTGTCCTGGGAGCTGTTAATAAGAGATTGGATCGGAGGATTCTTTAGTCTTTGTTTTGTTGTGTTGGTGGGTTATTGTTAGTGCTGTGTTTTAATTTGAAGTATAGATATTCCCCGGGATCAAGTGGTTGCTCAGGGGTCAGTTTGATAGTCGCTTTCACTGTTGCCTGCTATTTTAGTCGACATCAGAACAATTATCGGCCAATCGCATATTTTCTCGTTTTGTTATTCTTGGCTTATTTTCAACTTGACAAATCAACAGTAATCTCAGAAACGGCTTCAGTGGAGTACAAGGCAAACACATGCCATCTTCAACAGTACCAAAATTGACCGGGCGCTGTACTAACCTGATGCGACCGCGTGGGCTGAAAATCATAATTGCCAAGCAATCTTTACGTCTGTTTCGGGCGTCCTTCCCTTGACCGTTTGGCGATGGTTCGATTTTGAACAGTTCATCATTTGGTTCTGTGTAGCCTAGGGCCCCAAAGGTATTCGAACACAGGCGCACATAATTCCCAGCTTAACGCGAAGGGGTAGATAAGAAACATTATGCCGCTACTCTATCGCGCAAATAGCCTAGTGACACTTCCGAAATTTAGCACATCGAGAAACATTATACGGGCCGCCTAAACCTTCACAAAATCTGGGGACTTGTATTTTCGGGGAGGGACTTGCAGACCGGCCCAGAAGGCTTGCTACTTAGGAAAGGTAATCATCTCAGCTTGGGCCACTGATGACACTCCTTCGATAGAAGAGCCCTAATCTTTTTATCTCTGCTACCAATAAATGCAAAAAAAGGTTGAGAAAGCTGGCTAGTTCTAGGAGGGAAAAGTATAAAGACCAGCTTTCCGTCCCTGTCTCAATCGGCTCGACCCCATCCATCAAGTCTACTTTCTCGCTGTATATCTTCATCGAGCATGGATCCCTCCAGTCACGTGCCAGTGTTGTGAGTGTTACTCAACTGAAGCAACTCATCAAAGAATATCTAAGCAATATCCCATCTGACGGACCCGGAAGCCATTTTGACGAAGATCCTGTGACTGAAAAATGTGTGAGATGTCACTTTGACAGTCTTTCCTCAAATAAGAAGCTGTTTTCTTCGGTGGAGCCTGTCTTTAAAGTAGTTGCGACTTTTACCCACCAGGCATATACGAAGCTCCCAAAGTAACTAAAGACCAATGCGCTATCATATTTGTTTATATGTTCATGGTGGATGGTATTGCGGAGCAGTCCATGCAGGGTCTCAGATCATTTGGTCAAAAGTCGGTTCTCGATGCTACAAGAAACGTGCATTTACTGACATGTCTAGGTTTGTCGATCGGGAGGATCATGCAAATGGTCTTCTCAATGGATTTGATAGACATATCCGCGGGTTATCCAAATCATTACGGCCGTTTCTGCTATTCCCAGATCACCAAGACCCTGATCGACTATATATGTGGGCATGCGATGGAGCAGGCAAATTCCAAAAGCTATACTCAAGGAAACCGGTCAAGCCTCATGCCGGCCTATCTTCAATACAAGCTCCGCCGGGGGGAAGTCCTTATTCATCTTCTTTAGCCGAAGGATCCCTTCCCTGAAGACAAATACGCATTCAGCTATTCTGAAGTGACCCCGAGCCCTATACAATTTATCAATTACCGCACCGATATTCTATCGTATTATAAGGAAGCGTTTTTTGATCTCGAGGAGGGTAACTTTGTGGCTAATTCAGCTAAGCAGCGGGGTTTATCGGATCTCGAGGTCTTACAGGAGCTTGCAGCCGGCGGTGTGAAGGTGAGTAATTTGAAATGGGTGCTCTTTCAATTCTAACACGGAAGTGATAGGCAATGAAAGAGATAGATGAGATACCGACGGACCGACTGATCATTGAACGTGTGCAGGAATTTAGCAAGGGATGGGTCATGTTCGGCACAGCGCATCGTTCATATGGCCTGGTTAGGATGTTGGAGGACCACGACTTGCAGCCGTATAGTGAGGATTTCTAAAGTTAGCCCTAGTCGCGTGACTTCGCCAGATATTTGCCACAAACGTTGTCACCAAACGATCCCAATGCTGCCACTGGGCAGTACCCTGCTTTCAAATTCATATGCCTTACTTTGTCGTAAACTAGTTCTTCATGAGTCGAGCTTCCATTCACAATAACGGGCCTGATATAGCTTAACACATGAACTGCCTTTGAGGCACTTGGCAGCCCCTTGGGGTCTCACACAAGCTGTCAGTGGTGTGGTTGGAGCGCTCTGAGCATTTCTAGGCACTACATGTACTATCTGAGGGATGCCACTAAAAACATCCGGACTGAAGGTTGCTCGATATATTTCCAGAGTCAATACTCCGAAGCTGCAGGCATGTGGTATGTCTAGTGATCTGCGTAATACTAGGGGTAGTGAGAAAGAGGTCAACACCGAGCCGTGATGAAAGCTGGCTGTAGCCTACCACCCTATTCCCACCCCGAGCTAATTTGTGTGAGATGGAATAAATTGCGTTCTAGGTGTAGATGGTGATTCGGTGCTCATATCGATTTTGGATTCGAAACCTTAGATACAAAACAGGCTCCACTCGAGACCTAACTGGAGCATTTCAAAAGAAGTTGGGGATCAATGCCAGTATCGAAGGTAGAGGGCACCTGCACTGGGGACGACGACTGGAAAAGAAGATTTTGGTTCTCTTTGAATTTCGAAAGCCAGCAGGTGGTAGATACGCAGCTCAGAAACTCGTCGGATGCAAAGGCGAGGCTCGCTATCTTGAACGGTGATGAAACATGGCTCCGTCTATCAATATCAGGAAGTGGGCCAGTCGCTCCGAGTGTTACGGCCAGCCCGCCCTCGCAGTACTGAGTTTGTTTCTCGGGGGTGGTAGAAGGAGATGCTGCATCGCTCAAGCATCCATGCCATCCCTTCGCTGGTTACTTAGCAACGCTGCCATTGATATAGCCACCTGGTGACCTGAACTGGTTTCCCTTGACAAGTCATCTTCCATTGTCGGATAAAGCAGGGCCTTGCGTTTTAGCATCTGACCTGCGATACTTGACATGGCCTTTTCAGCCTTCTGAGTTCCGAGTTCTTCCATGCCCCTTATGTACGTAAAAAGGCATAAGCTAGCAAGAAACCATTGAAAAAAGGGCGGGATTTTACCATGTTTGTGAAGTTTCTGCTTCTCGACTTTTCTCGGGCGGCGTATCCCGGTATCGGTGTCCTTTCGTGCTACATCCGTGAGAAGTTCGCTTGATGGTCGGTCGGGACCAAACGGCGACTTCGATTCCCGACCTAGCAACGGGATTAATACATTCAGAAGAATTGGCCTCGTATTTGGCAATGTAGGATGTACTAGGACTGATCGCACATTTGTTCCCATGTGATCGTGATCTCTTGTTAGTCATCTCTAAAGGCTGTTGGAGTGAGCGGCGTTAAAATCGATGTCTGGCGCATCAATCTTACCTAGTATAAAGCCAGTGCTTCTTGCAGGGAGGGACGGAGAATGTGAAAGGTATATGGTACGTTCCGAGAGGGCGGCCAGATATAGCCCTTTGATCTATAGTCAGGGAGCCCCTGAAGTTAGGTAAGACAATTTCTGTTCTCCCGGTTAGTCCCTAAAAATATAAAAAGAAAACGAAATAACCCACCTCAGAGCGCTAGCCTTGAAGATGTCCGCCTAGACATTCTCAATTCTTTCTCGAAGGGGGGTTGGCGGTCCATACGAGTGATTGTTGTGATATTAGGCTGATGCAGACCAGCAACAAAGCCGCACCACCGGAATTAATCCCGAGTTGTCTATGCAAAGAACCAAGTTGATTGAAAATCAACTCGATCCTCTTGTCATATATATAGCCTCATGTTTCCTTCTCAATGAACAATCAATTAATTCCTCTGATATACAACACGCAAGACTATCCTAAACCCGCATAGTTCTGAAGCGAACCGTAATACCACTGCTGCTAGAAGCCCAATCTCTACCGCGATGCTTCCCTTTTGGATGACTTCCAGAACGCGGTTACCACCTCCAGTATCCGAAAAATCCTTGGCACCAAAGGTTAATCGAAGAAGACTGCACGACAGCGTACTATGTGGTAGTCTTCCGATGCGAGACTATTTTTTACACGCTTTTCCGGGTTTCCAATCGTATCGCCTAGTGTATGTTAACGAATCTGGGTGTGGTTAACACAATAGGCTCTTGCGGACAGGCTAGGCACCAGCTTGCAAAAATCTCTAACAAGTAACACGATAGCACGATTCCATTGTAATTAAGACTATCCGATGATCATATAGCCAGGGCGGCTTTGTCCATCGCTATGTCTGCGGTGGTTCCGCGGGTATTGTTGTCTCCGAGAATCTCATAGTTTAGCTTCTGCAGTATTGAAAAATATCGACAAAGCTAGAATTTTCCTCGTTGTTGATCGAATCTTCTTCACTAGGGTTAGATATTTCATTAAGCGTAACTGGAAACAAATTTGAAATGGCCCAGACCAAAGCCTCAATACCTTTCTTAGGTAGTGTATGAATCTGGCCGGGGCAGAAGGAAAGAGTGCCACTAGTAGTTCCAGCGTACAGGTTTGTCGATCGAAAAAAATCGAACAATGTCGCTAGGTTTCCGTTGGAGACTCACTCTTACACACTAACGAATTACCTCACAAATTATCATTAGCCTCATGGTGTATATCAATGTCTCCTTCTGGATTTATTCTCGACTAAAACAAAGAAACCGCTGTGGTAAACTGGCAGTGGTTATTATGCAGATCGGTTTGTTTATATACTTTATAGGTGTTTCAAAAGTAGACCCCTCGTAACATTTATTGCGACATGGAGTGTACTATTTTGGGAACTCCAGGCTTCGGTAGCAGCGCTCTACGTGTGCTATTTCCGTACTAAAGCTTTGAGGGCCTGAATTACAGCGGGATATAGCACGCTGGGAGTATATAATCTGCGGTCTGAGGCTTTCGGAATACAGAGACGGTTTTCATTGCAGGACGCTATGAAGCCAACTCTATGTGCCGTTGTTTTCGTCGGCTATGTAGGTTCAACCACGGCAGCGGTCGGGGATAGCCATAACACTCTCAAACCCGGTAATCACCGCAGGTCGCACTTGAACCCCGGCACTCTAGAGACATGGAGAATAACGGTCACAACACTGTAGTCTTTCGGAACACTGCGAGCGAGGTCTGAAATGCCAAGTGTCGCTCCATTGTCTCACGCCCGGGAGACGGAGAGTAAACGCGTAAGTGACTCCCCGATAGACGTTGCTTGTCAAAATTCTGCTGATTATTCTACTAGGGCAACTTTCAACAATAAATCCCAAATAGCGGGCGGCATTACCGCCGTTCCTAGCTCCCAAGAAACGAGCACCAACGCAAATCCATCAAGTATTACTGGCAAGGGCCAATACGGTATGTCTTACGCCCCGTAAACTCAAACTGGGGGGTGTAAAAGTAAGGAGGAAGTATCTGCAGATATCAAGGCGATCAAGGGTATCTCATCCGTGTTTACTCTACTGACTCTAGTACGAGGACAAATAAAGGTAAAAAAAAAAACACGGAGTAAAAATGGAAGAATTAGAAACGTAGTATCAACCAATCGAAATCCCGAAACATAAAGAACAAAGTAAAACAAGGGTAAAAAGCCACAGAATAAATACAGAAAAAATGGCCCGGCCCACCTATGGGGCCCGCGCGCCGGATAGTGGAGTTCGGTGGAGGTTGAGAAGGTAAAAATCAAAGAGTCATGAAGCTTAATCTTTTGTTGGGTGGCACATAACTGCTAAATGTTTGGCCAAAGTGGTTTCTCTTAAAAGGCAAACAGAAGAAAAGAAAGAAAAAAAAAGATTAGGGAAAAGAGAAAATAAACAAATGCTCCACATATCACGTCCATCTCCGCAGTGCGAATATGCCAAGACCTATATATTGTCGCGTGTACCCTTATGTACAAAAGCGTATGGATATTATATTCCGCTAATATAGGGATAGGCGAGGTCGGTCCACCAACACTCTCTTGTTGGCCCATGTACCATTATATCCCCATCGATGCAGACCAATGTTCGCTTGCCAGTGTGTCCTCTTTTTGGCCTAGAAATGGAACAGGATGACTGAGAACTACAAGGTCTAATCAGTTGCATGCTATTCGCAGAGCAAATCCAAAAATCGAACCACATAAATAATCAAGTTTGCCAGATTACTAATCTACTATTATAGATCTAGAAAGTCTCAGATGCAGCTTAAATACGCTGATTTGGGTGAATTCGAGCAGAATTGTGACCACTTTTCATAATGGAACCTTGAGCCTCCACAAATAACTACAGGTTATTCCATGAGGATCTATCGAACGAAGCCAAATACAAGCTACGCAGATGGCTGGACCTTACACGTGGTGAAAGGACACCAAAGGGGTATCGCAATGCTTTGGAAATGGCAAGCCGCCACCCTAGGTGATACTGCCATGGTCAAGGAATTGCTTGCTACTGTGCAGGGCTCCCAGGAGAAGCCTCGTTATGGATATCCACTCCTACTCGTAACCCATTCAGGATGCGTTGAAACAGTGGAACACCTTCTAAAGGAGGGCGCAGACCTAACGGCCAGCATAAAGCGCACAGAGATTGAGGAGACACCCTCGATATTGTATGGAGTCAGAAGGATCCGCAGCTGTTGATGACGTTGACAGATCATCTGATGAGCCCCGAATATATTAGTACACTAGAGGTTCATAAAGCGCTTGGCAAATGTGCCGAGCATAATGACGAAGACTGACCCCAATTTTCAAACTAATGGCTTCAGTCCTGCCCTGGTATCTGCCGCCAATGGCGGTAGTGTAGCAATCAATAGCATTCTGTTGAAGGAGGGAGCCATGGTGGATTTAAGGTGTGATACGTCAGGTTGCACCGCTCTTAAAGTCCCTGCTGGGAAAGGAAACCCTAAACTACTGGAACTTTTACTGGAAGGCGGCGCCAATCTAAACGGCCGCAACGACGGAGGTCCTATAATTGCTGCAGCAAAATGGAGAAAGCTTAGAACAGTGCAGGCTCTTGTGGAGAATGGGGCCTGCATGGATATTGCAAACAGTAAAAGCGAAACGCCTATCGGAGTTGCCGCAAGCTTGAATAAAAAGGATGTGTTCGCATACCTGACACCTTCCGCAGATTTCAGGTTCGCTCTTAAAACTGCCTTTGACGAGGGTCACTTTTATAGCCAGAATCAGCAGCATGTGGGCCGAGTCCATTCTTATTCTCGAACGAAACACTGGCACCTGTTGTTGCAGTGCAATCTTGCAGTATTGAAGTACAAATCTGGTTCCGGAACGACTGACATATCGACCAGCTGGGTGTTCATTTTCGTGTTGTGGTTTCTTTCGCAACTGATATAGAAGTATGAAACCTTTTCCTTAAATCCCGATGAGGAGGCGAGCATATTTATGTCCTGCAAACAGTGGTAATTCATGGCTTCTGGCATGCGTAACTCTATAACCGGAAAGTAGATTAGGCGCATAAAGAAAAATATCTAGTATCAGATATATCGCCAAACTGTAGTGGGCAAGCGCCATAGAAAGAGAAAACTCAAAGCCACATCGACTCCTTATGTGGTTAGCTAAGCCACCGTGAGTGAGAGCGTAGTCATATGGGAGTGGGTCTAGTAGTAGGACTAGACCTTTAAAGGAATTCCTATAGGGCCTTAGTAATATGGACATGGGACTAGATTTTGGCTAGTCCCTTGGGAAATGTCAATGTCTAAATAAATTGCCATGAATTGCAAATTCTAATGAACACACCAGTGGAGATTTGTACGCTCGAGCGTGCTCATTGGCATGTGGTGCGTACACCTGCCGTCCTGGAGCGCGTGCCCGCCAGTCACAGCCGCAATCAACATCTCTTAGTTTCAAAGCTGCCCGTAAGAGCAGTCAATTGAGTGTGACGCTACTTACGGCTCTGCGCAGGTTACGATAAGTCTTCTAAAACCGAGACTGAGCATGCGTTGGTAAGGTTCTCCTACTTTAGTCGATATCTGTCATTCAAGCGGTCCATGACACCCTGCATTGGACGACGCAGGTTGGATACCGTCTTGTCTGTTTCGAATTTTCCCATTCTTTTCTTGGTCAAAAGACAGGCTGAAAACAGAGAATATCAGCGCAAGGACAGGTTCCATCAGAATGAAGGTGGATTTCTCAGTCTGCATATAAGCTTTTCATGTGAGCTCGTGCTACATCATCCCTCATAAGGTCCAAGAACTTGGGTCGACTCACTCTTCGCCACGTAACTCTCCATTTCGCTAACAGTCAATTCCAAGCCCTCCAGTTCCAAGGTCAGAAATGTTGGGGTATATTCCGGGTCTACCTGGTCTCGCCGCACGTCAATCCTGTAGGATCACTCCATGTCATTCGCAAATTGCGAGAGTAGGCCATCGTTATCACCTACAAATCCTTGTTGTCTAGCTTGAAGTAACCTCGCAAAAAGCCAAATCCTCTGGAGGGGTTCGACCATCCACCTGACCTGGTCTTTGACTATTAAGGAAGATTGTCAATCTGAATATGTGTGTATATAGCTATGGCCGACGCAGTATAGCCTTACAGTCGTTGGAATTCCGATAGCACAGATGAGCAGCCCATCCAATTGCGAGAACGCCCCCACAAGCAATAGCTACGCCCACTCCGGCGACCAAAGGAATGGCGATTTTCACACCGATGTATGCAATCCCACTACCGAGAATAGTAGTGGCACAGGCTTTCTTAGCCAGGGATTTGGCTTTCCTGTGGTCTTCTTCATCAAGGGATAACCAGTATAAAAGACTTGTTTGTTCAACGCAATTGGTTGCATAGTCTACTACGTTGGCCAATTCTTGGTCATCGGTTCCGTCTCGGTGTTGAGGTCAGCGACGTTCTTAGGTTGAGAGAGACGATTGCTTAGCATGGAGAGCCTTGATTGCTATTTGAAGTTGTTCTGTGGCAACTGCGGAATGCCTATAAATAGACAGGACATTGAGACCTTTCCTGAGCTTTAATTGTTCCTATTTGATCGGGTCAGGACATGATTTTTCCCTTGTAAGTCAATACCCACAGCATCTTTAATCTAGGCTCGCTGGGCTTGATGCAATTTCAGGATACCTAGCCCTCTCTCTAGAGTGGCAATATCTCCGTTCGTGGCATCGGTTCGGAGACAAATTGCAGACAGCTTGTTGTGTGGAATTGGCCCTTCGGGAGGGAATCAGAGAAATACGGGCGGCGGCGGCTGTCGAACAGTCAACATGAATCAGGAAAACAGGCGATCTGATTGTAGTTAGTATCTGGTATCAACCGATTGCTTCAAGTTACACGTGCCTTTTTGAAGAAAAGAGTCACCCATCAGCAGCAGGAGTCAACTTCGATTGCTCCATGTCACATAGCCCCTCAAATAAAACCTGGCAGAACACTAACTGGAAAAACTGGTCTGCGACCTGAAAATGGATTCGGGACTCACAACATCCAGTATCGCGTATGCTGACTCATTGTGCCCGCATCAGTCACATAATTGATGAGTCTATTCAAGTGGCTGAAAGTCGCATCAGAAGTGGGGATAGACTCCCTGAATGACAATTGAAGGCAGATCCAAAGAATTTGAGAGCGGAAAATAGTTGCATTTAGCGCGATCCATTCATCTGGCTCGGTTGTTGTCGGAGGAGCCCAAGGATCCAGCTGCGCAGATTCCCCATTCAGGCCAAAATCCACGCCCGCTATGTTCACGCTGTAGTTGTACTAGGCCTATCCTTGTACGGGACAGAGAGACAAAGAGGAAGTGTGAACCCAACCGGCCATGGCAAAGACGATGGAAAAAAGGTGATAATGAAGTACGCGGGTATGAGCAAATATGAGTGAAGTGGGAATAAAGAAGAAAATTTATGAGAGTTCCGTTTCGGCTTCAGGTTTCACCACCTTTAAAAGGAAATGGGAATGATAACAAGAAGCACTCAACAGACTCATATGGACAGGGTATCAACAGGTCACACCAAAAAGTGCTGCTTGTATGTCTTGTTGGATAGGGGCTGATTACTATGACGATAGCCAAGATGGCCCTTATGTTGGAGATTTGGGATAGCGCTGCGTGGTTGCTGAGCCTTGCGATCCTCTGCGGTTACTTGGTTTGGGTGGCGAATTATATTTAGGCGTACGATCGGGCCAATCTGCAGGGCGGGAAAGTAAATGTTCATGAAATGCAAACGAGAGCTCAGGTACTGTTGGAGCGCAGCAATGTCTATGACGAAAGAAGGAACGGTTAGCCAAGGGTTGATCCGGAACCTAGTCCTTCGACAACAGACATGTTAACGTACCTGATCATCGATCATCTCTTCATCTTTGTCTTCAGGCTCGGCGACACTACCACGGCCTATCGGGCCAGCAGTGGAGATTGCCCGGGTCTCTATGCCAGGCCGTGGTGGGGAGGGTAACCCTTGTTGTTTCTGTGACCGCTGCTGCTGATTTGGATTATCGGGGACAGAAGAGTGGATGGGATGCATTTCTCCACTGCTCGAGATCCGAGATTCCTTGCTCTTCTCCAGCAGCGATCCACCAAGCGTTGCGCACTTGAGAATGGTCTGCATCATCTGGTTCTGCTTAAGTGGTTTGGACAGGTACTCGTCCATTTGAGCCTGGATACACTTCTCGCGATCACCCAGCATGGCGTGTGCAGTGAGTGCAATAATCGGGGTTCGCTGGAGACCACTCTCTCGTTCATACTCTCGAATCTTGCCAGTAGCCTCGAAACCACCCATGACGGGCATTTGAACATCCATCAAGATCACATCATAGCGGCGCTTCTTGACAGCCTCCACGGCCTCTAGACCGTTACCAACAACAAAGACGTTGTGGTTGTGCCTTTGGAGTATCTTCATGGCGAGTTGCTGGTTGACCTCGTTGTCCTCAGCAAGAAGGATGTCGAACGAGCGGGAATTGTCGGTGGGGATCGGCGTCGACCGACCCTCCAATGCAGGAAGCATACCATTGCCCATATCAATAGGCTGGCAAGGCGTTGTCATGTACGAGCTGATACCAAGATCCAAAGCGGACTTCAAGCTGACACAGACCAAAGGACACACCAAAACAATGGGGATATACTTGAACTCGTCGAATGTTCGCAGAATGCGAGCAGTGTCCACCGAGTCCACAATGATGACATCGTATGCATGACCAGACTCCTTTCCAGAGGGGTCTTGGATTTCAGGTGGTGGAACATGCTCTTCGTTGCGCACCACCAACGGCTCCAATTCGATCTGCTTGAGCATCTTCATGACACTAGTGGCTTGGGCACCGTTCTGGCCCTTGTCGATGAACAGCACCCAGTGATTCCTGTATGGCAAGAGCTGAGAAGCAATAACGTTCAAGGACTGATCGGCGAGCTTCACGACGCAAGTGAAATGGAAGGTACTGCCGTGTCCGTACTCTGAGGTAACCCAAACGTCACCACCCATGAGATTGACCAGGCGTTTGGAGATTGACAGACCGAGACCGGTACCACCGAACCTGCGGGTGGTTGACCCATCGGCCTGTTGGAAGGTATCGAAGATCAAGTCCAATTTGTCCTCCTCGATACCAATACCGGTGTCGGAGACGGAAAATTCAAAGGCATATTCGTTGGTGGTGCATTGCTCACGATCGGATTTGCGGATCGTGAGCTTAACCTCACCGTGGTCAGTGAACTTGATGGCATTACCGACTAAGTTGAGAATAATCTGGCGCAGACGAAATGGATCGCCAATGACATAGTCAGGGACTGTGTTGTCGACCTGGTAAGTCAGGCTAAGGGATTTCTCATTCGCCTTCACAGCCAAAGTCTTGAGCGCATTGAATACGGTACCGCGCACGGTGAATGGAATGCTCTCAATGACCATCCGGTTGGCTTCAATCTTCGAAATATCGAGTATATCGTCAATGATTGTGAGCAAACTGTTGGCCAGATTGTGCACCACGTTCAGCATTTCCCGGGTATACGGCTTCAGGTCGTCGGTATCCAGCGTGAGCTGGGTCATACCAATGATACCGTTCATGGGAGTTCGGATCTCGTGGGACATATTGGCCAGGAACTCAGATTTGGTGCGATTAGCAAGCTCGGCAGCCTCCTTGGCGGCAGTGTTTCGTTGAATGCTGTCTCGCAGGTTGGAAACCATCTTATTGATCTTGCGCTTCAGTTCGTCCATTTCTCCCGAAGCGTTGACAGTGATGAGCTTGGTGAAATCACCATCCGTGGCGGCATCGGTAATTTCGCCAAATGCACGCACTTGGGATGTCAGGTTCTCGGCCATGGTGTTCACATCCTCCGTGATCTCCTTCCAGGTTCCTGCGATCCCTTCCACGTTGGCTTGGCCACCCATCTTTCCATCGACGCCGACATCGCGAGCGACCTT